TTTTTCTTTCCATTCTTTCCGGGACACATTCGACTAAATTCTTCACCCTCAAAAAACTGTACTAGCCTTTCCTTCACTTTGTCAGGAACTACCTTGCCCTGCATTTCTTATGAATTGCTAGTATTCCCTGTTCTTCTTTCAGCTTCCTAGCTTCATGAACCATGTATTCTGAAACTTTGAATAGCTCCATTGTCTTTTTGATAGACCAGCTTTGTGGCACGAGGGTTAGGATTTGTATTTTTTCTTGGCGCTTTGCTACATGGAATTTTAGCTTCATTTCTTCAACGAGTTTATTGAAGTGTTGGCAATTTGTGCACTGTTGGCTAGAGCTTGGTACCAACAGGTTTTTGGCAATCAGTATTTCCAATTGCAGCAATCTGCTCGGCAATTATTCCCTCTGCTTGGCTAATCTTACGCTTTGCATAACCATGCTTATTCCTTGCACTAACTCGTTGATATTTAATAGGTGAGGTGCCTAATACTGATAAACTTGTGTTTACACTTTCACAGATTTCCATATTATCAGCAGGACCATCAGAGTCAGTAGAGCTGGACTCACCTGCTTACTGTCGAATTTCTTTCTGCATGATGAGCACAACTTTTAACCAGGCTTAATACTGACTTTCAGCATATCTGACATTTTCTCTGCAGTAGCTACTGTGATTGGTCGCATATCTTTTCACTTTACATGGCATCTCTTCTTGAAGGGATTGCAGCAAGTTTTTTGCATAAATTCAAATTTTCTCAACAAAGCTTCATGATGGAGGCAGACTGGAGATTCTCCAGCCAAGTTCAGTTCACTTCGCTTTGATATCAGTGTTTGATCTTCTGCACTGTACTGTTTTAGAAACTTCAAGCCTTTGTTGGGAGTGTAGGTTGTCTAGTGACATTCAGAAGAGCCACGCTCATGGCTAGCAATATCACATGGCAATAAACCAACGGAATCCTGATTCATGACGTATCTGTAATCGAATTCAATTAAAATTATTTAACTAACTGAATACAGTAATTTCAAGTGAGACCTGTAATACATTAATATTAATATTGCTTTTTTATTTATTTGTGTATTTATTGCAAGTAAATACACAAATAAGTGAACAGCAATGTTTGACCTGCTGACACGACACTACAAAGATGTAAAGATAAATATAGAACAGGAACCTAAAATAGCACTGATTGTTTAATAATATTTCTGAATCCCACCCAAAAATATTCTACCCAATGAAGCTTAAAATGTTTCCAATCAGTTTGGATATCAATTTGCTAGCAGAAGAAGATGAACGGGAGTGGACAACATGAAGATTGCTGGGAGGATGATGGACATCAGCCTGGACAGACAGGCGGCGTGGAAGGCCAAGAGACTAGGGACGGGAAGAAAGATTGGGGAAAGAAGGGAAAGGAGACATGGCAGACTGGGTAGGAAAGAGGGAAACTTCAGATGGAGAACCAGGAGAGGGCCCCATCGGGACAGAACGTAAAGGAACAGGGGAGGAGGTGGTGGGCGTGTCTGGGTCTAAGATCTGGAAACAGTTGAGACTGAGTAAGGTGGGAAGGATGAGGAGAGGCAACACGCGAGCGTAGGATATGCCAGCGAAAGGGGTGAGATGACAAACTTGGCGTCTCGCTTCAGGAAAAGGGCAAACGATTCCGGTGTTTCAAGTTGAGGACGGCTTCCTCGAGTTTATAGTGTATACACGAGTGGGAGAAGGCAGGGTGGGCCTCACCGCAATTAAGGCAGCGAGTCTGGGGAGAAGTGCACTCGGACTTAGTGATCATCGGCCCCACACATGAGGCATAGATACACAATACTTGAGCATTTGAGGACCCCCATGCCCAAACTTCCAGCACTTATTGCAAAGTCTAGGAGATGGAATGTACTCCTGAACAGAGCACCTGGCACCAGCAAGAATTATAGAGGGTGGAAGGGTCCTACCATCAAAGGTGATTTTCACAACTCGAAAAGGGCTGACGGCGACGACCACGAGGGGGACGAGTTTACGTGTCTACCTGGAGGACAGGATGGCATTGGGCTTCAAGGATATGTTTAATACTCATGGCAGTCTTCTAGGTCCCTAACACCAGTTGCAACATGGTGCAGGAAGAGAACAGTGCCAACACTGGCATTTAACCGAGCATTTTTGGAGACCCGAACAGGGGTTTCCCCAATGCAGGACATTGCGGCTAAGTGGGTAGCTGCATCCGATGAAGGAGCGGCAACGACACGTGTTCCTAAACGGGTGGGATTAAAAGTAACAGAGGTTTTTTACGCAGGTAAAAAATAGTTTTCCGATTTGTCCAACTCAATAGTTCAGATTTCTAAATTCTAATTTCATTGTATGTCGGTATATACTGTATATACTATGGTCCTCATCATTACTATAAGTACTAACAAAACAGGAGGATGGGCTACCGGTTCGAATCCTCCTCATGGCTTTGACCATTTGATTTAAGTAGGGGGACAGAAACAACGGTGAACCTTGCATCAACATCAGAGGGAGAAGAAACAAAGGTGACAGGAAATCCCAGAGAGCAGTCAGATGGCTCCTCTACCAAGACAGGATGGGGTACAAGAACAGAGGGGCAAGGTGTGGGAAGGCTTAATGCCTTCTTATCCCCCAGAGAGGAAGAGGGAGAGGGACCAGGATTATGTTTCTGACTGACAGATACACGAATGGTAGCATCAAGGTACTGTGAGATAGAATCTATTGTCACAGGTGGGGAGGGAGAACGAGAGAAGGTGACATGAGGATGGACGAGTGGATGGTGGACATTGGCCCAGATGACTATATGCCAGGGAGAGCTAAAATACATAGGGGAGGACCGAAATGACGGCACAAAGGGGCTCACAGTGGGTACAGAAGATCGAAGAGATGGTGTGGTGACATGAAACTGACGGGCAGAGAAAGTGTGGGAAAAAGCACAAGAGGAACTCCTATGGATGCAGATTGCAGGAGAGCAAGGGAAGAAGGGAAGCTTATGGATGTGACAGGATCCAAGGCATTGAAAAGGTTAACGATCTAAGGAGGAGTAGGAGTGTGGGATAAAGGTGCACAACATAATGTATGTGCATAAATCATACCAGAAAATAAGTTAATAAGGTTGACCTGGTATCTTGGTTTGGGGAAAGAAATGTGAACCCAATGTCTAAAGTACAGGGTGCCCTATTCAAAATTTTAGTGTAGACAAGGACATGAAAAAACAAAGTGGGCATCACCGCAGTTGGTGTAGTGGGCACAGGGAGAGTATTCTGTCCTTGAATTGTCTGAACACAAGGAACAAAAAGTCATGATCTCCTTTCTAGACACCATGTCCGAATTCCCAACACCTATCGCAGAGCCAAAGAGGTGGGGGGGATGTATTCCTGAATGGAGCACCTGGCACTTGCAAGAATTGCCAAGATGGGAGGGGTCAAACTATCAAAAATTACCTCGACCACCTTAGGGGTCAAGGTAATGCCGATGACAACCATGAGACGGCAAAATTTAACAATGCTAACCTGGAGGGCAGGATAACCCTGGGTCTCGAGGATATACCTAATATCCTCATGGTAGTCACAAAGTTCTGTCTCCCTTCTCAACATGCGGTGGAAGATAGATTGTGACAATATCGCAATAAGATATTCTTGGAGACCTTAACTGGGGCCTTACCATTGTGAGATAGGGCAGCTAGGCGAGTGGCCCCATTCTTAGAAGAGGCCTTGATGATTCAGGTACCAGACCATGTAGGAGTAAACTGAATTTGAGCATCTGCAGAGTCTATAAGGTGTCTGTGTGTGAAAATCATCTGGGCAGATACAGTCACATGGTAGACATCAAAATGTTTAGGCCACATAGTGAGACAAAACAATTCCTGGAATAGTGTCTGATGCAGCAAGCATGCACTCGATGATAAGGATGTCTCCTCAGACCACTTGAAAAGGTGCTGTAGTAACCATCAAAGTTTGCCTCACTTAAGGTGACATGGCAGTCATCACTGGGAACTCAAAGGTCGACCCTGCAAGAGGTTGGGGAAAGGAGAGGATCAGAAGGGCCAAAGGTAAAGTCTGGTCTGGGCTTATTACAGTCCTAGTCGGGAACCTGTTTGCTTGCCCCAAGGGTCTGAAGAGAAATGCAGTCAAAATTAAACATAAAATAAGTGAAATTAGACTATGCTGCCCTGAACCCCCACCCACCACAGAGTTCAGTAAGGAGAACCAAAAGTACTTGAGCAAGCAATCTTAGGGGTAACCTGAACAGTATATGTGGGTTACTATTGAAGGGGTTTGAATGGCACCCCAGAGACCAATTGAGATACTGTACCAACCACAATGCCGACAGTCCCGATGCCTTAACTATACAGGCCAACTATGCGAGCAGATTGATTCAGATGGGCCACACTAAACCTCCCATTTTACTTCCAATCTCCACTAAAGATACATAGTGCCCTATAGGGGTCATAGTTGCAGGGTAAGCTCAATAGTTAGATGAAGGAAGGAAGAAAGGGGAATACATGGGTCTCCATGCTCGGTGATCGAATGGGAGGGCAATTTGCTTGTGCAATGCCACAGCAGGCAGGAGAGGGGAGTAGAAGCCCTTACCTACTAGCAGCTCACCATGTCATGGAACCACTCACTTTGGAGGTGAACAAAGTAAAGCACTTCAAAATTATTCATCTTTGGCCCTGGATGAACTTGTCACTTCAGCCATCTTCAGCACTAGGAGAGATGTCAGCTGCTCTATTGTTATATCCCAGGTTAATGTTCTCCAGGTTTGGCATCTAATGTTGTGGGCACACACAAGATGGCTGTCACAACAAGTGACACTAGGTGTAGCTTCCCTCTGGCTGCAACATTACCAAGAACACCACCACTCCTTCAGTGATCATTCATTTCTCACTTTCACGTTGCCAAATGACAATATGAAAGCTCAAAGATGGCACCAGTTTCACTATCTATATAAGGGGAGCCTTTGAATTAAGTGTAAAACATGCTTCCACGTAATTTTTTAAATAAAAACAAAACCAACCATAATATCATTTATTTTATTACCAGATATTATCAACAAAAACTAACAGAATATTTATCTATACAATTAGTTCATTTATATATATATATATATATATATACACATTGTACTTATATACACAATCATTTGAATGCTTTTAGTAACGTACAGTACAGTACATGCCTACCTGACGAGGGTGGAAGCTTACATATCTACAGCCAAGGGCAACCAGGCAAAAATAAAAGAAGCAATTCTGATGAAATTAATTATATCTAATGTTATAGTTATTTGACTAAAAATGGAATTGATGAAATGCTTCCTCTTCACTTCATACTATGCATTCAATTTTCATCACATTAACATCTTTGTCAGTAACAGTGCAATAAAAGAAACTATACATCATATACTGTACAATAAATATGCAAGGAAAATTATTTGAATAAAAACTTTGCTTTTTTTTAATTAAATAATATAAAGATCATACCATTACCAATTTTTACATAGTTGTTCACCGATGCATGCTCCAATAATTCATTATCCTATAATGTAAAATTGACTATACATAAATTATGACAAGTTTCTGCTTCCTATGTACCTGCAAGAACTGACTATGGACACTAAATTGTGCAGGCTTAGTTAAATTAATTAGTGTAAACTTCCTAATTTATCCTTCTTAAAACGGGGGATAAAGTATAAATTCACACACATAACCAATGTTATAAGATATATTTTATATATTTATCACAATTTTTTTCTGTATCCATTAAAGGTCTATACCATAATATTATGCTATGTACTGGCAGTCTTGAAACAGAAATACAGATTATGGTATGGCCATAATACTGAATGTACAAGTCATGCTGTTGGACTTCAGTTATCAATTTCTTCATTAGCTTGATACCATATCACGTTCTGTATCTTTTGAATCAAATCCTAACAATAGACTTTAGGTTTACCAACAAGCACTGCTGTATATACAATGCAGTATTTCATTAAGCTTTTAGAAAATTAAAACAGCTAAATTAATGGAGTGACTACTAATAAAACTTTAAATGCACCTAATGTAACCTAACTTCTTGATAAGGAGTCACAAGACACTTAATGATTACTCAATTTTTTTTTTGTAACTTGATTACAAAAAACAATACTTAGATGCTTTGTGTGTCTTTGAGACTATTGTACAGTAGTACACAAGAACTGTACTAACCTTACTCATCACATAACTTCTAGCATTAAACAGATCAGACTGATAAATACTGTGGAATGAAGACGCATTTGAATTTGTTAATCCATTGAAAGAACATACAACAATTCTAAATTATCCTGCATTTTCTTTAAATATTCAGGAGACAATAGAGATATGTTGCTTGATCACTAGAAGTATACCCAAGTGAAATAGTAATGGCAAGTACAGAGATGTTCACTACGAGAGGTTCTGCAACTAGCTATTACAGTTTGCATAGCCCACAGGTGTACCAAGTTGATATGCTCTGTGAATTCAGGGTAATGTATGATGACATGAGATTAGAGATGGGGGGAACAAATACGAACATGTGGGAGAGAAGTTCATTAAATGAAGGAAAGGAGAGATTCATTGTAATTTTATCGAGCGATGGAGACATAATTGCAAAAGAAATGACCTGGAAAATTTAAATATATGTACATATCTGGATTCCCATGATAAAATGCAAAACAGAATGTTTGAAAGTCTGTATGACAAAGTGGTTAATCTGTCAGTAAAGCATATACTGGAAGTACAATGTGAGAAAACATATTTAATTGGTGATAACGAAAACCACCAGAATTCCTAGCAATATGACAATGATAATTTTACATCAAACTTCTAAAATTGCCAGACTAGTATTCTTAATGTTGCCTACTTCAGATAGCAATCCTACGCTGTGAAGGAGTCACAGTCCCCAACAGAAGTCAAGACTCTGGCAAGTCACGTCTTGACATGCCAGAGCAAGCGGCTAAGTGCACAACAAAGAAATAGTTGCCTTTCGACCCCTGTCTGGTTGTGACACTAAACTTACAAGACATTGGCTCAAAATCCAGAGCACTGCTAACTGAACCTTGTCACGTAAGACACAACCACCATAATGGTAGGCCATGTGTAAAGAGCCGTCATGGCTCAAGCCTCTCTCTCATCAGTGAAACTTTCATATCAACTTTAAAACAAAGCTTCTCTAAACCTATTGTTTTAAATAATGACTGTGATACACAATCATGCATCCTACTTCCAACGGTTGCTAGGTTACAGGTCTCGATAAATGTTCTATCGACGCGAATAAATATTTATAATTCTGGAAAGACTCTATAATGACAATAAAATGTAAACATTAAAAGGAAATTTACCTACTCTTAGCATTGACATTTTCTTTTTTGTTTAAAATATTGCTTGACTACTACTACAAAATGATATGAAACAATGTTTGTAAATAATTCACATGACCTTTTTACAATAAATATGACATAATTACATTAGCCATGATGTTGTGTTTACTGTACCGTCGGCTCATCAACATCGATTCCAATTTTAAAAGCTTTAAAAAAGCTGTTTGTACCACATATCAAAGTTATGTCTCCTGAGGGAGAAGGGAATGAGAAATTATGCCAAAAGATACAAGGAAGATAAAAAGAGAAGAAAAATAGACAAATGCTGATGAAGAATGAGTATATTAGGAGATAAAGATGTTAAAAGACTACTTGTTATATTAGTATAAGAGGCAGTGGGAATGAAGAAGGGTATGTTAGGTACGGAAGGGGGTAGGGGGGTCAGCTAAGAGTTCCAAAGAGCCAAACCTTGGTTATCTTGAGGTTATCTTGAGATGATTTCAGGGCTTAGTATCCCTGTGACCCAGTTCTTAACCAGGCCTCCTTTTTGTTACACATTCCCAGGAAGCAGCCCATAGCAGCTGTCTAGCTCCCAGGTACTGTATCTATTTACTGCTAGGTGAAAAGTTGCATCAGGATGAAAGAAACTCTGCCCGTTTGTTTCCTCCTCCGCCGCGGATCGAACCCGGAACCTTAGGACTACAAATCCCGATGGCTGTCCACTCAGCCATCAAGCCTTCCTCAGGCCAATGGTAGGATTCTTGCACACACAGTATCCACATTTATAAACGGTTTCAAAATCCTCCTGTACTTCTGGAAAATACCATTTCATGGAAAGACAAACACAAAGAAACTGACCTATCTTGTATCACAGCCACGCAAAGTAAATACAGTATAGAATATTACATAAAAAAAATTACAATAATTGCTGAAATTTCAAAGATTGATTCAGATGAATTTCAGTATCATTTGTAAAATTATATTTTTTTTTGCAAATTTATTTACATAAAAGATACAAATTATTAAATTAATAAATAATTATTATTATTAATTAAAAGCAAATTATTATTAGTAAATATTTTATCACAAGCTCTTTAATTTACCTTTGTAATTTGTTCAAACCTGAATATTGCATAAAAATATATTTCTGGGCAGGAATACTTTCATAATCAATATACAGTGCAGTTTGAAAGCATTTACATGCCAACAGCCACGAATTCTCTCGAAACAGCATTAATCACTTCCAATATATAGTATTTAACTTCTGAAGATACTCCAAAACTTATATACAGCATTCATCTTCAGCCCAAATTAAACCGATTGCATTTAATCCATAAAAATAGAGACAGCAGTGAGAGATTCCTTATCAACATTTGAGCTACAAATAAAGCTTATACATTTCCTCAACCAACAGCCACCCATTGCTAAATCACATTTTCTGCCACAGTCAAACAGTCCATGAAGGCGTGCGCAATACCCACCTTGTAAGTAGCGTTTTGTGTTTGCACAATCAATATAAACATTTCATTTTTCTCAACTAAATAGGAGTCTTTTTTTTTAAGGAGATAAACTAATAATATATACAACTTCATAAACAATAATGATTAAGCATTTAATTTTATATGTAACTGCAGTTAATCCTTGATGCAATCTAATAATTCTTGAAAAGGTGATCCTGGAGTAGCCACAGCCTGGAATACTGCCTCAAATTTTGCTCTCTGGTTTTCTGTTGCCAAACTCTGTCGAAAATGAGAAGCAGACAGACAAAATATCTGGATGTCACGAGCATCCAATTTTCCTAAACGTGCTTGAACAGAAGGAAAAGCTGCTCTTAGCCACCTATTACTCGAGGCTGCAATAAAGAAGCAAGTGAGGCACCAAACTGCAAGGGACACCGGGGTACGCTGCGTGAAGTTACTTAATGAGAGAAGTACCCATTCTTGTACTAGGCCCTCCCCACTCTCACTGATTGCACCCTCAAATACCTGGAAGAGAGTTGATGCTAATAAATGAGGATGTGGTTGATGGCTGGATATATATTCTGTGATAACTTTATTTAGTATTTGACTAGGAGGAAGAACATCTAAAAGGCATGGCCCAAGCAGACCAGATATAACACCTGCTTCATGGGGATACCCAACTCGAATCCGGTCAAAAAAGATGGAGAGTTTCTCCATGACAAGTAAAAGAGTTTCTGGGTCCGACGCCATGTCATCTTGAACTGCATGTGTAAGAAGTGCAGTGTTTCTTACATTTGCATAAAGAGCAGTAATGAATAATGGCAAGGCTGCCAGAGAGGTGGAAGGTGAACCATTAAGAACCAAATCCATTACTAGCTTGAAGATCACTTCTACTGTGTTGCTGGAGAGCTGCTGAACTAACACCAGCCTTTCTACACCTTTCAAGACTTGGTGGAGTAATCGTGGGGTTGTGGAGGAAGTGGCTGCAGTCGAGAGAGCCATATGAAGTGCAGTGGATGGCAGCGTGGGGTCTGGTAAAGTTTCGTAGTGTTCTACCAAATACACCCAAACCTCCCACACGGCTACCTCATGACTCTCACATTCTCGACTCTTCCTGCAAAGAACATGTATCCTGAAAGCCAGTTTAAAAAGTAAAAGCACTCATAAGTTATTTACATTTTGCCAGGTTCTTTAACCTAAATGCCAATACTTTTAAGAACAATAGGCCTTTGACAATCCAAACTTTCAAATTACAAAAAAACAGCGTTGGATGTAATGAAACGCCATTTTCTGGGTGAGTCCCAGAGGCTCCCTGGAGCTATTGGGCTAATGTGTTTTATATTAGACCGGGACATTAGCAATGGAGTTCCACCTACCAGTGACTACGAGCCAGAACCTGGCTCGTAGTTTGTGGCGGCCGCCACAAACTCCTCAACGCGAAGTCTAGACATCTGGCTGCAACCTGCGACCCAAAGCAACACAGGAATGCCCAAAAGCAGGCACGTTCACCAAGTAATGGGCGGCCAGGACCCTGTTCGCCCTCCAAAATCCTTGTGCCCGAATATCAGCCCAAGACATGTTACCAAAGCAGCAAATTTTCTAACGTCATGGGCATGAGGAGAGCCACAGGCTGGCTAGACTTAATAACCCTGCGGACGACCTGGGAGATCCGAGCCCTGGAACAGGTAACGTGGAAAACCGGATCAACCCAAAGCGCATCCCCAACCACCTGAGCCAAAGTGCACAGGTAACAGTGGAGAGCCGCAACCGGACACAACACATGATGCACCCCCGGACTGACAAACCAAGCATCAATAACCCAAAGACCCTCTGGAAGGCAGCCGTCTCGTTCTTCACCAGAAAAGAAGGAGATGGTTGCAACCGAACAAACATACTACCTGCACCAAAAGAGCAGAAACCCCTGCGCTGGAGGAGAGCATGAAGCACCCTGACCCGACCCCCAGAAGCAAATGCCAACAAAAATAGAGCCCTGGAAAAACAATCCTGAACGGAAGGGGCCACCACAAATCGAGGAGAAGAAAGATAGGAGAGCACCCTGTCAAAGGACCAGGACGGCAAAGAGGGGAAAGAGGTACAGGTAACCCCACCACGACCAGTCCTGCCAAAAGGCGTCCACCGCGATAGCCTCACAGTTGGGGAAGGGCGCCACATAGATCGGGAGACCACGCCGAGGCGAAGAGATCCACTTCCGGGAATCCGTACGTCCGGCAGAGCCAACGAAAAGTGTCAGTGTCGGCTGTCCATTCCGTGGATGTGTATGGACCAAGACAGGCCATCTCCCAGGACGTTGGACATTCCACGGATATAAACCACACAGAGAGCCAAGCCCCGAGAAGCCAGCAGACGGGCCACTCGAGCGACCAGCCCCAAAGAGGCAAGGACCAAAGAGAACCCCAGCTGTTCAGGCAATGACCCACCGGGGAACAGTCTGAATGGAGCTGAATGGTCGAACCCCAAATGACCCGCACCCTCCAAAGCGAAAACCAGATCGCTGTGAACTCCTGCACCATGCTGTGAGCCCGACAGAAGGACGGACTTCACCATCCCTGGCCGGCCTGGTGAGCACTGGTCACAAAGCCCCTGCCGAGAGACGACGCATCGTGAATACATCGAGCAAGGGTTCAGGTAGGCACCAAGGCACTGAACTCCGTAAGCCCCCGAAGAGGAAGTCGGCGATACAGCAACCAATGCAATGCCCCCGTAGGATGAACCCAGCGATCGCGGGAGAGGCGAAAGGGGCGTCCCCGAAACAACCAGAACACACGTCGAAGCCAAACCCTATCCGGCAGGTAGACCAGCACGGCGAAGTTCAGACTCCCGCACAACTGCTTGAGCAACCGCTGCATGACCCAGGACCCCCCCAAAAACAGCCGAAGGCGGGACTGCAGCAGCAACAATGCCGCTTGAGGGAGAGACAAGGAAGCGGTCCAAGAGTCCCAAACAAGACCCAGCCAGGTCCGAACCTGGGATGGAACCAGATGGGAATTCTTCCAGTTCACCAGGAACCCAAACCTAGCGAGCTGGGAAAGAACCACACCCCTGGCGAGCAGACTCTCTTTCTCTCTCCTTTTCTCTTTTTCTCTCTCACATCCACTACAAAAATATTTGTATAAAATTCATTTTTTATCCAATCAACCTCGGGATAGTTTCAAAATAAGCGCCTTTAGAATGCGCACAATTTGATACCAAAATGAAAGATGTAACACGAAACTTGATGTCAGAACACTTGAAAGATTATAAATACGTTTTTGGGCCTAAATTTTAAATTTAAAAATATTTGTTAAAATTCTATTTATTGTGCTATTATTATGGGACTAGTTTTAAAATGCGCGCCTTTATATTGCGAACAATTTGATACCAAAACGAGCGATGTAACATGAAAATTGATGTTATCAAACTGAACGAGTATACACATTAGGTTGTGATGTGCAAATTGGTGCTCGTTCACTGGTAACTTTAGGCTTTGCTGTGGGGAGTCTCGCCAGGCTTTTGGACATTATATGCATATACATCTGCAGGGAATTTAATTGCGAACACAATGATACCAAAACGAACGACGTAGCACAAGAATTAAGGTGAGAAAACTGAAACGAGTACACACATTTTGGCGTCGCCGCATGCTTGCCTGCACCACTAGCCCCATGACGTCACAGTCTGCGGTGCACGCGTAGTGCGGGCGATAGTGTTAATATATATACAATTAAATTAATGAACTGAAACTACCTTTATTCATTGTTGATAACTTCAACTTCAATTATCTCTGAAACTAGAGCTTCAACTTTGAGTGGCTTCTAAAATTCAAGTTTTTGACCGATTCTCACTATTTTCACATATTTTGTGCTCAGTGGTTTGTTCTACAATCCCTTACCTTGAGGTTACCTTGAGGTGCTTCCGGGGCTTAGCGTCCCCGCGGCCCGGTCGTCGACCAGGCCTGGTTGCTGGACTGATCAACCAGGCTTTCAGTATGGATTTTTCATAAACTTTATACATTTGGAGTTATAATTTTTGTTGGACTAAATTTGCCACATATTTCAAATGCCTTATTGACGATATTTTTTACAGTAAACTATACAGTACTGAAAACCTATATTCTAATCTGATGAAAATGAAGATCATATGCTATTCTGAGAGAATAACAACATTAAATGAACAACTGGTGATAGTTCATATTTTTTATTCTGATTTGAAAATCTGCAGTTTTCAATATTCAATTTTAAAATTAATTTTGATTCTCTTATTTTTCAAGTTAAGTTGTGATCATGTAGATAAAGTTGGAGAATTTGCCTAGTTGATTATGCACAAAAAATTGGAAAGTGTTTGTGCAAGTTTTAAAACCTTATGTTAAATTATGTTATGTCAAATCATATATATGTATGTATTGTGCAGTTTAAGGGTTAAGGTCCTCATTTTTACCGTACTCAAGTACCTGGAACTTATCACTGTTATACATCATGTTATTTTCTGCTGCCCAGTCAAAAACTTTATTAATATCTAGGTGTGTAAATGGTGCCAGCAGCTGGGTAAACAGCATGAGCAGTAGGGTAAATCTTTTAGAGCACTCAGATAAACAGCACTAGTAACCAGGTTGTTGTAAAAAACTACAAATTTATTAATTTGGTTATATTTTTAGTGAGAAATTTGGCTAACTGAAAAATGGAGTGGCCCCATATGACTTGGATTACCACGTACAGAGAGTATTGTGCAGATTTTATATAAATCAGAGCTTTAATATACCAATGTGCTTTAATATACTTACTAATCTCCCTCATCTCATTTTTTTCTTGCAATGTATCTGTTATCATTTTATTAATTCTGCTAGAATTTACCTACTTAAAATTATCTGTTAGATTAAGGACCTGGCCGAAACGCTGCGCGTACTAGTGGCTTTACAAGATTGTAAATACTATGCTATATATCTTCACAAACCCAATGTACCTTCTTGTATATAAATAAATAAATAAATAAATAAATAAATAAATAAATTATTATTTGCATCACAAAATACTGAGATAAGACTGTCAACATACCCATCATTGTACTTGAGAATGTAGCTAGCAGCCAGAATGATGAGGGGTGGGCTCTCTTCTGGTGGGCCTTGGAGAAGGTATAAAAGGCCCTGGACGGCACAGGTACGTACAGAAACCTGCCCACTCTTGAGTCCACTTTCTACTATGTGTATTACACCTTCACTTAGTGAACAGCTCACTTCCTGCAAAAGGAATTTCATACATGTATTTTACAATTGATAGCACCAAAAACATAGAAGAGCAAATTTCTAACTTGCGAGTGAATTTTGCCACTATCATATTAGATCTAGTCTGGACCTTTTAACCTCGTCTCTTAGCATAATCTCTAATTTTCCAATCTTGTCTTACTAAGTACTCAGAGAGATTTCATGCGTGTCAACCATGTAAGATTTTATTTCACTTTCATGCTTATATTCAATCTTCATACAATGATTCCAACTAAACATTCTACTACCTTGAACTATATGTTGCTAATAGATAGCATAAAGTGCTATATATATTTTTTTAAGGTCTACAAAGAAAACCATTTAATTTCATAAACAGAGCAATGAGTATAATTTTTATAGAGGCTCCCCAGAGCTTTTGCACTGGAACCAGCCAAATCAAACTCACCAGGCATCTGTGAACATTTCATGGCCTATTGGAAGCAAGTACCATAATTCTGCCCCCTCAAAGAGGCAGAGAAGTTGAGGACGGCCATAAGACTCCACACTTTTCCTTCATGTTACTAGATGGCAGTACTAGTAAATGAAGGGTTTGGTGAGGTCATCATCACACTCAAGCCTCAACTAACCTTCCTGAACCCCATGTGTAAGCAGGAAATACAGGTGTGAGGCCCTTAGTGGCCCCTTAGTAGCTCCCTGGAACTAATTCCCCATGGTACCTCACACAAGGACCCAACAGCATACCATCAAGACATGGGAACCTGAAGTGTGAAACATGTATGATAAAAAGAACAAAGGGCAAGTTTACCCAAGAAACTTAATACACTGGATGTCAGACTGGGGTAGATAGGAGAAATGAATCCAAGTAACCTCTATGAAGCCAAACAGCCATAGCCAATTAACCACAATCACTAGACCAAAATAACAAATAAGCCCTTCAAAGATGGAGGTCTCCCACATGCACATCTTCCCCACATACGATGCAAAACCGAACCCAATTGTAGCTGGAAATGCTGAAAACATTACTCAAAATCTGTCAGGACAAGCAAACAAAAGCCAAGATGAAAACACTAATGGCTTAAGAGGAACAAGAGTAGCTTAAGAGAACAGAAGACTCAAACATAGTAAAAAAATGTGCCGAGAAAATGGGCCACAATAACAGCAACAAAGAGAGGCTCGGCCAAGCCATACAAAAGTTTGAGATGTGGCTGTATACAGTATAAGATGACTGGCAGACAGATGCCAACTCAAGGTGAAGCTATGGAACTCAACTCAATGAGAGGTGAAGCTATGGAAAAAGGAACTTAATGGGGTCAATTCATGATTAGGGTTGGGAAGTGTGTGTGTATCGACTACACATGAGACAGGAGTATGACACATTACAGGAAGGCACAGAAAGAAGGACGTTTATCAGGGGATTGAACAGAAATTCTCCAGGAACACGATCAGGTGAAAGGCATTCACCAAGAACCTCAGAGTTTGAATGGAAGAGGATATATCAGTAGCAGGTGATTTCACATTAAGACAAATTCCTCACAGCAGCTACAGGACAGAGCTTACAGTGCAACCCCAGACTGACAAACTAATAGTCAATGATTAACAGATGCCTCTGGAAAGCAAGTCTCAATCTAAGCAAAGCATTACGAGGAAGGCTGGAGGCAAAGAAAAATATTACTAGGACCAAAGATGCAATAGCCACACTGCTTATAAACAGCATGAAATTTCCTAACATGATTAGCCAGAAGAAAAGCCGCAGTGAAAAAATAGGAGTCTACAGCCAATGAAAACCTAAAAGCGAGATGATAAAATTTCCAAAATATGACCATGATGCTAAGAAGGTCTTGGAAGAGCATGAGCTGGAGGTAAAGAATGCCTGAAAAACCCAGAGAAGTGGGGATTAAAAACACACCTACATCCCCCAAATGCTAAGGCCAAACAACACGAGGCAATAGTGATAAGCATAAACTGGTGAACAATAAACACCCAGGAAAGAAAAGACATCCCAATGGGCATTGACATAGAACAGGTGCTAAGCCAATAGAATGAGGCAGAAGGCATGCCAAGCCACCTTGTACTTTCACGTCGAAGAAAGACAAACTTGAAACTGATAGGTCTGCCATCTGACTCGTATACAAGTGGTGGCACACAAGGCCTTAAAACCCAATACACAAAAACTCATGGAGAGCTTAAATCCATCCAGGTAAGTAGTGCTGCCAGTTCCATGTGAAATTAAACACATTAACCTTTGATAACTGAACATCTTGTAAAACCAGATAAAGTAGACCTTATCCACAGACAAAGTCTACATTCTCTGTTGGGATTGGATGAAAGTGAGAGTGTTTATTAGAACATTCAATAAACCCTGAATGTGAACTGCAATAAAGCCAAAACTTCAAGGAGCCAAAAACAGAGCTTTTCTCGAAGTCCACCTGTTGCAATGGATTACTGAAGCCCAATTTGAATGAAGACGGATAGTAGAGCCCTGTGGGGGAAGGATGTGTCGAAGTGTCATTCAGACCACAAACTCCTGCACCATGACTTGCACCTGCCACAGATGAGGCAATCATTACCCAATAGGTGTGGTGAGAACTAGAGATGAAACTATAGAAAAGGCCAACAGATCTGTGGACAACTTAAGTGACTGTAGAGACTACAGAACTGAACCCTGGAAAACCAAAAGAGGAAAAATTATGCAAAATTCCCTTCAGGCAAAGTGGGGTACACACTGCATAGTCTTGACCATGGGGAGAGGATGCCAACTGTAGACTGCAGTAAAGCTCCTTCAGTCACACTTGGTCTCAGAGGATAACCACATTAAGTTCGGGTTGCCCAGAAAGTGCTTGAGGTTCTGACAGCAGCACAGCTGCAACAGGGTCACTTGTAAGATGGGGAGGCCATTCTGGTATCCCAAACCAGTCCCAGCCAAGTCAAAACCTGAGAAGGCACAACTGGAACTCCTGCCATTTGATCAAAACACTGAAGTAGGCCAACTGGAAAAAATTTGATTCCTGGGCAGCAGACAAGCCAAATGCTTGGGATCCATACTAGCCAGTCATCAAGATATGTCATAACTCAGATCCCCTGAAGATGAAGCTGCTGAAAAGTGAACATTCTGGGAGCAAGGTTGAGACCAAATGGTACCCAGAAACACTAGGAAACATTAGGGAGTAAGTGTGTTGACCTCATATTGGAACATGGGATAAGAAAACACCTGTTTTGAACAACAAACTCTCAGGGTCAGGAGCCAAACTCAAAAGAGGGTCAAGAGGCAGCTAAAGTCCTTCTTTTGGCAACCACAAATTCCTGAGAACGCCCCCTTCCACAGAAGAGAGACCAGGGGTGGAGACTACAGTTCTGCACCAACTTGGAACACCAAGAAGAAATAAACAGGTGTCAACCAGGAAAACCCCCCAAACCCAGGAAGGTAAACCTGTAAATACATCCTCAGGATACAAGAGAGTAATAAAAGAAAAATGAGGCTCCACAGCCTTTACCAAATCCCCAGACAGGGGCAGCATCTGGAGCTGCTTCTAACCCTAATAACCCTAGACCAGATGGTGAAGTGCGTCCTGAGCCCACAGCCACTTACGAGTCAATTGAACACAAGCTAGATATATTGATCGCTGAATGGCTGAAGTGGAAGCTGGCAGAAACTTGGTAGAAGTGTCCAAGCCACTCTATATCCTTCTCATAAAAAAAGGGAATTGATAGCACTGCCTCTCACTCAGATGGTAAGTTGTGTGACTGTGCCTCACAGTCACACAAGATGGATCACAGCCCGACTGGCCACTACCTTAGATGGTGGCTCAGCCAAAACAGGGATCTATCACTGACATACGTTTTCTGGTGGGGTTTTTCTTGGTTTTAGGTAGCTCTTTGATCCCCAAGCTCTCCTTGCCTTGCAGAGCCTGATTTTGGTCCTGGCTCCTGTCAGGCATGGTGGATCTAGGAGGCTTGGTTCATCGACCTAAGGCATGGTTGTATTAACGCTGACCACGGTGAGCTACTGAGGAGGCCCACCCAGGAAAGAGGAGCAACAGAGTGAAAGATTATTTTAGGCATTATTAAAAATAGCACTCATCCACTTATTTGATTATCCATATTAATAGCATCAAGGATAAGCAAATACTGGATCACCAAACCAAAAATATTATGTGAAAATCTATGCAATAGAGTTAAAAATCATGCTTTTTCACCTGTTTGGCCAATCTAAGTGTTGCAAGAGCTTTACAGGTGGCCAGAATGATATACTGCTGAGTGATGTGGTCTTCGATAGGGTGGAGGGTATGAAGTGGCAGAAGTGACTCGAGAACCCAGCGGTGGTGAGCACTTGAGCAGAATAAGTCACACAAACAACTCACTGACTTCACAACCTCTGCCACAACAGATGCACATAACCCACTCTGGAATAAATATATACATATTACTGTATTAAAAGTGCATAGCACATGCTTTCTTCACCTTATGTTTATACCCCATGGAGTTTAACGCAACATTAATACAGTACCTTGGGATGGTTTAACCCTGCACTAATATCCCGGGGAATTTTACCCTACATTTGTACACTGGGTATTAACACTGAGTTAATATGACACAACACATGAGGTTAGGGAGACATCACACACAATATCCAAATTAGTGACTACGAAGAGATAGTGTCTGATCTCTAGCTAGAGCTAGAGACTTCTCTAGTGTCTAGCTCATCTCTACGAGCTAGAGACTTCTCTAGTGTCTAGCTCATCTCTACGAGCTAGAGACGTCTCTAGTGTCTAGCTCATCTCTACGAGCTAGAGACGTCTCTAGTGTCTAGCTCATCTCTACGAGCTAGAGACTTCTCTAGTGTCTAGCTCATCTCTACGAGCTAGAGACTTCTCTAGTGTCTAGCTCATCTCTACGAGACTTCTCTAGTGTCTAGCTCATCTCTCTAGTCTCTAGCTCATCTCTACAAGCTAGAGACAAGCTTGCGAGTTGTAGGTAAACACATTTCTGCAGGTGAGTTCTCAGGGAAAGACACACATATGTAGTAAACTGAGACACCTACCCTGGAAATCCCTAACATTCACCTGGTGAGCAGGAGCACACACACAGAGATCTGAGACAGCCCTGGAGGAGCCAGGGCACCATCCCGAGAAAGGAAGTAATATTCAAAGTTCAATGCCCACACAACATACTGTGTGGGCAATGATGGGAACCATGATGTGGACCATAATGGACAGTTAGAAAGTAGACTTTGCTACTATTGAATTTGAACAAACTAGAAAAGGTTTTGTATTCATGTTATTAAAACCTAGCCAAACGTAACCTAACCATCCTATGAACAGGATGCTATCTGAGGATTAATATAGTACATATATGTGCTAAACTTGGCCTAGGAAGTATTTATGTTTGGTTTTTAGTTTGACTTTCTCCAAACTGTATCAAGTGAATACTGTAGTATTAAATGCTGCTAACTGTCCATTACGTCAACAAATGTATGAAGGTCCACATAGTTACAAAACATACTATCCAAACATAAGGATGGGTATGTTACAAGTAGTAGTAGTTGAAACTAACTCAATACAGTAGACAGTTTAAAATGTAGGATAATAAAAGTAATGAGGGAAGTATGTCACTGCATTAATCCCTAAACTGCACAGCTATCTTAAAGTTATATATATTTAATATACAAAGAGCTATGCATGACAAAAAATAGTTAATTAATTTGATGGGAAAAATCCCAAATGGGGATTGAAGCAGTGTAAGACAACTACCTGTTAATAACTCAGAATGTGATACTCAGGAGCTAGTACTCAATGCTACGAGCACACATGGGTAAGTACATGCAAATATATGTACACATCTTTGGTCACAAAACTGAAAATTTGTAATATAATATAATAAAGAATATAATATAGAATATAATAAAGAATTTTGAGACTTGCCTGGGGTCGTAACCATGATGAATACAAGTAGTGAAGGAAGTGAAGACAAGACTGCACATCAAGACCACAGCTTGCTAGTTGTCTCTCTCGTAATTCAAATTCATAACAGCCTGGAAACCAGATGAATACATGTTATTAATACAGCTCATAGTCCTAAAATTTTGTTCATAAGGCAAAATTAGATATACTGGACCATATTTTATTCAATGCCTTAAATTATGTAATCAGTAAAGTTTCAGCTCAAAGATGTACAAATCTAACTTTACAAACATTATGATGCTGCAATTAAAAAACCAGTGCTGAATGTAATGAAGTGCCTCTTTCTGGAAGGGTTATATTCACACCCTTACTATTGAATCAAACCCACTTCAAACCATTATTGTCGGAAAATCCGACACCATTTACTAATATTAAATACAACATGCAGATAATACTGCTGCTGTTGTATATAGCCGGTTGGCCGAGTGGACAGCACGCTGGATTTGTGATCCTGTGGTCCTGGGTTCGATCCCAGGAGCCGGCGAGAAACAATGGGCAGAGTTTCTTTCACTCTATGCCCCTGTTACCTAGCAGTAAAATAGGTACCTGGGTGTTAGTCAGCTGTCACGGGCTACTTCCTGGGGGTGGAGGCCTGGTCGAGGACCAGGCCGCGGGGACACTAAAAAAAGCCCTGAAATCATCTCAAGATAACTGCCAGATATATATAAATTCTCTCATAGAAGACGTGGCGCAGTGGAATTTTCCGTCAATAGAAAACGAGATATCATTGCCACATAGCGCTATAAATTCACCAGCTATTCTGTTGGGAATTATTCTTAATATGGTAGTTGATACCTGGTTGATTATTCTTTGGACTTTTTACATCATAAAAACATCTCATTTGAATTAACTTAATTATCAGTATCAAAATAGAGTAAATATGACCCTTCTATCACTTATTGACATCTGGACAAGGAGAGCCAGGCGTCAGTGGTGAGGGAGGTCAGCCATTGTTAGACCAAGTCGCTGTGGAGCGAGTTCAGCTCCTATAATTTCTCTTGGACGAAGTGTTATGGAGATCAAATTAGTGCTTCTTCCATCATCAACACGCAGTCAACATAAACAAGGGAAGTGTCTTACCGAAACCCATTTATCTAATCATTTTTGGCCAGTTAATGTTAGGTAGATATAGGGCGAACTGGTTAGCACGAGAAACAGCGTCTAAATACAGGTAATTAAGCCTTGGACCTTATCTTAATAATATAAATGTTTCATCTGATATAGCTGTCATATATTAGGATTCCAGCTTACAGCTAGTGCCCTTTGACAGGAACAAGAAGAGGAAGCAAGAATTAATCTTGGTACATCAGTTACTAGGGTGTTAGAAGCTAGCCTCGCACGAGGATTATTTGGTGTCTGAAGGGGCCAGGTTCTGGAGCTGTTCCCTTGGTAGGTTTGAACTCCTTAGCTAATGTCCCGGTCTAATATAACATACATTAGCCTGATAAGCTGCAGGGAGCCATAGGGGCTCCCCACAGAAAAGGCATCGAAAACCTAAGAGCCAGGGCAAGAGTACAATGTCAAAAGGCGGAACAGAGCCGGCCACTATATTATGGTGAAAACTAGCTGCACAGTACCCTGCGCCCCTACCAGTGATGAAACTACTTCCTACCCAGAGGCAAACAGTGGCGCAAGAAACATCCCAGCTGACTCCAAGGACGAGCAATTACCGAGCAGCAAAAGACCACAGCGGAGGTAGGTCCCAAGCGACTTGCAGAACAAGGGCAGTACTTACAGGGCACCTAGGGAAGGTAACCCTAGGTGCATGCAGCCAGAGTACTTGTGAAATTACTCCTGGTCCATACACCACCACAGAACAGGACCATACCACAAGGCACAACACTAGACAACGTCAGGGACCAGAGTCGCACGACCGCTAAGCCTCACATCAGCTTCAGAACTAGGGGTGGAAAGCCGGCACGGGGGTCTGGAGCTACCCCCTTCCCCCTCCCGGGGAGGAGGGAGCTGCACAGACAGCAGCATGGTGACAGTTTTGATGTCATGCTTGTTTTAGTTTGGGAAGTTCTGTTCAACAGTTCTGCTTTCAATAGCAATTTTTAATCGGATAGGGTTTGTTTTGAGGCGCCTACCTTTCTGGGTGCCTGATCCGGTCAATGGCAGACATAGAATGCTTCCAACCACAAGGGGGTTTCTATAGGCCATTGTTCCTCGTGCCTCTCTGAGGGGGCCAGGTTCTGGCTCGTAGTCCCTGGTAGGCAGACCACCATTCGCTTTGACTGGTGCCATGGTCTAATACATTCAAATCAGCCTGGATAGTTCTGGGGGAGCCGAAAATGCTCACCCCCCCAACCCAAGGAAACGGTGGAGAAGCATGAACCATAAGAAACCGCTCCCAACCAATCCTCTGAAAAAGACAGTCTTGGAGATGTGCCGGGTCTGGAAATTGAGCCCGAAGGCCCAGAAACCAATCTGAAGCGACTACCAAGGAGGGACACCCCAAACAATAAGGAACTCGGTAAACAAAAATATTATAGAAGAGATACAGAAAATCTCACCAGCTCTAGGACATGTGAGAAATGGTAACCACAAATGTCTCTCAAACTTGAAATGTCTCTACTGTATCCAGCCAAGTTTGATGACCAACTAGTTGTGAGCTCACATTTTCTTCAATATTAGACAAATTAAACGAAGACAAATCTCAGAACATGAGTTAAATTCTACACATTTCCCTGCTATAAGGGAAAAAGCTTTTATATCAATAAGGTCAAAATTTATCAATCAGATGTAGAATTAATTATTTGTTGAACATGCTTGATCCATATTGATGGACATGAAAAGGTTCATACCAGTATGCAAGATAGTATCAGGAGAGTCTGGTGGTTCTGCATGGCTGTTGAGAGCTGTGACCAGATACTCAACCGACACCTGACTCAGTTGATATGCTGGTGTCTGCCGAGGTCCTCCTTTGATTAAATGTTGCACCTCGCGTAGCTTTTCATGAAGACGTGACATTATCTCTTGAAGTTTGCGACCAGACCTAAAATAAAGCCGTTGAAATTTTAGAAAGACATTAACACATTACTAGGGAATAACACTGACGTAAGAGTCTTGTAGTGCAGTTGACTTTGTTTGTGACTCACTATCAGGGATCTCAGATTTGATTCCCGGGCAGGTCAGAAATGGTTGCACACGTTTCCCTTCACCTAATGCTCTCATTCACCTAACAGTAAATAGGTACCCGGAGTTAGGAAACTGTTGTGGGGTTGCGTCCTAAGGAGGAATCAGTACTTTGACCGGGGATCTTGATAGAAGCCTAAACTGAAGGGAAGCCTGAGGAACAGAGATCACCAAAAGTACCAACACATACCCAAAATAAGCAGTCACTGGAAAATTTGTAAACCTGACAATAACATTGCAAACAATCATTGCCACTTCAAAACCATCATGTAGATACAGTTGCCTGCCACCAGATGTCAGCCCAGGTGACCTGGAGAACCCAGCCAGCCAGCTCACTAATGATCCTGATGAGATGGGGCCCACAGTAGGTGTTCATGGATCAGAGAGTCCTGGCGTGTTCCCTAAGGCTTAGTTGCTATTAAGTCATAGCATTGGGGAGCTACTGAGGGAGTTCTCCCAAATACAGTGGAACCTCGAATAACGAATTTAATCATTCCGGCACCGAGCTCGTTATGTGAAACGCTTGTCTTTCAAAACGAATTTCCCCATTTAAAATGATGGAAATCAAATTAATCCGTTCTACCACCGAAAAACATCAATATTGTATTCAATGTTTTAAATAATAGACCAGCATACCTGACAAACACCGAATGAACCTTTTGGCATTTGTTTTTTTTAATTTCATTTCTTTTTTCTACAAAAAACCAGCATTGAATGCAATGAAACGCCATTTTCTGGGTGAGCCCCGGAGGCTCCCTGGAGCTTATTGGGCTAATGTATGTTATGTTTGACCGAGACATTAGCTATGGAGTTCAGACCTACCAGGGACCAGCGCCAGAACCTGGCCCCTTCAGAGAGGTTTCAGGGAGCAATGGCCCTGGAAAACCCCATTATGGTTGGGGGTTTTCCTTATCTGCCATCGACCGGGGTTAGGCACCCAGAAAGGTAGACGTAACAAAACAAACCCCACATGGTAAGAAACTACAACAAAAAACCGAACTGAGAGGTAGAAACTCCCTACAATCCCAAGCAAACAATCAAACAATCAATTTACTGCTGCGCCGGTCGTCCGCACAGCCCTCCCCTTCCCGGGAGGGGGAGAGGGGGGAGCCGGACCTCACCGCGCCGGCTGCCTTCAGTTTGGAAACTAGGCTTCAATCAACGCGAAAAAAAACTCGCCAACTGGATGGGAGGGAGGGTAGCCAGGAAGACTCCGAGGCTCACCCAGAAAATGGCGTTTCATTACATTCAACGCTGGTTTTCTGTGGGGAGCCCCTACGGCTACCTGGAGCTACATACCCAAAGAGAAGGAAAATAGGGATTTACCTGGGAAGCGGCGGCCACAAACTCCTCACCTCAAAGTTGAGACAACTGGCTGCAACCTGCGACCCAAAGCAACACAAGAACGCCAAGGAGCAGGGACGTTCACCAAATAACGGGCAGCCAGGACCCTGTTCGACTTCCAAAATCCATGTGCCCGAATATGAGCCCAAGACATGTTACCTAACAGGGGCAGCCAAAGCTGCAAACTTCCAAACGTTATGGGCACGAGGATAGACCACAGGCTGGCTAGACTTAATAACCCTGCGGACAACCTGGAAGACCCGAGCCCTGGAACAGGGAACGAAGGAAACCGGATCAACCCAAAGTGCATCCCCAGCCACCCCAGCTGAAGCACGCAGGTAACGACGAAGTGCTGCAACCAGACACAACACATGATGCACCCCCGGCCAAACCAACCAAGCATCAATAACCCTCGGACCCCTCCAGAAAGCAGCCGTCTCGTTCTTCGCCAGAAAAGATGGAGAAGGCTGCAAACGGACAAACCTACCCCCAGGACCAAAAGAGCAGAAACCCCTGCGCCGGAGGAGAGCATCAAGCTCCCCTACCCGGCCCCCAGAGGCCAATGCCAACATAAACAAAGCCTTGGAAAAACAATCCGGAACCGAAGGGGCCACCAAAAACCCGAGGAGAGGAAAGATAGGAGAGTATCCTGTCCAAGGACCAGGACTGCTCAGGAGACACATGAGCAGGCTGGAGGTGAAACATAGCACGGGAAAGCTTACGGAACGACCAGGATGTGACGTCCACCCCGAACGCAAGCTTGAGCGGCTCTGCCAGTGCCGCACGATACGAGGCGACATTATTAGGCATCAAATGACGGTCCTGAAAAAGCCAAGAAAGAAAGGACAAGACAACCCGATCCGAAAGAAAAAACAACCTATAAGAGCCAGAAAATGGCAAAAAGAACGCCAGGAAACTTCATACTGTCGCCAAGACGAAGCTCTCAGGTGAGACACCATCAACGAAGCCACCTGATCACCATATAATTGGTGATATACCCGCATCAAAAAGACCAGACGTGAATAGCAGAGGAGAAGGTCGAACCAGCCCTGTAGCGGACCGGGCCGACCTGCTGAAAGAGGCGGAGTCGCAGGAAACGTCCCGGGTTTGGGCACTGAGCCAATAGCACCAGAAACCGAGGCTGGGCCAGCCACCAAGGGGCCACAAGGACTACTCTCCCTGGGAATGTCTCCAACCGAACCAGAACCTGAAGCAACAGCTGGACCGGGGGAAAGAGGTACAGGTAACCCCACCTCGACCAGTCCTGCCGAAAGGCATCCACCACGAACGCCTCGCAGTCGGGGAAGGGCGTCACATAGATTGGGAGATGCCGAGACCATGCCGACGCGAAGAGGTCCACATCTGGGAGACCATATGTCTGGCAGATCCAACGAAACGAGACGTCGTCGACCGTCCACTCCGTGGACAGGGGATGGAACCGAGACAGATCGTCCGAGACGTTGGACACTCCTCGGACATGAACCCCAAGGAGAGCCAAACCCCGAGAATCCAGCAGACGAACCACTCAAAGGGACCAACCCCAAAGAGCCAAGGACTGAAGAGAACCCCCGCGGTTCGGGCAATAAACCACTGGAGAACAGTCCGAATGGAGGTGAATGGTCGATCCCCGAGCGACCCGAACCCTCCGAAGCACGAACCAGACTGCCACGAAAAGGGCTGGCGCCCCTTACGAGACCCAGAACCTCGCACAGAGCAAACACCGTGCTGACCAGACGAAGGCGGGTCCGAAGGAGGGGCTGAACCCGAACTCGACACCAGTGGCCTAACACGATGAGAGGAACCCTGAGCCTTGGCACGACCCTTCCGGGAAGGCCCACAACGGGACCCCCGGAGAACCAACAAGTTCGACATAGGACGGCAAGAAGCTGAAGCAGCCTGAATATACTGCGTAACGGCCAAAGCCTCAAACAGAAGAGGACAAAACGGCGAAGACATCCGAAGAGCCAAGGCCCCAAGCAGATTCCACAGAGAAGGCAAGCACTGCCTGCCGACACACGAGCCAGGAAGCATAAAACAGTGTAACCGCATCCCTCAATATCGGCGTGAAAAGCTACAACAAGGCGGCCGACAAGCGGGCCGCCGAGGCCAAGGCGCCAGAACCAAGAACAGCCCCAAGTGATCCCACATCCTCCGTGAGCCAGTCCAAAGACAGCTCGAGGAGGGAAAAGAAACGTAAGGTCGAAGCCAACAGACCCCTGGCACGCAAGTCCTCAGCCACCAGCACCACCGAAAGGGAGGGGAACTGGCACATGGAGCTGAACGACACCTCATCCCGGGGAAGGGCAGGAGCAAATAAGCACTCATTGAGGTGCTCTAGGTCGCCCCCCCAGGAAAACCTAAAGCATCGTCGAAGCCTCCCTCCACTCAAGCATGCGGGAACGGCAGAAAGAGTGCCAAGCCTCCAAGGCAAAGACAGGACAGTCCACCAGCCAGGACGACTCCGGAACCTCATAATGGAGCCAGAAAAGGAACGAAGTCTCAAACCTGAAGACCAAGGGATCCATGTCCGAGGCATAATCCGGGTCACACAGGAGGTTTGCCGCAAGGGCCACCCGCACCGCAGCAGGTTGGATGTGATAAGCCGAAAACCTCCGGAAAGACGGAACCGAAGCGCCCGGGGGAACACGGAACCGAACCAGGGGAGGGGCAGACACCAAGTTCAACTCGTACGCAGAGGGGGGGAAAGAAAACCCCACTCCTTGTAACAGTAAGCCCTGCTCGGAGGGCAGAAAAACCCAGACGGGGTCCAGTGGGGCCCAAGGCCCCCAGCGCCCCCAGCTCAGCCCCTCCCCAGCCCCAAGGGGAATGTTTGCATTCCTTCATTTGTATATATTGGAAAATTTGGCATACATCTCATTTACTTACATGCCTAGCAACAAGTCTGTTCAACTAAACTCATTAAAGAATTTTCTAAATTCCCCATAGTGTCCTCTCTTGAAATCAAGTTTATCAACTGTTTCAATGTCCTCATTCTCTTCTAGATTATATCGCAAAGCATATTAAATTTCTAATAGTACACGATCACTCTTTTCCCAAGGGATAAAGGTACTGGATATCATATATATCTTCTTTCCTGGTGAATATTAGATCAAATAGTGACAGAACATCCCCTTCCCTCATTCTTGTGGCCTGTGCTTGACACGTTGATACATGAACGTCTCCATGTGGGATTGTACCAGTGCTTCCCCTGCAGTGACTGTGGGAATGTAATAGTGTTTCCCTGCAGTGACTGTGGGAATGTACCAGTTTCCCTGCAGTCACTGTGGGAATGTAACAGTGTTTCCCCTGCAATTGTGCGAGTGTGCGTGTGTGTGTGTGAGGGATGAGTGTAAGCGGATGAGAGTGGATGAGCAGTAAGACAACTGTATGTGAGCAAGAGGGAGTTATATAATTTTCATTAAGAAAGTATTTTCAGAACCTGGAACATTCAGCACCTTTGGATTTAGCAATCATCCTGGTTTATGGAGTAAGGTACAGCCCAACATAGTAATTAAACTGAGCGGATAGTGTAGTAACTTTTTTAGCATATTGACATGTGAACATGAAGTTGGTGATCACAGCTTGTGATGTGATGACCATTTTGGTGAATGTACCTAGTGACAGCCGCTGGAAGTGTTCATGTACACAATTTTTAAGGTCTTGGCATTATATTGCAATATGGACTCTGCAATTTTTTTTATTTTTTGTTTGGGAAGAGGGAGGGGGGAGTGGGCAAACAAATGTACAGCTTATACTATAGCAAATATGTCAGAGCTAACATTAAATTTTACGCACTTAGAAGTAAGATAATGTGGAGGTTTATCTCTCGGGATACTTAGTAAATGACCACTGTGAGGGTTGCCCGGTGTGGGGAGCAGAAGGGTCTGGATCAAAAGTGCTGTGATTCCTCGCACAGCCAGTGACAAGCTCTGAAAAAAGAACAAGAGCAAATATCAATAAGTTTTTCTTCAAGTGATGAGACAAGGACTATTGAGAAAATAAGGTGGAGCCATGAAGAGAACTAGAACCAGCACCCTGGGGTACTCCCAAGCACATGCTATCAACCACTGCACCACAATACACTACAAGTAATGTAACCTGGGATTCAACTGATCCACAAGGGACCTGGAAGCATTGAACTGACACCAATTCTAGGTTTTACACATTACCCATGTACACTTTGATGTAGTACCGGAGTTCTTCCCAACGCTCGCTTCAAATTTCACAAAGAAATCAGGTTAAAGTGTTGTATCAATGAGAAAAACAGTTGGAATCAAGAGGAGGATTCAAACCTGTGCAGTGGGTACGCCCAACTGATTTGCTCATTGATACATCGTCGTCACTTCACTTAGGTGAAGGGACGACGACGTTTCGGTCCGTCCTGGACCATTCTCAAGTCGAAACCTGTACATGGTTTCCGTTTTTATATTTTCATTTTTTCCATAGCGCATGAGCTGAAATTTATCTTCGTTAAACACCATATTATTTTCTGTAGCCTATAAAAAGACCTGATTGACATCTGATTGGAGGTTTGCCGTGTTCTCTATGTTGTCTTCTCTCATAAATATCCTAGTGTCATCTGCAAAGGATGATACAGTACTATAGGTTGTGTTCTTGTCTATGTCTGATATGAGGATGAGAAAATTACTGGAGCAAGCACAGTACCCTGTGGGACTGAGGTCTTTACGGTTGATGGTCCAGATTATATTTTGTTGACTATTATACATTGGGTTCTATTAGTCAGGAAATTGTAGATCCATCTGCCTATTTTCCGGTAATTCCTTTTGAACGCATTTTATGTGCAATAACACCATGGTCACATTTGTCGAAGGCTTTTGCAAAATCTGTGTAAATTACATCAGCATTTTGCTTGTCTTCCATGGCATCTAGTGCCATGTCATAGTGGTCCACCAACTGTGATAGGCAAGAGCGCCCTGTTCTGAAACCATGTTGTCCGGGGTTATGGAGATGCTGTGATTCCATGTATTTTGTGATCTTACTTAGCACTCTCTCAAAGATTTTCATGATGTGCGATGTTAGTGCTATCAGACTGTAATTTTTTGCCTCTGCCTTATTTCCTCGTTTATGGAGTGGCGCTATCTCTTCTGTTTTTAAGATCTCTATTTTGATTATTAGCACTTCCACCATATCATTTGTGGTGTTTAGCAGCTCAGTACAGATGAGTGTGTCCTTGATGTACAGGCTAACCCCACCCTGTAGCCTGTGTTTCCTGTCACATCTGAAAAGATTGTACTCTGAGATCCATATTTCACCATCATGGTAGTCCTTTGTGAGAGTTTCCATTAGGGCTGCAAACACTGCATTTGCCTCATGTAAGAGGCCATCTATGAAGTGCACTTAGTTACATTTGCGTGTTTTTATACCCTGAATGATGGCAAATAAAAATGATGTTATGTTTGTGGAAGTGCTGATGCTTTACTTGGTGTTAATATCTGAGGTTGTGGTAAGGAGGCCACTGTGTTTGTGTCCTCTCTAGCATTTGGCCGAGTTGGTGGTAGAGTTTGGACATATTTAGCCATTCTTCTCCTTCTCATCCTCTTGCTAAAAAATCATCCTGGTAAATAGTGTTGTGGCTGCTTTCATCGAGATGGTTTGTCCGTCTTATTCACTTGGTACCTTTTACATGAAAAGCTGGACATTCTGTGTTGAAACATTCATTCTTATTTAAAGAGTTCTTGCACAGTTCTGGGTGAAAGAGATCACAGTTTTTGGTACATTTACCTGTACGAAGAAGGGTCCTGCACTTTCTAGGATGATCATATTTACATAGTCCATTTGTTCTCCCCGATATCCCATGCTTACAGATACCCCATTTATAATATCGGCATATTTTGGGTCCTTGTTTAGTTTGTTTCAAAAACCCTGGTGCCAATATTATGCCCGGTTCAGGCTCAGATACCGCGCCTGACCCCAATGTTCTGTCCGGCGCCAGCATAGCATCCGGCCCCGATGCCAACGTTGCATCCGCCCCCCCCCCCACCAACGTTGCATCCGGTCAATGCGACCTGATAGGTCCATGTCGACCTAACCCTGGTCAGAAAAGGAAAACCCTCAACCATAAGGGGGTTTTCCAGGGCCAGGTTCTGGTGCTGGTCCCTGGTAGGTCTGAACTCCATAGCTAATGTCCCAGTCTAATATAACATACATTAGCCTGATAAGCTCCAGAGAGCCTCCGGGGCTCACCCAGAAAATGGCTTTTCATTACATTCAACGCTGGTTTTTTGGAGTGCAAAACATGTCCTCGTACTGCTTTTTTTAGGATTTCACTCATTTCTTTGTCATCCCCCATGTATGAACCTTCACTTGTACGAATAGGTCCAATACTGGTAGTGGTTTTTGCTTTTGATTTTGCATATGTGAAGAACTATTTAGGGTTTTTCTTTATTTCTTGAACTGCTTTCTGTTCTAGTTCCCTTTCTTCAATCTGATACGAATGCTTCAGTCTTTGTTCAATTTCTTCAATTTCGCTGTTTAAATTATTCCTTCTTTGTGTGGAGAGTCGTGTCTGTTTAAGCATTTCCATTATTTTTTTCCTTCTCTTTTAGTGTTGTCTGCATTTTCTGTCTACTTTGGACCTCTTTCTGGCTTTCCTCAAAGGCACACGTTTCAGACTTCATATGCTTCAGAAGTTAATTTTTTTATTCTTTGTGTAGGATTTTTATTACTTAGAACAGTTTCCCATTGAATGTTTGTAAGTTTCCTGTTTATTTTCTCCCAGTCTATCCTTTTATTATTAAAATTGAATTTACTGAATAACCCTTCTCGCTGGTTGTTTCACTTGGGCCTACTACCGTTATTAATGTTAGTTTGCATTTCAATGATTTTGTGGTCCGAGTACGTAGTGTCTGAGACAGTAATGTCTCTGATTAGCTCATCATAGTTCGTGAATATCAGGTCCAGCGTGTTTTTGTTCCTAGTTCTTAGTATTGATATACAGCATATAATCATCCATGAATGATTACTTTGTCAAACCACAGGCATATAAGGTAGCCCATAAAGCATCTTAACATTAAATTTGCACAAAAAAAGTATCTAAAAACTTCCATATAGACCCCCCAAAAAAATCATGACTGAACAAAAATAAAATGATCCATTAAGTACAAAAATAAAGGCAATTACCAGATTAATGAAAGGTAGCTCCTCTGTTGGAGTATTCTCACTAGGGGTTGAGTTTAGAACTGATAAGAGTGCCATCCAGGTTTCTTCAAATTGTTGTCGGCCTATCCAACCAAAAAGCTGCATTCTGCAAAATCCATCAGTTATAAAACAACTATCTTAAAACTGCATTAATTTTTACAAACTGTGTGAGTACAAGGTAAACTATTGTATGATGGATACAAAATTGTAAAGACATTTCAATTTCAACATCCCTCATTGTATCCTCTTACTAGAATAAATCAAACTTTGCATACATATGAAACAGTTTCTGAACAATATACCCAGTTGCTAATTAAACAAGATCCTACTGACTTCTGGTCAGACCTGCTACATTCTGGGCATAATGACTGATACTAGCAGGGAACTTTTCAATCTGATCCTGACAAATCATACTGGTGCTGAGAAGACACCACAGAATAGTCTCCCCCCAGCACCATCATTGAGTTGTGGCACTGGTACTGCCACCTGTGGCAGAAATGGGTAATAGCCTAGTGGGTCATTGGTTAGCTAGAATCTACTGGTTAGTTTTAATAATGCCAAGTTGCACTTGGAAAAGTTTGAGTTTTATGCAAATGCACTGGCACTGGAATAACTCGGTGGAATGATTTGAAAACTTTCCCACTGTGTCAGAGCTTAACCACAGGCAGTAGGAGTTGCCCCAACTGAGTGAGGGAGCTCAGAAAAAACCCAATGCTGAATGTAATGAAACTCCATTTTCTGGATGAGACCCGGAGGCTCCCCGGAGCTATACCGGGTTGATGTGACCTCCACCAATCTCCACCTCTCACAAGTCAAGCCTGGCCTCGGGCCGAGCTTGGGGTGTAGAAGAACTCCCAGAACCCCATCAAGCAGGTATCAAGCAGGTTTAAGGGAAGCCCAGGCAGGGTACTACTAACCAGCTCCCAGAACTACCAAACCTCTAAGACTGCACCCCTGGGACGTGTACGCTCACAGGGGCCTAGCGGAGGTACCACTGAAGTATATATGTAGATATAGGGTATGACCCAACCTAAGGGAAGACTCCCCACCAAAGTAAAGGAACAAAAAGATACAAAAAACCAAAAGAGAACAGCATACCCAGAGGATGTAGAGTCGGCCACTATGTGTTGACAACTACCTGCGTAATACCCTGCGCCCCTACCAGTGACGAATACTACCCCCTACCCAGAGACAGAGAAGCAAGAACCCCCAGCTGACACCAAGGGCAGACAAGTACTGAGCAGTAAATGACACAATGAGGGCAGCCCCCCCAAGGTGACTTGTGGAAGGAGGCCCCAAGCCCCAAGGGCAGTACATACAGGACGCTTAGGGAAGGGGACCCTATGTGCATGCAGCCCGAGTACTTGTAAATATACTCCCAGCTTGCACACCACCTAATTTTAGCAAGAATCAGAGAAGTAGTCCAGAGCTGGAGGTACACAACCGAAGTCCACCGACATCAGCCAAGAACTGGCAGGCTTGGGTAGCCAGCGGAATGTTTGGGGCTTCCCCTTTTCCCTCCCGGGGAGGGGGGGGGGGGAAGAGTTGCGCAGATGGCAGCGCGTTGGTAACGAGATGACATCATGCTTGTTTGCTTGTTTTTTCTTCATGGGGAGTTCTATCCATTTGTTCCGCCTTGATAGCAATTCTTAACCAGAATGGAGGTGTTTTGGGGCGACTATCTTTTTGTGTGCCCGATCCCGGTCGATGGCAGACAGAGTATTTCTAAATTATACATAAGGTGTGTCTATAGGCCATTGCTCCTTGTGCCTCTCTGAAGGGAACAGGTTCTGGCTCATTGGTACCTGGTAGGCCTAGAACTCCATGTACATTGACTAATGCCCAAAGTTAATACTCCAAAGGGGCTCCCTCTAGAAATAAAAATAAAATAGAAAATGTGTTGCAGGTATGGCCAGCTACTAGTTGAACATTAAAACAGGCACAGAAAAACTATACATAAAAACACAATGGGTTAACTTGCAAGCTGTAATGTTAATGAATTACATTAAAATTGAACACAAAATAAACAGTATACCTAAATATAAATTGTTTGAGAACATCTGTTTCTTGCAATAATTCCACCTGGATTGGTGGTAGATTTGTACCATGCTCCCCAGAGAACTGAGGGGACCATCCCAGCGTCCACATGTCAGGAGGTATTCGTACGATGCTGTTTACCACAGGCATACGTCCCAAACCCATTATAATGCCTCTGAAAATATCAGAAATCATTATAAAAGCAAAATAAAAACAGCTTTGAATGTAATGGAACACCTCTTTCTGGTGGGCCACCCAGAAGCTCCCCGACACTACAATCTGGAAGTCAAAACAAAATGAGATATGAAAAATGAAGGAGGGTGAATTTGAAAAAATTAACAGAAAATTTATACATATGGAGAAGAACTGAGAGCAACCCTATAGGCTATCTAAAACAGGGGATTAGGCAAGAAAATGATAAGAGAAACTTCATGAACAGCTCAAATAGAGAAGGTTACTAAAGGATTGGAAAAGTACAAAGAGAAAATTACAGAATTATATGTGCAAGTTGTAAAACAGAAAGAAATAATGAAAAGAATATGTTTGGAAGCCAAAAACAGAAAAAACAAAAAGAAACAGACATTAAGCAAGGGGTTAGGAAAGAACTGGTTACCTGCAGTAAATTAGTACAAAACACTGTAGATAAAAGTACTGTAAGTCCATAGTATTTTTGTGATATTTGGAAGTGGAAATACCATCCAGGATAAATAGAAGAGGGATAAATAATTAGGAAAATTGTAGGTTTAGGAGAAGGCATCAAAACAGGAAAATGTTAATAAGATTAGAATGAGAGGCAAATTTGAAAAAGATAAGGATCGCTCCTTTAATGACATGGAGCAATGGCTTTGTGGAGTGTCTTTTCTTCAGTTCTTTTTTGATCTTTGATCTCAAGCCCAAGATCCCAAAAGCCTCTGTCTCATTCAGTGATTGTGATCCAGACCCAAGTTAGGCACTTGTGGGTCAGAGTCCTGGTGTGCTTCCCAAGGCTTGATTACTTCCAGATTGTAGAAGGGGAGGGGGGGGGGGTTAGCTACTGCAGGGGCCATCCCAGAAAAAATAATGAATACTATACGGATACTGTATACTGTATTCTTATATAAATATACATCTCGTAATATCCTTCTAAGTATTGCAATGTGAATGTAAATATATATGAATGTATTATCAAATCTTCTACAGTATGTTGATCAACTTATGAGTGAACAAAATTGCACTAATTAAATTTAAACACAGCAAAATATGAGTGTAAGCTTTTAACCTAATTGGGTGAGCAATACACGCTGGAAGATCACGTAGGTTTCCCGCCTCCAGCCAAGACACCAGCTGCATCAGTCTCCGGCATGCCACTAGAAGGCTGCTCTCCACCCCATTTAAACACTGGCTTAAGCTGGCAGGAAGACTGAAACAAATTAAATATTGTAAACAATTAATTTAACTGAAAATAATTTGCCGTTCTGAATGCAGTAAATGATTAAGCCTTCATAAAATATATATTCATTATTTGTTTGTTATATATATTTTCCTTCAAAAGCAAAGTTTAAGCCTCCAGCAAAGTATTCCATTATGTAGCACATAAACAATTTTATATTATTCACTTGGGGTACCATGACTGGTGAACAAAGTTCAGTGAGTAGCATACCTTGGGAGTGCCCTAGGCTTAATGAGGTAAGATGCAGCAGTGTGAAGAGCAGCTACCATAGAGCAGACATAGGATATTCTGTCAGGCAGACCCAACAGGCTGGCTAAAGTACCACAACGCAAAACAGAATCCACACAATTTAGGCACAGACTGGCGACTTCAACACTCACACTGCCTAGCCAAACTTGCCAGTGAAGGTACTGAAAGCATAAATTTAAACAATTAAAATTACATCAGGCTGTGAGCAGCCACATCCAACAGCCTGATTGACCTGCCACCAACCAGGAGGGATGTCGATACTCAGAATCACCATAAGGTAACCACAAGGTAGCCTACATTTAAACATGTGGATAATCTTTTAATTTGACTTTATGAGCAAGTCTGTCAGTTGCTCTCTGACTCAACCACCAAATAATCCCTCAAGTATTCCATTCACTCACTAGGCTTTCAATAGTTAGTCTCTCCACTGTGACTAGGAATTTTGAAAATAGTCTTGCAGAGTGATGACTGGGTTTCTTGGTGACTTCAGTCATTGCTTTTTTTAAGAGGATCTGCAGTATATTGTTTCATAATTTTGTTTCATAGGAAGCAGTGGTGGTAGATGACCAATTGTCGGTGGTGGACAGTCATAGTCTCCCAACGAGTCAAATCAAGGCATCGCCACGCCAAGACTATTTACTAAAATCATTATTACGGTGGAGACATAAGTCATCAAAAATATGCATGACGGAGGTACACCCAGTCAGTGTCATCCCTGAGACAAGAGAACCGAGCAACCTTCAAACTCGCACCAAGTGAGAGGGAACCCAGGGGGTCGCATCCAAAGGACCACAGGGCCCCCCGTTGGGTTTCCCAGGGCCCTTAATTGCGTTATCTCGCTAAGGGAAGCCCAGGCAGGGTACTGCTAACCGGCACACAAAACTACAGAGAAAACTGCTAAAGCTGAACCCCCCAGGACGTGTACAATCACAGGTGGCCTAGCGGAGGACCACCAAATTACAATAGGGTGTGACCAATCAAAAGCAGTCCCCCCCCACCAGGCAGGAAAAACAAAAAGGAAAATAAAACCCTACAAGAGTTTTATTTTCAAGAGTCAAGTGAAAATATTACTCTTGATAAAAATAAAATATTTTTATTTTAGTCAAGAGAGTTGACTAAAATTACCCCCTACCCAGAGGCAAACATGGGAGCATTCCCTGTTTGCTCAAGGGACTTGTGGAAGGTGGCCCCAAGCCCCAAGGGCAGTACTTACAGGGTATCTAGGGAAGGTGACCCCAAGGTGCATGCAGCTCGAGAACTAGTGAAATCACTCCTGGCTCACGCACCACCAAAGAAACAGCACCACACCACAAGGTACAGAGCTGGAGGACAGGAAAAGCGGAGCCAGAGACACACGACCATTGCCAATCACATCAGCCAAAGAACTGGGGTCTAGGGTTCCCCCTTCCCCCTCCCAGGGAGGATGGGTGGCACAGACAGCAGTGCAGTGACGTGATGAAGTCATGCTCATTTGTTAGTTTTCATTTGGGGAGTTCTGTCCACTAGTTTGGCTTTCAGTAGCAATGTTAACCAGAATAGGGGTTTGTTTTGGGGCACTTACCTTTCTGGATGCCTGACCCAGTCGATGGCATATATAGAATGCTTCCAACCACATGGGGGGTTTCCTATAGGCCATTGTTCCTCGTGCCTCTCTGAGGGGACCAGGTTCTGGCTCGTGGTCCCCAGTAGGCCTAGAACTTCATGCACATTGATGCCAAAGTCTAATATATTATCAGCCTGGATAGCTCCGGGAAGCCACAGGGGCTCCCCCCAGAAAAGGGACATCTTCATATACAGAGGAACCTTGGGTGACAAGCAGCCCCATATATGAGCATTTCGGGTAACGAGCGAGCCACTCGCAGAAAATTTGTCTCGAATGATGAGCTTCCGTTCAGTTAACGAGAAAACGGCATGGGGGCTTCCTAGCGTTCCCACCGGTTCACGCAAATTTTCAAATGTCTCCGACGACAGTGTTGTTGTTTTATCGCGCAGGATATGCATCCCTCAGCATTTATTTGTGCTTTACTTTGTTTTTTGTGGTTTTGTGACTACAAAAAGGGTGTATGCTGCCTCTTCCAGAGAGAGATCAGAAAAGTACTGTATTGGGAATGTTTGAATAGGTTACCGCATTCTTGGAAAAATATCACCCTGATAGAGCAGTGACTGCACGGTGTGTAAACTTGTTTAATGACAATTTGCTGTCTTGTTTTAGGGACATCCTAAAACGAAGACAAAAACAAGTGTCAAAAGATACCTTTTTTGGAAAGGTACAGAAAAGACGAGCAAGTGATATTGAACCACAACCGGGTCCCAGTGGGATGAAAGTCCCAAGAAGAGAGAGCCCGCCTGACACAGACGCGGATTCTCCTTCCACACTGTAGCCCCCTCTCCACTTCCTCACCGTCTCCCTCAAGCCAGCAATGACTCTTCATGAGGTAAAGTACAATTGAAAACAGTAAAATAAAACTGTTTATAATAATTACATATATTATAATTACATGATAAAATTTCATATTGATGTTTTTTGGGGGTGGAATGGATTAATTTCATTTCCATTATTTTAAATGGGGAAATTTGTTTTGCAAGACTAGCTTTTCACATGACGAGCTCAGTGCCAGACCGGATTAAATTCGTTACCCGAGGTTCCTTTGTAATTTGTTTATAATAATATTAATTAAATACACTTGAAATAACAATAACTTAAATTGAATCAAAATGCTAGTGAACTCAATACTAATACATGCAATATAAGCACTGCATCACACACAACTTCATGTGTCTTAAGTAATGCAAATGACTCACCTCCATTGCCAAAAGAGCAAATCTCAGAATATGTTCCGAGTTGTCTGGTAAGACTTGGGCTCCCCAGGGAAGACGTGTCATGGAAGAAAGATACTCCACCACAGCTGGAGCCAGCGTGTCCACCACACTGCCGATGCCGTCGTCGCCAGACAGCAACTTGCAGACTCGTTCACTGTACTTGTTTCCGCCACCTGAGAACAATTGAGAGTTAAATATAAAAAGGCTTAAAATTCATAAACAACAAATTGCAGGTAAAGGATAATATTCAGAGGTTAAAAATGGGAAATAGATTCACGGAAAATGAAAAGGAAATGTGTGAAACATTAAACGAAAAGTTCCAAAGTGTGTTTGTACAAAATGAAATCTTCAGGGAACCAGATACAGTAAGAATTCCAGAGAACAATATAGAGCACATAGAGGTGTCTAGAGACGAAGTGGAAAAAATGCTCAAGGAGCTAAATAAGAACAAAGTAGTTGATCCAGATGGAGTTTCACCATGGGTTCCGAGAGAATGTGCATCTCAGCTCAGCATTCCATTTCAACTGATTTTTAAGGCATCCCTGTATACAGGAGTTGTAGCTGATGTATGGAAAAAGGCTAACATAGTTCCAATCTACAAAAGTGGAAGCAGGGAAGACCCCCTTAATTATAGACCGGTATCATTGACAAGTGTAAGAGTCAAAATATTGAAAAAAATAATTAAAACTAAATGGGTAGAACACCTGGAGAGAAATTATATAATATCAGACAGATAGTATGGTTTTCGATCTGGAAGGTCCTGTGTATCGAATTTACTCAGTTTCTATGATCGAGCAACAGAGATATTACAGGAAAGAGATGGCTGGGTTGACTGCATCTATCTGGACCTAAAAAAGGCTTTCGACAGAGTTCCACATAAGAGGTTGTTCTGGAAACTGGAAAATATTGGAGGAGTGACAGGTACGCTTCTAACATGGATGAAAAATTTTCTGACTGATAGAAAAATGAGGGCTGTGATCAGAGGCAATGTATCGGACTGGAGAAATGTCACAAGTGGAGTACCACAGGATTCAGTTCTTGCACCAGTGATGTTTATTGTCTACATAAATGATCTACCAGTTGGTATACAGAATTATATGAACATGTTTGCTGATGATGCTAAGATAATAGGAAGGATAAGAAACTTAGATGATTGTCATGCCCTTCAAGAAGACCTGGACAAAATAAGTACATGGAGCGCCACTTGGCAAATGGAATTTAATGTTAATAAATGCCATGTTATGGAATGTGGAATAGGAGAACATAGACCCCACACAACCTATATATTATGTGAGAAATCTTTAAAGAATTCTGATAAAGAAAGAGATCTAGGGGTGGTTCTACATAGAAAACTATCACCTGAGGACCACATAAAGAATATTGTGCGAGGAGCCTATGCCACGCTTTCTAACTTCAGAATTGCTTTTAAATACTGAACATGGATGGCAATATATTAAAGAAATTGTTCATGACTTTTGTTAGGCCAAAGCTAGAATATGCAGCAGTTGTGTGGTGCCCATATCTTAAGAAGCACATCAACAAACTGGAAAAGGTACAAAGACATGCTACTAAGTGGCTCCCAGAACTGAAGGGCAAGAGCTACGAGGAGAGGTTAGAGGCATTAAATATGCCAAAACTAGAAGATAGAAGAAAAAGAGGTGATATGATCACTACATACAAAATAGTAACAGGAATTGATAAAATCGATAGGGAAGATTTCCTGAGACCTGGAACTTTAAGAACAAGAGGTCATAGATATAAACTAGCTAAACACAGATGCCGAAGAAATATAAGAAAATTCACTTTCGCAAACAGAGTGGTAGACGGTTGGAACAAGTTAGGTGAGAAGGTGGTGGAGGCCAAGACTGTCAGTAGTTTCAAAGAGTTACATGACAAAGAGTGCTGGGAAGACGGGACACCACGAGCGTAGCTCTCATCCTGTAACTACACTTAGGTAATTACACACTCTTAACCACTGTATCGTCATCAATTTGTTCAATATGACGACACTGTCTCAACACACACACTCCTCAACCTTACGATTTACTGATTTTTTATTCCATTTCTTTCCATGACATTTTCATTCCATAATCAATGTATTCTTCTAATATCACAAATGCATCTCAGATTGTTCATTATCAGTTATAATTTTTTTGGGGGGGCTCATTCCCCACCATCATCTCAGGTTGTAGATGTGATCACACTGAAGTACTGTGCAGGTACTTCATGCAGCCCTCTAGCTGCATCCTCTTGTCCTGCCTTATTCTTCCTAACCAGCCCTCTAGCTGCACCCTCTTGTCCTGCCTTATTCTTCCTAACCAGCCCTCTAGCTGCACCCTCTTGTCCTGCCTTATTCTTCCTAACCAGCCCTCTAGCTGCACCCTCTTGTCCTGCCTTATTCTTCCTAACCAGCCCTCTAGCTGCATCCTCTTGTCCTGCCTTATTCTTCCTAACCAGCCCTCTAGCTGCATCCTCTTGTCCTGCCTTATTCTTCCTAACCAGCCCTCTAGCTGCATCCTCTTGTCCTGCCTTATTCTTCCTAACCAGCCCTCTAGCTGCATCCTCTTGTCCTGCCTTATTCTTCCTAACCAGCCCTCTAGCTGCATCCTCTTGTCCTGCCTTATTCTTCCTAACCAGCCCTCTATCTGCACCCTCTTGTCCTGCCTTATTCTTCCTAACCAGCCCTCTAGCTGCATCCTCTTGTCCTGCCTTATTCTTCCTAACCAGCCCTCTAGCTGCATCCTCTTGTCCTGCTTTATTCTTCCTAACCAGCCCTCTAGCTGCATCCTCTTGTCCTGCCTTATTCTTCCTAACCAGCCCTCTAGCTGCATCCTCTTGTCCTGCTTTATTCTTCCTAACCAGCCCTCTATCTGCACCCTCTTGTCCTGCCTTATTCTTCCTAACCAGGACTCACAAACTCTCCGAAAGAAAATATTTGATAAATTACAAAACCAAAGTATAGGTGCAGATGAGGAGTCACAATAACATGGCTGAAAAATGTTGACCAAATCACACACTAGAAAGTGAAGAGACGATGATGTTTCGGTCCATCCTGGACCATTATCAAGTCGATTGTGATGAGAGGAAGGAGGTGAAGGCAATTAATTAATAGGCAAGAGAGAGAGAGAGGGGTGAAGAGAAGGAAACCTTACAGGAAGAAAAAGCAAGGCAATAGGTACGGAAGGTAAGGTATAATAAAGGGGATAATAATAGGAATAAGAAAGGGATCATAAGAGAAAACAAGGTAAAGAAAAAGAAAGATAAAAGGAAGGGTAAGCTTATGTTAGGTCACGTTTGTTAGAAAGTTTGGAACATTTGAGTATATAATGTGAATGGGAAGAGTCCACAGCAACAAAGCCAGGACTCAGGTTCATGTTGGGTACATTGTGTATTAGAGCCGATTCGACAAGACGGCATCTGTGTATAGTAGAGGATTATTTTGGAGGAAGACCAATCAATAGGATGATTAGAATCCCTCACATGGCAGAAGAGATCACTGTTTGTGTCTGCAGACCTAACACTTCTTTTGTATTTCTTAAATCTGACATTTAGTGTATGGCCAGTTTCACCAAAGTATTGGAAAGGACAAGACGAACAGGAAATAGAGTAGACACCAGCAGCATTAGAAGCAGGAGCAGCAGTGTGAACTAGATTGCTACAAAGAGTGTTAGTTTGTTGAAAGGTGAGCTCAATGTCAAAAGGATGAAAGGTATTAGTAAAAGTTTTGAGTTCAGATATGAAGGGAACGCAAAGCACAGTGCTACTAGTGTTCGAAGCAGGTTTAGGATGAAAGAAATTTGTTTAGCTTGAGAATAGGCACAGTTGATAAACTGTAAAGGGTACCCAAGGTGAGAGAATAATGTGTAGATATAGGAAATTTCAGAATCAAGAAACTGAGGATCGCTGTTGCGTAGAGCGCAGAGGAAGAGAGAGACGAGAACACTTTTCTTAATAGAAGGAGGATGGTAGGAAAAGATGTGAATGTACATGCCACTATGCATCAGTTTGCTGTAGACAGAGAAAGATAACCCGGACACAGAGCCGTGTCCAAAGTACAGGTATTTGAACCAATCGGCAACATACAGGGGTGTGTTTGTTTACACCTATTTCACACCATGTTTCCTTCACTCTCTCCCTCATCATTACTTTTATCTATATTCATTTTTAGGTACCTTCTTTCACATATATAAACAAACTTTTAACTAATCTACATACAGTATATCCTTTTACAACAACAACAACAATTTTTAATAAATATTCAGATGATGACACAATGGTTTATTAACTGTTACAGAGCATCAGTACCGTATGTATATTTAATGAAGCCACTAATATTAAAGCATTTCGGGTACAACTTAAAGTAATTCAGCTAAATTATTTAAATTATTTATCAGTTTATGAGGTAAACATTAATAAACAATAAATAAGCTAACAAATGGATTATTCAAGAAATTTAGCAAGTAGTATACAGATTTTAATTGACACCTAATGTCAATTAAAAGGGTCATTTCATACCCTTTTCATAGATTACATTATTATGATATCTATAGTTTTAGCAACAGAATATATATAGTACTTAATATTCTAATAATAACAGCAAAGTACAAAACTGATTTATTTTGGATGAGGAAATGCGAGCGAAATTTGTTACATAACGTTAATTAGATACTTATTAGTCTCTTTTAAACTAGTTGAGAAAAGTACAGCTTTTAATAACATTTGGAAGGTCATTCCAACCCTTAATTTGCATAGCATTTCTCCTTTGGTCGAGTCACATTCTAGGACTCGACCAAAGTAGAAATAAAATGCAGATCATACCTGGGGTAAATGTGTGATGTGGACGTGGCAAGGATCCTGCGACTTGGGCTAGATGCTGAAGTAATATCACCTTGCTGGCAGTGTATAATGGTGCCTCCCCCGTACCACTACCACTGCTGCACTCTTCACTGTCACCCGTCTCCACTGAGCTGTTGCAGTCACCCCAGTCTCTGTTGGCCTGCCATTTTATACACAAAAATCAACCAAAACAACAGAGTAAATAAATACTGTAAATTTCCCATATTTATTTATTTGTTATCACAGTGATCATAAAATAAATTTTTGCAATACTCTGAAAAGGTAAATTTGAATACGCTACACCATTGAAAATGTGCATCTCAAGCACCTAGTGGAGTGATGGAACATTGCATGTTAGGTAACCTCAGTCAAATTCTGAACGTGTTATGAGTCACAGGATCAACTGATCAAGACTATAATGATGTGTGTTATATGAATGAAGTAATTGAGAAACGCTGCACATTGACATTATTGTGTTAATGACCAAGTTAATGGAAGAAATGTCAGAAATAGGGAGAGGTAGTGCAAAATTATGCACATGCTCAGAGGCCAGACAAGAGAGGCCTCGGTTGAGAGGCAGGACAAAAGAGCCAGAGCTCAACCCCCGCAAGCACAATTAGGTGAGTGGATGGGTGACGTGTATGCATGGAGGAATACATGAAGATGAGCAAGAATAAAGATGTGTAAAGATGACACTACAAGTGCCACAATAATGGTCACTAACAGATGGTATATTTTATTCAGATTTATAACAAAAAATACAAATGTAGTTCACTTGTGGAATCATCCTTATAGAAATGTATTTTCAATAATTTTGTATATTATTTTGTGTTTATTTTTTCTGAGTAATATGGTTATTCACCTAATAGAATTCTCATCATTATTAACCCATTTTCATGGAGTGGGGAAGCACAGTACAGCAATACACAAAATAAAGGTGTAAGATACTTAAAAAAATGCCCCATTCATTCACTATGTCTTCCACACAACACAATGCAGCAGCACAATTTAGCAAAAAAAAATTACATCAGCAATTCATCACTTTATACAACTAGGTTTCAAAATGGTTTCTATAATTTGTCATTTCAAAATACTCTATGTTAAAGTAAGTGTTGAATATTCCTCTCTCTAAACAACTAATTCCATCCAGCGTACTATTTCTCGTGCACTGTTAATTCTAATCCCCAGTTCCTCACATCCACTCACAATGTCTGTCTTCTTGGGTTTCATATTTTACTCATCATTGTTGTCAACCATGTGTTCAATACAACTGAACCATCTCAATATGCTCTACTTTACTCAACATTTATTAATTTACACTCCATATCTCTCTATGACATTTCATTCCTTAACTCTGTATCCTCCTAACACCATATATGCATCAAAGACTGTAGTTCTGCTGCTCTTAACTTTTTATGCTCATGCTATGCCAGCGTCTCACATCCGTAAGTAGATGTAGTTCCTATTTGAGATGTGCAGTGCTCCTTTACGTAGACTTCAAGCCACATCTCTTCAAATCATAATGTAAAATATTCTAATACATTCATCCATTACATTTATTGAGCATTTTTTTTTTTTTATGAAAACATTGTCAAACTTTATATACTGTACAAGTACCTGCAGGGTAGTGGTAAGTCCAAGCCTGAGTGTATGGGTCAGCATTGCAGTGTTAAATGTTTTCCCAGACATAATGTTGATAATTTCACTATACTCCAGCTGACTCAATAGCTGACCACACTCTAGCCCTCCTGCTTCTCCCCGCATACATCTGTCGGATATAAATAAAACTCAAGTTAGGTATTATTCTCTCTTTTTACTGTATGTATACTTAACATCATGTTCATTTAATTTAGGTACATACAGTAGGTCTGGAAAAAAATTTGGATCATCCTTATTAGGTTCCCCAATAGAGATACCTTATAATTTTGTTATGTTGATGTTCTGAGGCATCACACACTGCTGTTACAAGAGACAAGATCTCACTGGGTTCAAGTGACACGATTATCCCATTCTATACAAGTGCCAAACGAAACCTTTCATAGGTCCCTGCATCGTCATACTGATGCTAGGGTGGCACTATGGAGCATTTAATCAAATCCTAAATGACTGCCAGAAAGTACAGAGTAGTAATTCCATAAAAAATTCAATATTTTATGTCAAGAAGTATGCACAGAGGATCGAGTCAGCAAACCGAGGTTGATGCATTTAATACCCACTCATATGACCCTGTCTCTATACTGTACTTAGAAAATGGATCCATTAAATACGTCCTATTATACTTGAGAGAAAATGTATGACTTATCTCGTATACATATTGTATTTAAGACCTTTGAAAAAGTATTCATATCTATGTATGAACATTAAGTAAGTAATTATCAAAAGAAGGCACCAAACTGGGAAGGCTATGTAGCACCATCAAATGTGCAGATAATCAGAGGGCGCTAAATATCACCAAGGATGCCAATACGAGAACAGAAACGCATAAGGCGAACGATATCAAAAGTATCCAAGTCACCAAGAACACTATCGAGAGACAAGCGACTGCTGGGGACGGTCGGAAAACAAGACACATGCTCGTCCCGGGAGTCAGGACATTCAACAAGGATATGCACGACCATAAGAGGGACAAGGCAATTAGGACAATAAGGAGAAGGGTCTCCTTATTGTCTCCAGAAACTCCAACGAGACTCCAACAAGAGTCTCCAGAACCTCCTTAGGCGAGATTCGAGAGGCAGAAATCCTCCGAAGGGAAAAACCCAAGGAACCCAAGAAAACCCTGAACCAAACCCGGGAAAGAGCCGACCCCAAATCATACTCATACAGGGAAGGAGGGTAAGAAAACCCCTCCCCCTGCAACAACAAGTCCCACAAAGAGGGCACCAACTCCCAGTGGGATCAAAGGTGGCCCAAGCCCCCCAGGTCAACTCCTGGGGGGCTCCTAGCTCCAGGAGCCTCCAAACCCAGGACCTGGGGCAGAGCCATCCTCCACACACACTACCCCTGAAGAAAAGGCAGAGTCCAGTGGAAAGGTAACAAAGAAAGGGGTCTGCTGCTGGTAGGACCCAGAAGCAGGAGCAGGCGGCTCGAATGCCTCCGTCCCCAACGCGAAAGGGGCAGCCTTTGAAGCTGCCCAAGTCTCATCACCAACTAAATTACCCCATCCCGACTCCAAAACCCTCAAACGTTTTAGAGCCAGGAGCAGGGATAAGGGGGGGGGGGGGGGAGCTGGGTGAACAATGCCAACCAGGGAAGGACTGGGAAGTGCGAACTGAACCAGAATCGAAGCGACCAACACCCCCAAGTCCGGGTCTCTATAACTAAAACGGGGCAGCCTCAGGGCATCAGAGTGGGCAACCAACCTAGAGCATTGCAGCAACCTAAACCATGCATGCATGCAACATGGATGCCGCTTGTACCCGAACCTCAGTGTCAATAAAATGGGTAAATTGGAGCACTAGCAGAGAACGTGTCTCGCAAGACTCCGAGTCAAAAGTGTCGTTGACCCAACAGGCAGCATGATGGAGGCAAAATAGGTGACCGTCGCCCTGAGAGAAGGGCCCAGAGCAACCCACCAATAGGGAACCAAATAAATTAAACCAAACTAACCTGTCTCACGACGGTATAAACCCAGCTCACGTTCCCTATTGGTGGGTGAACAATTTGGTTTAATTTATTTGGTTTAATAGAAGGCCTGGGGATACTCCCCCCCCCCTTTTTTTTTTTTGTAGGGATATTCCTGCACGGGCCCTAAACCTCTGGCTGGCACACTAAGTGTTGCTTGTTTCTGTTTTACTTGGGCGGAGTATGAATATTTATGACTCATATGGTCGCTTCAGTAAGATTTTGCCCCACGTGTTTAACAACTTCTTCTGCTCTGTTGAATCTAATTTGAAATCTTATGATATGATACCTCTCTTGATCAGCTGTGATCAAAACATGTCTTATTAGTATAATTATCATTACTATTCAAATTCATTACATCATTTTCCACATTCATGGAGTATTAGCATGGAGAAATTTTATAGATATTAAAAGTTAAGAGGCTTCAATTACTTTTAGTGAGAGAAAATTTAGGAATGATAGGTTTCCAGGCTAATCCCACCAACTCTTAGTACACGGGATGGGAGGTGGATTGATCCACTTATTTGGGGGTGAAGGGGTATCTACTTCCCTATGACAGTAAATCATTAGTATTGTTATTAATCACACTATTATTATTAATCTAATTATCATTATTATTATTATTATTATTATTATTATTCCTACTCAAATGATAAAAACATGAGAAAGATGAGAAAACTTTGTATATAAAAATATTAACATGAAAGTTGAGTCAATGATAAGTTTATTCTTAATTTCCATGCACAAGAAAGTCAACTTCTAGAGTATCTTCAAAGAGTATCTATAGTGACTGAATAGCTGCATTACTTTTGGTCAAGACAAATACAAAATACTACCTAAAGCCATTTTTTGTGCATCATCAAACTGCCTGCTTGACAGCCATGCACATTATTGTTGCATTCATCTATACATCCAATCATATTTAATTTCCAAACACGTAGGGAAAAAAATTAATACCAAGCCTCGAGGAGTCCATTCTTTTATCTTCCAAATATATAAATTGCTCATCTATCACTTTGGCCATCATTTTCCATCAATAATTCAGAGTCCATTCCCCAGAATACCCTTGTTATACTTCACTTGCAGCAGTTCTTATTAGACCACTTCCAAATTAATCTACAATGTTCCACCATCTATTCCCTTTATAATTTCAACCTTTTCTAATTGACTTTTCTGCATGTGTTATCATCCTATGGCCCCCTATCTAACATGCTCATGATACAAGTCACTATACTGTACTACCATCTAAACATTTAGTTTTAGTTGATATAAAAGAAGATTGACTGGATAATAAGAACTCTTGTTAACATGCTCAAAATATAGCTCAATAAATATTGACCTGTTCCTAACAAGTTGGAGGTACCAGTTGAGATCCAAGCGAGTAGTTGTAGTTGGTGTATGATGAGACTGACTGGGCAGTGGGGGCTCACTGCTGGGGGGAACATGGACACCGTGAACCTGGCTCAGAAGCCGCTGCAGTAGGCCATACAACTGTCCATATCTGAAAGAAGCAAATGGAAAATCAGATGGGAAATTTAAAAAATAAATTATGCAGAAATAAGAATTGTCATAATTTATTGATATACAGGGGTACCTCAGTTTAAGAGTTTAATCCGTTCCAGGAGACGGCTCATATTCCGAAAACTCGTATTCCGAAGCTAATTTCCCCATAAGAAATAATGGGAAATGAATTAATCCGTTCCTGACTACCCCAAAAACCCCACATCAAACTAAATTTTTATACCTAATTCATCTAAATAAACCTACAAAACTATGTTCAAGTTATTACTTACCTTGCTGTTGAATGCTGTAGGCGTATGGAAGATGGTGAGGAGGTGGGAGGAAGAGAGGAGTTACTGTTTGGAAGGGCAGTCCCCTTCCATTATCACATCAGGCAGTGAGGACTTCACTGGTGAGCACACACTGGCACATTTTGCTTGCATACTACTAGGACTTGTTTGTCTTACTAAGAATCTGTCTAAAGACACTTGTTTTTCCCTACATTTTAACACTTGTCTGTAGTAAGACATCACATTGTCATTTAAAAGGTCAATGCAACGGCCTGCTACAGCTTTATCTGGGTGAGTTTTTTCAACAGAACTTTGCAGTTCTTCCCATACTTCACACATTTTCTTAATCAAGAAGGGACATCCTCTACTGCCTCTACTCACAGCTATTTTCTTAGGTTGAACCTTATCAATGGCTTTCTTGAGACCCATGGCGAGATATTTAATAACAACTTTTATGCTCAAATGGCCAAAAAACCGACATAAAACTGTAAATACTTGTGAAGAATTCAGGAGGGATAGTCACTGGGCGGGAGACAATGGTAAACTGAGGGGCGGAGGGGCGACGATCGCCATACCACCACGCGCTAGGTCGCCCTGAACGCGTATCAACAAACTCGCGTTCCAAAGGTAACCCTTGCCTTCCAAGACACATTTTCCGAGGAAATCCGGCTCGTATTCCGAAAAACTCGCATACAGGGACACTCGTGTTTCGAGGTACCACTGTACAGTAATGTATTTAAAATTAAAATAACATAGAAGCTGAGAGGACATGGAAATTATTGTACAGTAACTACAAGGCAATATATGATACAACTACCACATCTGTTGTTTCCTCTTGGACATGGTGCAGGCATACACATTACCTGCCCTCAACAATGACAATCTTACTATTTTTAAAAAAGGATGTATCTATTTAAAAGAATATCTATTAAGGTATTGTAAATACTGCTTACAGTTTTCCTTAACTATACACAACCTGGAGAGAATCAAAACAACAAACTAAAAGCCAAGATGGGTAAATGAATTAATATGATAAAACATGGACAAATGGAATTAGGAAAAAACCCAACGTTGAATGTAACGAAACACCATTTTCTGGGTGAGCCCCGGAGGCTCCCTGGAGCTTATCGGGCTAATGTATGTTATATTAGACCGGGACATTAGCTAAGGAGTTCAGACCTACCAGGGACCAGTGCCAGAACCTGGCCCCTTCATAGAGGTTTCAGGGAGCAATGACCCCTGGAAAACCCCCTTGTGGTTGGGGTTTTCAGTATCTGCCATCGACCGGGGTCAGGCACCCAGAAAGGTAGGCATGACAAAACAAACCCCACATGGTAAAAACTAAAACAAAAACCGAACAGAGGTAGAAACTCCCTACAATCCGAAGGAAACAAGTAAAAAAGCAAACATCACGCTTTACTGCTGCGCCGATCGTCCGCACAGCTCTCCACGCCCTGAGAGGGAAAGGGGGGAGCCCCGGACCTACTGCGCCGGCTGCCTAGCACCAGTTCGCAAGCTCATGTCAACCGGGAAAGACGCTTCTCTGGCCTCAGTTTCCTAGGCGGTGTTTGCATTGTGTGGCGTTCACTGCCGTGTGTTGTGTTATGCGGTGGCCAGGAGTACCTCATCAGTGCCAGGGCTGCATGCGCTTAGTGGCTGACTTCCCTAAGCGCCCTGTGAGTACAGCCCTTGCGTTACAGGGTTATCTTCCCTGGGGCGTTCGGGAACCATTCCCGTAGAGGTTCTTGCTGCTCGGCATTTGCCTCACCCTTGGGGCCAGCTGGGGCTTGTGGCCCTTGTTTGGCCCTGGGTAGGGACTGGTATTGTGCTGGTTAGGGCAGCAAGGTGTTGCACGACCTGCCACCTAAGCGGCGACCTGTTCCTGTTGCCTCTAGAGAGGGTGTACTTTTGCAGGGTTTTCTTTTGTTTTTATTTTCATTTGCCTAGTGAAGGTCTGCCTAGTGTGGCTATAGTTCCACTGGTAGTGTTTGGCAGCCCTCTGCTAGGCCCCCATGATTGTACACGTCGCAGGGGTTTTCAGTGTTATACTCTACCCCCTTGTTATTTTTGGGTGTTTAACCGATTAGCAACACCTTGCCCGTGTTTCCCGTAGTTGTTACCCCTACGGGCCCTGGAAACCCCTGTCGAGGCTCGGTGGACCATTCTATGTGTCTTCTGGGTTCCAACCCGTCTTGTACGGGATCGTTGGTTGCTGTGCCCTTGTCTCCGGGTGACAGTCGCCATTTTTACCTCTGTCATGCTGCCTGCTGGGTCACTGACACCTTGACCTGGAGTCTTGCGAGATAGATTCTCTGCTTGTTCTCCAGTACTCTCCTGATGTTATTACTGTTCAGAGTACAGGCGGCATCCGTGTTGCAGGCTAGGTTAGGTTACTGCAACACGCTAGGTTGGTTTCCCACTCGGATGCCCTGAGACCGCCCCGTTTTGGTTAGGTGCTGTTCACCCCTTTCCCTCCCTGTTCCCGGCTCCGGACCGTCTGTGGGTTTCGGGGTCGGGGCGGGGTTTAGTTGAGGCCAAGACTCGGGGGGTTTTGAGTGCTGCCCCATTCGGGTTGGGGACAGAGGTTTTCGAGCCTGTTCCTCCTGCCAAGGCTTCTGGGTCTTACCAGCGGCCCTTTCTTGCTGCCTTTCCCATGGACTCTTCCTTTTCTTTAAGGGCGGAGGGCTTGGAGGACGGCTCTGCCCCGGGGCCTCTATTGCTGGTTCCCGGGGCTGTGGGGGATGCCTGCTAGTAGTTCTGGGGTGGTTTACTCCTGCCTGGGTTTTCTGCTTCTGGGCGGAGTTTTTCGCCCATCCAGTCTGCTTGCTTCCCACTTTTGCTGGCGTGTTTTCATATCTTTTGCGTCGGTCACAGCCCTCTGTTCTGATGGCCATATTCATTTGCCGGTTTCCTGGCGTGGCCACAGGGCAGCGTTGCGGTTTGTTACCCTCATAAAGGATGTTTCAATTTCATTCCACACCCAATTTTCTGTGGTCAGTAAAGTAACCAATAGTGTGAGAGAGACTTCCAGTTACATAATGAAGGAAAACAGGACAGATTTAGCTCCCTATTTTGTCGAGGTATTGTATTTCTTATCAGTTGTCATGGATATGATAAATTCAGCTGAAAATCAAAACCAAATATAGATACAGTGACACCCCAACTTACGATCACAATCATACAAATTTTTTGAGTTACGACGTATGTTTCGTTGGAAAATGGGACTGAACTTACGACCGCGTCGTCCCCTAACGACCTTTGTTCATACACGTTTGGGTCGACTGCATGCGTGTTCCTGTTGGCCCAGCCGACCCCGCCTCAATTTACCAGAGTCGAGCGCTTAGTGACAATCGCGCTTTTTATATGACAATCAACGAATATGTTTGACAAATTAAATTATTTTTGTGCTTTTTGTTTTTTGAACATAAATGTAACTATTATATATCACACCATGGGTGTGATATATAAGAAAGTATATAAAAGTCAGAGAAACCTTACCCAAGAAAGTCAGTGGTAAGGTTCAACCTAAGAAAACACATGTGAGGATACCTTGAGGTTACCTTGAGGTGCTTCCGAGGCTTAGCGTCCCCGTGACCCGGTCGTCGACCAGACCTCCTGGTTGCTGGACTGATCAACCAGGCTGTTAGACGCAGCTGCTCACAGCCTAACGTATGAGTCACAGCCTGGTTGATCAGGTATCCTTTGGAGGTGCTTATCCAGTTCTCTCTTGAACACTGTGAGGGGTCTGCCAGTTATGTCCCTTATGTGTAATGGAAGCGTGTTGAACAGTCTCGGGCCTCTGATGTTGATAGAGTTCTCTCTCAGAGTACCTGTTGCACCTCTGCTTTTCAACGGGGGTATTCTGAACATCCTGCCATGTCTTCTGGTCTCATGTGATGTTATTTATGTGTGCAGGTTTGGGACCAGCCCCTCAATTATTTTCCATGTGTAAATTATTATGTATCTCTCCTGCCTGTACTTAAGGGAGTACAGATTTAGGCTCTTTAGTCGGTCCCAATAGTTTAGATGTCTTACTGAGTGGATTCTAGCAGTAAAGGATCTCTGCACGCTCTCCAGATCAGCAATTTCTCCAGCTTTGAAAGGGGCTGTCATTGTGCAGCAGTACTCCACTCTAGAGAGCACATCGGTATAGCATCTCTAGTGTGAAAAGTTCTTGTTATCCAACCTGTCATTTTTCTTGCAGTTGTAACGGCTACTTTATTTGCAGTTGTAATTGCTACTTTATTGAAGATGTGTTCTTTAAAGAACACATCTTCTTAAGGTAGAGAAGAGGTAAGGTCTTCCAGCATGAGTACACCCAGATCCTTTACATTGCATTTTCGTTCTATGTTATGATTTGCCTCTCCTCCTCCTCTCCGTCTTCCTTATGCCAACAAGAGTCCTCATTCAAGGCAAGATATACATACTGTATTATAGTGTTATTCGGTATAAAGTGTATTTTTAAGTTAATACATTTGGGGGTGTGGAATGGATTAATTAAAATTACATTATTTCTTATGAGAAAATTCGTTTTGACTGACAAATTTTCGACTTACGACCCGTCTCTGGGAACGGATTAAATTCATAAAGCGAGGCCCCACTGTACTGTACCTCTGAACAAGTCAACTTTACCACTGGAATGAACAAATGTGTCCTGTAAATAGTGTACAAGTATTTGTATATTGTAAATGTATTAGAAATATAGTTTTATTATTATATAAATATGATAATTAATATTAGTATTAATATTTATAAAACTAACAATATTATAATACTAATAATAATAAAATATAGGTATTAAATATAAATATAGTTTTGAAGGGGCAAATATTTGTTATTAATGGAACACAAATATTCATCCTTGCTACATAACGTACCGCTTATCAAGGTTATTTTCCTTCATGTAACTAGAAATTTTGGTAAGATCTTCTAATGGGAGCTGAATGAGAACCTGTCCTGGAGGCACAGCCAGCAGGAGGTGCAGACGCTGAGTCGCCAATGCACACGCAGCCCGAGTCACTACCAAGTACGGCAATGCTAGTAATCGTTCAACTATGAAGGTTATCAGAGCACCAGACTGTGAAATGTGAACTCCTGATACCAGTGAAATTATGTGCCCACCATACTCTGCCTGAAAGAAAGACTATATTTAATATTAAATATGATTAGATTGCAACACAAATTTCTTATTTTCTTCAAGTTCCTTTAGGTAAATAGATGAATATCATTTTTAATATATCTAAAGTTCATTTCCCGTATTATTTACCTATCGGATCTACTCATAATTGGGAAAATAACAAGCGTTGAATGTAATGAAACGCCATTTTCTGGGTGAGCCCCGGAGGCTCCCTTGATTATCGGATTGATATTAGCTAGTCAGGGGCTTCGTTGACTGGAGTTCTGCCTAACGGGGACCACGAGCCAGAACCTGGTGCCCCCTTAGAGAGGCGCAGGGAGCAATGGCCCAAGGAAACCCCACTCTTTTTGGGAGTACTGTATTCTATTCTGCATAGAATAGAGAAAGAGACCCCCTGTACTGCAGGGGGTCTCTTTAGTCCTTGGCTCTTTGGGGCTGGTCACTTCGAATAGCTTGTCTGCTGGTTTCTCGGGGATTAGCACTATGCAGTTCACGTCCGGGGAGTGTCCAACGTCCTGGTGGATGGTCTGTCTTGATTCATTCCTCTGTCCACCGAATGGACGATCGACACCGCCTTTTTCAATTGTCTTTGCCGGACGTTCGAGCCCTCAGATGTGGACCTCTCCACATTGGCATGGTTGAGGCATCTCCAAGTGTATGTGGCCCCCTTTCCCGACTGCAGGGCCGTCTCGGTAGATGCTTTTTCGGCAGGACTGGTCGAGGTGGGGTTACCAGAACTCCTTCGGGTTCTGGCTCGCTTGGAATCTTATCACGGGAGAGTTCTCCTTGTGGCACCCATGGTGGCTGGACCAGCCTTGGTTTCAGTCGCTGCTTGCTCGATGTCCAAATCTGGCGCATTTTCTGCAACTCCACCTCTTCCAGCAGATCGAGCTAGTCAGGTACCTTGCTGGTTCGATCTACTCCTCTACTCTTCCCGTCTGGTCTTTTTGACGTGTGTGTATCACCATGATCAGGTGACTTCATTAATGGTGTCCCACCTGTGGTCTTCGTCTCGGCAACAGTATGAAGTCCCTTGGCATTCCTTTCGCCATTTCCTCTCTCTTTGTAAGTTGCCTTCTGTTCCTATTCAGGTTGTTTTGTCCTTTCTTTCTTGGCTTTTTCAGGACCGCCATCTTATGCCAAATACTGTCGCCTCTTATCGTGTGGCACTGGTGGAACTACTCCAGCTTGTGTTTGGGATGGATGTCACTTCTGCCTCATTTCGTAAGCTTTCTCATACTTTGTTTCACCTCTGGCCTGCTCATGCGCCGCCAGAGCCATTCTGGTCCTTGGACCGGGTGCTCTCCTTTCTGTCTTCTCCTCAGTTTGTGGTGGTCCCTTCGGTCAAAGAATGCTTTCAGAAGTCTTTGTTTCTGTTGGCTTTAGCCTCTGGGGGTCGGGTTGGTAAGCTTCATGCTCTCCTCTGGCGCAGGGGTTTCTGCTTGTTTGGTCCTGGTGGACCAAACAAGTCCACGGTTGCAGCCGTCTCTTCCTTTTATGGCGAAGAATGATAAGCAGGCTTCTGGAGGGGTCCGTGAGTCACTGAAGCTTGGTTGGTTTGACCGGGAGTGCAACATGAGTTGTGTCCAATTGCGGCTCTTCACCATTACCTTTGGGCCTCGGCTTCTGTGTCCGGGGACGTGCTTTGGGTTGATCCGATTTCACTCGCTCTCTGTTCCAGGGCTTGTGTCTCTCTGGTTGTCCCCTGTCTATTCTCGTGCCCATGATGTTCGTAAGTATGCTGTTCTGGCCGCTGTGTTTGGGAACATGTCCTGGGCTGAGATTTGGGTACGGGGGTTTTGGAGGTCGAACAGGGTCCTGGCCGTCCGTTATTTGGTGAATGTTCTGGGTCCACATCTTTCTTGTGTGGTCTTGGGCCATCGGTTGCAGCTAATTGTCTCATCTTCGAGTTGAGGTAAGCGGAGCTGCCGCCTCAAGGGGTAAGTCCCTCTTTTACTTATTTTTGGGTTTGTAGCTCCAGGAAGTCGACTGTGCTCCCCACAAAAAAACAGGGTTGTATGTAATGAAACGCCATTTACTGGGCGAGCCCCGGAGGCTCCCTGGCACCCTCCCTCCCTCCGGTCGACGGTTTCGTTTTCACTAACTGTCTCTGAACTAGGGAGTGGGCTGCCGGCCAAGGGGTCTAGGGGCACCCCCCCTCCCCGAATGGAATACTCCCCCAAAAATGTGGGGTTTTGTTGGGCCATTGCCCCCCTGTGCTTTTCTGAGGGGGCCAGGTTGTGGCTCGTGGTCCCGGATAGGCAGAACTCCAATCAACAATCAACTGAAGCCCCAGATTAATACAGTATAACTAATCAGTAACTAATAGCTCCAGGAAGCCGATGAGGCTCCCCACAGAAAGGTAATAAATGATGAGAAAGATGCCCGTCATCATCTCGGATTCAATCCCCCACTCCCACCAGTCAGTCAATACAATCTCCCACCAGTCATACAACACAATTTCCCCATACATTCTTAAAAATATCTTGAACTGAGAATGTGCAATACTTTGTATATTTCAAGCAGTATATATTGCAGTCAATTGGAAAATGGTTGTCATTTACAAAATTTGTATTACTGAACACTTTTTGGAAACCTGTGATTTATTTAGCGAGGCTCACCTGTACTCAGAGCTTGCTGGTACTGTATCTAACCAAGTCATCCATAGTCTGAATACACAAACAACATAAACTAAACTGTCCTACACCTCCTTGAAACAAAATCTTTTGGCAGTAGGAAAATTACATCTATCCACTTTCTAATAATTGAACTACAGTCTTCTACCTTTTGGACATATTCACACCGAGCATGGATGGCTTGAATGAGGAGTGCAGAGGCTGCTGGTGATCCGTGGATGGACTGGATGAGCGTATGAATTGGTGGCTCCGTATGGAGGATAACCACATCACTAATGTGCTGCACAACGAGCCAGGTTAACCACTCCCCTTCCTGCATGTGCCGTACCTGTTGGGGGGGGGGGGAAAATAGTTTCCATTACATCCATGAACTAAGAGTTTACATATACTAATTATCCAAATACAGTGATAAAACTCTAAACTCCCACAGGTACAGCTTTAGGTACTCATTAAGGAAGAATAATGCTCTACCCGACAAACTCCACTTCTGACTGTTACGGCTGAACAGAGCACAGCAGAGTACTGTTGAAGTGCTGACAGCAAAGTAGAGAAACAAAGTTGATAATTAACTTGTTATGGAAATCTCTTGCTTAGGCAAAGAGATTGTGCCTATTCCTTTACCACCTATTCAACAACATATCTTCATACTCAAGTATAAGATATGGCAACTATAAACAACAACTATAATATGTGCTGAGAAGCCTGTGTCAGGAGCAGACACCCCCCCCTGCCTCCACCCTCAAGTACCCGAGACACCGAGACACTACTGAGAAAGCCCCAGAGGATTCCTGAAGCTATCCAAACTGATATGTGCTATATTAGTTTGGGGTCATCAGTCACAGGAGTCCTTATGCCTACCGAGGACCAAGAGCCAGAACCTGGTCCCCTCAGAGAGGCACAGGGAGCAATGGCTTATGAGCACTTGACAATGTGACGTTAATCTGAAAATAGAGCAGAGGCTATTCTGGCTGGTGTTGTGCCAATCACATTAAATAAAAAAAAAAGTAAACTAAAGTAAATAAGACTGCTGCTGACCTCTACACTGTGAGAGCTGCAGGTAAAAGAAAGAGAAAAAACACTTAAAATATTTAATACAACAAAATGACTTTAATAACAAGCAAAACAAAGCCTCTCATCAACTTGGCGAGAACACAACATAAAATATATAAGAAATATAAACATGTGGCAGTTACGTTACTGGCAAAACAGAGGTGCAAAACAATGCAATATACAAAAGCTGTACGCATCTACTATTTCCTGGGAAGGCTACAGTATATGTTACTGCTTGAGAGCATGAAATGTATTCTGAGGACTGGTCGTAGGTGAGCTGCTTATATATGCTGGCCAGGCCTAGTGTAGATGGCGCTGATGTTGCAGTTAACAATCGGCTGGCAGTATTAAACAACCAGTTAATAACTGGTCGATCGGTGGGGGGGGGGGGGCATCTGTCTAAACACGGAGGTGTCTGAGCACATATTTTTGTTGTCATTGATGTTGATTCCTTATATTGGAGCAAGCAGATACATTGGTGAATAGGCAGTAAAGTGAATAGGCAGGATCTTCTGCCTAAGCAGGAGATTACCGTAACAACATTTAAGTACTTTATGTCATAATTGCCATCGACCGGGAAAGGACCCAGAAAGGTAGGCGAATCAAAACAGGCCACTGTCTGTTGTCAGTGGATTAACCTCTGCAATCTACATCCTTAAAGATAAAAATAACTCCCCCAAGAGAGAAAGCCAACAAGCAACACTTCATACAACTAGTACTCCCGCTCGTTAGTGTTACCCCCCCATCCATAGGGTTCACCCAGAAAATGGCATTTCATTACATTCAACGCTGGTTTTCTGTGGAGAGCCTCGTCGGCTCCCTGAAGCCAACTACCCAAAGATAAGTAAAAGGAGGGATTGTAAAATGCTTCTTTCACCCTGATGCCCCTGGTACCTAGCAGTAAATAGGTACCTGGGAGTTAGACAGCTGCTACAGGCTGCTTCCTGGGGGGGGTGTAACAAAAAGAAGGCCTGGTCGAGGACCGGGCTGCGGGGACGCTAAGCTCCCAAATCATCTTAAGATAACTTCAAGATACATTCCCCCTATAGGCGGGGGGTTAACACTAACGAGCAGGAGTGCTAGTTGCATGAAGTGTTGCTTGATGGGTTTCTTTCTAGGGGAATTATTTTGATCTTTTCAGATGTAGATTGCACAGGTTACCAAGACAGTGGTCTGCTTTGATTCGCCTACCTTTCTGTATCCTTCCCCAGTCGATGGCAATTATGACATACTGTACTTTAAAAGTAAAGTGCTCATAGACCATTGCTCCCTGCACCTCTCTGAAGGTGCCAGGTTCTGGCTTGTGTCCCTGGTAGGCATAAGGACTCCTGTGACTGATGACCCAAAACTAATATAGCACATATCAGTTCGTATAGTTTCAGGGATCCTCTGGAGCTCCCCACAGGAAACAACAAACTGCAACTTACCACAAATTCTGAGAACACAAGAAGTCCACATCTTCTTAAGAATTCTAAAGACAAGCAGCTGGATGGTCCACTCGCTTCACTCACAATAGAACTGCTGCAAAAAATTCCTTTGGGGTTTTATTTATCAGCCTACTTGTCATACAATATCACTACCAACTAAAATTTTATCGAAAGGCAAGAATCTCCTTGTTTCTAAGTGAACTATTTACACTATTTTGTTGATTTTGAAATTTAGTGGCAAAGAATTTTGAACACTTCCTTTTATTACAGGAACTTTTGAAATTTCAAACTCCTACAGTGTTACTTACAACTTCTGTTAAACTCACATATTACAGTAGTTGGCAGTAACACATATCAGCAGGTATTTTCTATTTACAACATGAAAGTAGATGCTTATCATCCCTATGTTAAAATAGCTAGAATGTGAAGTATCTAATTAGTTACATGTTATAAAGGAAAATTAGGTTGCCTTTAAAATGGTAGAGGAATAAAGAGGACGGAGGAATCACAAATACAGTTATTAATCCATTTGTTAACCAAGTTAGTAAGATGCTTCAGATGAAACACAGAACTTGTAAGCATCAGGTTTAGCAGCATTCCATCAGAGTATTATGAGGAAGAAAAAATTGAACAATTACATGCATTTGTTTTCTTTACTCTAGATATAAACTATTAACATACTTACAAAGCTACTTTTCCAACTCTCTTCACTAAATTTAAGAAATGTATCATGGCATTTGTCCACGCTCTTTGTATGTCAGTGTTTTATGAATCTCACAATTAAAACTATGCAATGATTTCCACTTCAACTCAAGTACACTGCACTCGAGGCCATTTTAATTTCATACGTGTAGTAACTGAACAGATCTCAGCCAGATTAACCCTTTAGTTGCGCAAGACATCATATGATGCTTTGAGTGACTTACAGTAAATTGCGCTCGGCATCATATGATGCTTTGGATTACAGCGCAAGATTTAAATGGCCCGCGGATACACGGGGTTCACCACACCTTCATAGGGCTCTTGTAAACAGATGCCATTTTTTAACAAAAATCGTGTGCCAAATTCCCGGGTGTGAGGGCCTCAGTATCAAGTGAGCAACCTAGCCTGACGCACGCAGCATGAGGTCACAGCACTGCTGTTCAGCTTGTGACCACAGCATTGCCTAAAAATGACATAATACACATGTTCTTGCTATTATTTAGCAATGATATTATTACAAGAGCCCCCTTGACTGTGATAAAACTGACCAGGGTTCTGATAATAGCAGGATTGTGGTGATATTTAGCACTGTGCTCCATGGAGGGAGGAGTAATGCTGTGGGACGGAGGGCGGTGGCGTCGTGTTCCGACTGTGTGTGGCCACCTTTTATTGACTGCACTCACCATACCAGCTAAGTGGTTCGCTATGGTGAACACAAATGTAGATACTTATATATAATGTGTGTATAGAGTGTAATAACAGCAATAGGACTAGGTTGGGAGCCACCATTTTGGTAAGGGAGGGCGTCGTCTGCACGACTTATGTTGTTTACTGGTGATCACTATGGTCTTTGGGCACCATACCAGTTTACTTGTACATGTATGGTGAATAAAACAGGTAGATATTTATATATAATGTGTGTATATAGAGTAATAACACCACAAACAGTATTGTTGGAGGAGAAATATTAGTGCGTCTGGCCTTGAGGGCGGCCGCCACCAGCTGACTGTGTAGCTATGTCTTTGTGCCTTTACTCACCATACAAGCTTAGATATACAGTTATGGTGAACAAAACATGTAAATACTTATATATAACATCTGAATATAAAAGCAAAAACAGTATGGTGGGAGGAGAATGGTGGCAAGTCAGGTGAGGTGAGGGAGGGAGGGAGTGGCAGCCAGTGGTGGGCTGCCACTGCCACTGCCATTCAGCATACCAACTTAGTGGTTCGTTATGGTGAACACGAATGTAGATATATATATATAATGTCTGTATATAGTGAATAAAAGCAAAAACAGTATGGTGGGAGGAGAATGTGGGCGAGTGAGGTGTTGAGGGAGTGAGTGGCAGTCACTCCTCGTTACTTTTTGACTCATAATAGCAACTTAGTGGTTCGTTATGGTGAACAAAACATGCAGATACTTATATATAACCTGTGTATATAGTGTAATAACCGACAAAGTATGTGTTCACTGCTTTATGAACATATTAATTGAAACAACAGTTTACACACCATATTTTTGAGTAGAACGATGATTCACTCATTTTATTATAGAAATATATCACACTACACACTATTGAAAAATATTACAGCAAAAGCACTACGAAAAATCAATCAGAGACATTGAAATAATTAAGTAATTATCTCTTTGTGGCAACTCCGGCCTGACAGCTGGGAGCAACAGACCGTCTGGGACGCACGCTGAGTCAGCGCCTGTTTTTTGCCAGACTTCCCCGCCCTATAGCGGGCAATATATGCCACTTACGATTTTTTTATTATTTTCCCCATGATCAGAGAACACAAATTAACAGGTTAAGATTTTTTTTTTTTTTTTTTTATGCGCCTGTGGGTGACAAATACTAAATAGCCCGGAGCCACACAAGGGTTAAACAGTTAACGGTGATTACTTGTAGTTGGTCATGTGCCCAGCGGCCGTAGCAAGTGTTTATTGATATGTTAGGCAAATTTTAGTAAGGCAGTGAGCTGAAATAAGGGAGTGAAGAGGAGATGACCAGCTGGAGGAGACAGCGACGTCCGCCCCCTCCGAGCGCTCGTGGGTGACTGAGGGAGCCTAGCTCCTGGCGGCGGTAGCTGCCTCGAGGGCCGTCTGGGTGAGGCGGAGCTTGGATTTGTCCGAACGGGGGAGTCTCCTTATGGCGTTCGGGAAGCAGGGAGATGTCGGGTGAAACACTTATTGTGTGTACTTCATTTCAGTTATATGTTTGTAGAGGAACATTTTTATTAGCGTATCAATGGGTTGCAGGTTTGTCTGAGGAAGGAGTTGATGACAGTACTTTGAGGCCAGAGAAGAGGTTAATGAGTGGAACTTCAAGGCTGTAGGAGAGAATGTTGTACCATCTGGAAGAGCAAGCCCCATAGTGAGGAATTGGACCTCAAACTGTGTGAAGAGGAACAGTGACGTGAATTTTCACATGCTTCTGTGGAATCAGTGGTGGAGTAACACTGGAGTCCAAGGAAAACTTCATGGTGCAGCAGCCTGGAAGAGCTGTAGAGTGGAGTAGGAAGCGTACAGGGTGATCTCCTGATCTAAATATAAGCACTCTACGGGTTTTGGGTTGGTTTCTCCGTAAGGGACGGGCAACCGACAACGACAACATCGTAATAATGCACATTGAGAGCTTGGAATGGCTTTGATTTCTCATGAATTAATTTCTCCAGTAGCTCCCTCTGCACAATATTACTGTCGTAGCAGGACTAAATAAGACGTCAAAGCAAAAATAATAAAAAGTATACACTTGGGGATTGTAATGGAGAATAACAAGATATGAAGGGAAAAAGATTATAGATGAATAAACATTAAGGCCGTAAGCTGATTATGGTCCAGTCGGCAGAGTGTGTTTGCTAGTTCTGGGTCGTAGGTTCTATTCCATTGTACGGCTTCAATATTTACTCAGATTAATCATGATCTTTTGATTTCCATGCACAAGATGTCAAGTGTTTGCATTGTTGAAAATTTTCTGCAATCAGCAGCCTATTTAAATGAAGACCATTAAACATAATATCTATTAATAAATCCTCTTAACTCACCATGTTTATGGAGCTCATTAATTATTTTTTAAATAAAATTTAAGAGCCTACTGTAACGGCACATAACTGAAGGCTGATAAAAAACAAAAATGCATTAAAAACATTACCCGAGAAGTTTACAGTTAGAGCTTACTAAATATAACTATTAGCTGTATGGTAAAGGAAGACAGAAGCCACACAGACAGACAGACAGATACACACAGAGGATTTATGTGTAAGAATGTATACAAGGGGAACCTACCTGACACTGGTGACCGACTTTCTCTGGCATGTCCTGAGCACACGTGTCCACAGGTTTTGGGATGTGAGGTCAAGACAAGTCAGTAATTTACACCAGAGCAGTGTGAGGGAAGGGTACCAGCCTGATACAAAGAGCAGAGCTTCGCTAATTTCTTCAGCTAATTCAACTTCACTACTGCAAATGTCCTTCAGAGAAGTTATCACCTCCCTCCACTGGCCTGAGGAAAATAAAAAATAAGAAATGTGATACGTGCAAGCATGTTAGATTCGGGTTACTTTCTTATACAGTACCATTAACATTAACTTAACCCTGATGTGAAACCACTGACAAGCACTAGTTGCAGTATGACTAATTTTTAACATCCTTGGGCCACTAGTCACAGTTTAATGGGTATAGAGATTGACTAACCCTCAAAACGTTTCCTTCAGCTGAGGAAATTAGCTCAACCCTCAAACCTGAACAACATTTACTACAAGTCTTAGGCCACAATTGCAGGATTGTCAACTACAGGCTCCCCATGCTTGCCCATAGATGTGTGTAGGTCCTGATTCACTCTTTAACAGGTGGCTGCAATTTATCACTCTGGGTTTGACAAAATCAATTATTCTATCTATATAATAGTTTCGATTGGAAACTTGTTGCAACTCTGTGGACTGTTGCCTCAGCCCCTTTTGTGCTCAAACTTGTTACCCAAACTTCCCAACACGCCGGCAACTCTCCTCAGTTCACAGGCTGTTGTGAGAGCGAACGGTTGATCGACTATGGCTCCATCCTTTGAGCAGTGCTGCAGTGCGGTGTTGTTTAGTTTTGGTATCGTGCGAGCCAGGAGTAACACGAGTACTGGGGCTGCATGCACCTAGAGTTGCTAGGTGCCTCGTAAGTACTGCCTTGCGGCTTCAGGGTTACCTTCCCTGAGCTGTTCGGGAACTAACTCCGCGTGGTTCTGTTGCTGCTCGGTGATTACCTGCCCTTGGGGGTTCAGCTGGGATCATTCTTGCTCCTGTTTTTCCTTGGGTAGGAGATAGTTTAGTCGCTGGCTTCCCACAACCAGACCATTACCAGAGAAGTCTTAACAAACAACACAGAAATCATCGATAGATACAGCGATAGCAGACGGCTGGACGTCTGCGAGGCACTACACATCAAGAAGTCAACACCAGCAATCAACAGCCAATTAATGCACAACTATATTCTACCCACTTCAAGACTCCGCTCCAATATAGAAGCATTAAGAAATATGGCCCAATAGGCTTTCTACAATTACTTCCATTCAATACCCATTGTTTCGTGTTCTGTCTTGTGTTTGAATTTAATACCCATTCAATACCCATTGTTGAAAGTTCGTTTTTCACCTCATCCCCCTCACCCAAATGTAGATATAAACCTCGAAGATGTGTAAAGCTCTATTCAGTTTCAGTTGTGTGTTTGTAAACTAAAGTCTTTGAAAATGTAATAAGTTTTACGAAACGCGCTCAAGTGTCGCATCAGACTAGAAATAAAAATGAATTTTGGAGAATTGATCTTTGAATTACCATCAACAGTGAAAAGAAATGTAAGAAAGATAGAGAAAATTCGTGTTACAATTATTAATCTTACTTTTTCGGTCATATTTAATAATATATGTCTACAGGAAAGACTGCTACCAAAATAAAAAATAAATAAATAAATAAATAAATAAATATAATAATATAATATATATATATATATATATATATATATATATATATATATATATATATATATATATATATATATATATATATATATATATATATATATATATATATATATATATATATATATATATATATATATATATATATATATATATATATATATATATATATAAATGAGTTTAGGTGAATATAAATAGCAGCTGCCTTGTATGAGTCAACAGGCCTTTTGCAATTTCATTACTTATTGATACATATATATACATTTCATTCATTCATTTATAAGTATGAATAAATGAAAGTATGTATCGACAAATTAATGGATTAGGTTAGGTCAGATTGGGTTTTGTCAGGTTGGGTTTACTTAACGAACAGCAATGACATAGGTTGGTGAAAATTTGCTCAGGTCTTAGATCCCTACTCACAAGATGAGGCTTTAATTGAACACTTAAAGGGCTCAGCTAGTTGAAAGTCCTACATCATGGTGTGCACAACAACAAATAGTTCACAAGTGGCATATGGAGCACAGGAGGTAATTGATGACAGCGACTGGAGCCATTCAGAGGTGAAGGAATAACTTGTAATTGCCCCCACCTGAGAGTGTGAGATGCAGGAGGGTGAGCAACAAGTGATGTGAGAGGTGAACCAGCATATCAGGAGAATGATGCCCACTGCCACCTTCTAGTGGTTGTCCACTGTTTAGCAGAGATAGCCGCACACTTCTGATCTCGCTCACACTCACACGAACTACTTCAAGCAAAAATCTGAAAATGTAAATTATAAAATGTTGAGTTTGTTATCTCCTCTAATGCCACACCAGATTGACCATCAAGTTGCCCTAACTTACCACGCCTCTCTATAGTGGTCCACAACACATTAATTCTCAACAAAATGTTACCACATATACTCCTCTACTTTTGTTTTTCACAATGCTCTCTTAATTGTTCTGGCTCATATTACTTATCTTATATACTCTCTCTACAATTCCCACAATCATCTATGTAATTGTTCAAAACCAATACAATTTACCTTCGAATCTTCTGACCTTATATGGTATATGCTACAGTATCATTGCCTCTGTCATATTTTTGAAAAGCACATTATCTTTCTCTAAAACCAGCACTGTTACCTATTTAGCTTACACTTTGTTTATTGCTTCATCATGAGCATGATGACTCCTCTACACAGTGTGCCTGCTTTAAATAAGTAAATTAATTGACAGTTTTTATATCAATACTGCTACCACTGCTCAACATATGATCCTTACCTAGCATTATATAACTTATCCTAGTCTCCAAGCATTTTGTACAGATATTCATTCAGTAGCAATTCCGCTGTTATTCAATCCACCCCGCAGAGTCTTACCAGCTTTTGTTTTTGGATATTTAGCCCCTCTGACTTACAATTAATGTATACCCTCTAATTCCAACCATTACCATGCAAGATAAAACTGTTCACCAGTTATCATTCCAAAAGCCAACGTTGAATTTAATGAAACACCATTTTCTGGGCGAGACCCGGAGGCTCCCCGGAGCTATCCAGGCTGATATGCTAATATTAGACTTTCGTTACCAGTCAGTGTGAATGGCGTTCTTAGGCTTACCGGGGATCACGAGCAATAAACTGAAGCACCTTACCGGGGATCACGAGCAAGGCGGGGCAATAAACTCAGGGGTTCAGACGAAACAAGTCCAGAATGAATCGCAGGTCTGTACAGTCCGGTTTTGGGACTGGGAACAGACAGTAAACACATCTGAGAGACGTCGTCGTTCAGACCACGCCCAAGTGTACCCACTTCAAGATGACCCGACAGAGTGCAGGAGAAGAGGCCTGACCCACAAGGCCCGAATCCCCCCAAAGGAGGAGGGGCCACCCAACGCCACCACAGGTCGTTGGAAACGATCAAAAGGCCCACAAATTGTGGAACCAGGTGTGAGCGAACAGATCAAGTTTCCTCACCATCACCCCGTCAATGGGACAAACCGCGTAAGGGCCGACGTCTCTTATGAGAGCCTGAACTTCGCACAGATCAAACAACGTGCCGACCAGACTAAGACGGGTCAGAAGGCGGCGCCGGCTCCAAAACTGGCACCAGTGGCCTACCCACATGAGCGGAACCTTGAGCCCTGGCACGACCTTTCCTGGAAGTCCCCCCTTTCCCCGGACTCCCAGAGAACCAGTAAGTAAGACATCGTACCACAGCTAGCCAAGGCTGCCTGTGAATACTGCGCAACTGCAGAATCAGCAAACAGCACAGGACAAAAAGGAGACAACATTTTGAAAGTCAGGGCCCAGGCAGATTCCAAGGAGGAAGTCAGCACCGCCTGCCGACACGCGAGCCGGGAGGCATAAAACAGCGACTCCGCATCCCGCAGGATCGGCGTAAACAGCTTCAATAAACCAGCGCTGAATGCAATGAAACGCCATTTTCTGAGTGAGCCCCTGAGGCTTCCTGGAGTTTATTGGGCTAATGTATTTTATATCAGACCGGGACATTAACTATGGAGTTCAGACCTACTAAGGACCATGAGCCAGAACCTGGCCCCTTCAGAGAGGTTTCAGGGAGCAATGGCCCTGGAAAACCCCCCTGTGGTTGGGGGTTTTCCCTGGGTTAAGCACCCAGAAAGGTAGGCATAACAAAAAAACCCCATATGGTAAGAAACTAACAACAAAAACTGAACAGAGAGGTAGAACTCACTTCAAGTTCAAGAAAAAAAGGAAACAAGCAAACGTAACACACTACTGCCGCACCGCTCGTCCGCGCAGCCCTTCCCTCTCCGAGAGGGGGAAGTAGGGGGCCCGGACCGCACTGCACTGGCTGCATAGCACTCCAGTTCAGAAGCAAAGCTTTAGCCACGCAAAAAATATGCTGACCGGTGGGAGGGAGGGTTGCCAGGGATTCTCAGAGGCTCACCCACAAAATGGTGAGAAAAAAAATGGACGTGATTGGTGTCCAAAGCGAGCGATAGTATTAATATAGTACCCCCAATACCATGAGCCTCTTATCATTTTAATCAGTCTTTCATGTGGCACTATATCAAAAGCTTTGCTAAAGTCAAGGTACACAATATCACAAACCTTACCACTGTCAACTGCCTCAACTATGCTGGAGTAAAATGATAGAAAATTTGTTAAATATGAACGATCATTTGTAAAACCATGTTGTGAATCATTTATTAATTTATGTTTTTCAAAATGAAGACAAATGGTATTTGCAATTATATATTCAATAACTTTCCCACAATAGACATTAGGCTAATTGACCGACAGTTTGATGCAAGTCATCTATCAACTTTCTTTAAAATTGGTACCTCATTAGCAACCTTCCACGACTCTGGCACTCTGCCTGACTCTAGCGACTTACTAAATATGGTAGACAATGTCTCGCAAAGCTCCTCTTTGCATTCTTTAAGCACCCTGGCAAACACTTCCTCCGGCCCTAGGGATTTATTTGGTTTAAGTTTCACTATTTGTTTAATAACATCATCCCGGTAACTGCTTAACTAGTCAACCTGTCCTCGTCCCCACCCACATAGACTTGTTCGGCTGAAGGAATAGGCGTAAGCATAAGCCGCAATGGCCTCCCGCACCTCACGGAGCGGGATGCGGGAAGCCGAAAAACCTCCGGAAGGACGTGACCTATGGATCTGTAGGGACACAGAACCCAACCTGGGAAGGGGCTGACACCAAAACCAACTCGTACATGAAGGGGGGGATGAAAACCCTATTCGTTGTAACTGCCCCGAGGGTAGAAAAACCCATGCGGGGTCCAACGGGCCCAAAGTCCCCCAAGTCAACTCCTCCCCAGCCCCAGGAACCCCTACCGCAGGACCCAGGGCCGAATCATCCTCCAAAGCCCCGGCCTCACAAGAAAAAATCAAGGCAGCCAGAAAGACAAGAAGGAATGATGGGGGCCCACTGGTCAGACCCCGATGCCATGGCTGGAGAAACCGACTCAAAGGCCTCTGTCGCCACCCAGGAAAGTGCATCCCAAAGACTGCCCGAGTCTCAAAACCAGCTAAACCCTAACCCGACCCTCAAGCCCTCACCCACTTCGGAGCTGGAAGCAAGGGGGGGAAGGGAAGGGAAGGACCAGAATGCACCACAGCAGGGGAAAGAACGAGGAGGGTATGGACTGAACCAAGGCCGAAGCAGTCAACACCCCCAAGTCCGGGTACCTATAACCAAAACGGGGCAGTCTCGAAGCTGAACCCCATTTTGCTGAACCAAAACGGGGTTTCCGGGCCATCAATCAACCTAGCACGTTGCAGCAACGTCATGCTCGTTAATCATTTTCATTTGGGGACTTCTGTCCACTCTTTGACATTCAGTAGTAATTTCAACCAGAATAGGGGTTTGTTTTCGGATGCTTACCTTTCTGGATGCCTGACCCGGTCGATGGCAGACACAGAATGTTCCATAGGCAAATGTGCAATGCTATAGGCCATTGCTCCTCGTGTCTCTCTGAGGTGGCCAGGTTCTGGCTCGTGGTCTCCGGTAGGCCTAGAACTCTATTCACCTTGATGCCAAAGTCTAATATATCCATATCAGACTGGATAGCTCCAGGGAGCTGAAGGGGCTCCCCACAGAAATCTTATTTTTATTAAAAAATGTTTTAAAGAAATAATATATTACCTAGCCATAGCAACCTGTGGAAGTGTTTCTGGTTGAGTGACGTTGAGAGGATCTCGGAAAGTAGTCGAGGAATCTGTTATCTGTCTGCGTAAGGCATCTGGTGCTAAGGAAACTTCGGAGTGAACACTGTCTGTTGGTGTATCATTATGTACATAGTCCATGCTCAGTCCAAGCTCTTCTAGCCGTGCCAGCACTAACTCCAGGGAAGAGTGGGTTATAAGAGTGCGAAGTAGCAGCAGGACACTGCCCACCCATCTCTCAACACCCATGGTAGTCTCCTGTTGGTAGGAGCCACATTAAGCATAACACTTTCTCTCATCACTGATATTTCAAGAACTTTATATTACAGTACTCAATCTGCATTTAAAAAAATAAATTGATGTAATTAGTGAATATTTAAATACACTCAACATATGTACATTAGTTAAATTTAAATACACAGTATGTAAGAAAAACATAAGAATGAAGGTAACTGCAGAAGGCCTATTGACCTATTCGAGGACGCTCCTATTTATAACCACCCAATCCCACTTATATACATGTTCAACCCACACTTGAAACAATCAAGGAACCCCACCACCACTACGTTACGCAGTAATTGGTTCCACAAATCAACAACCATGTCAACGAAGCAGTCTCTGTGGTGTAGTGGTAAGACACTCGCCTGGCGTTCCGCGAGCGCTTTGTCATGGGTTCGTATCCTGGCCAGGGAGGATTTATTGGGCGCAAATCCTTAACTGTAGCCTCTGTTTAACTCACCAGTAAAATGAGTATAGTGGCACCTCGACTTACGATTGCCCCGACTTACAATAATTTTGAGTTACGATGTAAATTTCATCGAAAAATGCAACTTGACAAACGATATTTGTTGGTACACAGTCGGGTCGACCGAGCGCGTGCTTCCCGGTCACGCGGACCGACCTGCCTCAGTTTACTACAGCTGCCCGCTTAGTGACGATCGCGCCTATAAGAAATTCTGCGTTTGTGGTGATTTTTTGCATTTTGAACGTTAAAGTAATTATTATATATCATGCCATGAGTCCCAGGAAAGTCAGTGGTAAGGCTCAACATATGAAAACTCATGTAAGGATGACCATAGAGCAGAAACAGGAGTACAGAATGTCTCTTCCTCAACAATCAAGAAAATGTGTGCAGCATGGGAAGAATTGCAAACCTTTGCTGAAACGACTCGCCCAAATCAAGCTGCAGTAAGTCGTTGCCTTAACCTATTTAATGACACTGTGATGCATCATTAAAGACAAATGTTAAAACGAAGGGGAAAAACAAATGTCTCTTGACAAATTTGTAGTGAGACAAACAAGCACTGAATCACTGTCACTAAGCGGGCAGCTCTGGTAAACTGAAGTGGGGTCGGCTGTGCCACCTGGAACCCCACGATCGGTCGACCCACACGCGTTTCAAAAAATCAGTGTTGAATGTAATGAAACGCCATTTTCTGGGTGAGCCCTGGAGGCTCCCTGGAGCTAATCAAGCTAATGTATGTTATATTAGACCGGGACATTAGCTAAGGAGTTCAGACCTACCAGGAACCAGCGCCAGAACCTGGCCCCTTCAGAGAGGTTTCAGGGAGCAATGGCCCTGAAAAAAAACGCTTGTGGTTGGGGTTTTCCTTATCTGCCATCATCCGGGGTTTGCACTCAGAAAGGTAGGCATAACAAAACAAACCCCACATGGTAAAAACTAAAACAAAAAAATGAACAGAGGTAGAAACTCCCTACAATCCCAAGGAAACAAGCAAACATCACACTTTACTGCTGCGCCGATCGTCCACGCAGCCCTCCCCGCCCCGAAAGGGGGAGGGGGGGTTATCTTGAGGTTATCTTGAGATGATTTCAGGGCTTTAGTGTCCCCGCGGCCCGGTCCTCGACCAGGCCTCCACCCCCAGGAAGCAGCCCGTGACAGCTGACTAACTCCCAGGTTACCTATTTTACTGCTAGGTAACAGAGGCATAGGGTGAAAGAAACTCTGCCCATTGTTTCTCGCCGGCATCTGGGATCGAACCCGGGACCACAGGATCACAAGTCCAGTGTGCTGTCCGCTCGGCCGACCGGCTCCGGGGAGCCCCGGACCTACCACGCCGGCTGCCTAGCATCAGTTCACAAGCTAAGCTTCAACCAACACGAGAAAACCGCCAACCGGTGGGAGGGAGGGTTGCCAGGGAGCCTCCGGGGCTCACCCAGAAAATGGCGTTTCCTTACATTCAACGCTGGTTTTCTGTGGGGAGCCCCTACGGCTCCCTGGAGCTTCATAGCCAAAGAGAAGAAAAAGAAAGGGCTGACCCGGGAGGCGGCCGCCACAAACTCCGCAACGCGAAGTCGAGACAACAGGCTGCAACCTGCGACCCACATTATATACATTATTACACATTATATACAAGTATTTACATTTATGGTCACCATAGAGAACCACTGAACTGGTATGGTGAGTGCAGATAATAACAGGTGGCCACACATAGTTAACAGACAATGCCTCCTCCCTCCCTCAGCATTACTCAAATCAAATCAAATCAAATCAAATGTTTATTTAGGTAAGGTACATACATACAAGAGATTTTACAAAGAGTGATGGATTTATAGATAGGGCTAGTACATACAATGCCTAAAGCCACTATTACGGAAAGCGTTTCGGGCATACTCCTCCCACACAGCACTAATTATCACAACAATCCTGCTATTATCACAATCCTGGCCATTTTTATCACAGTCAGGGGTCTTTTGTAATACTATCATCACTAAATGATACCAGTTACATATATTTTGACATTTTTTGGCGATGCTGTGGTCACAAGCTGAACAACAATGCTCTTAGCTCATGCTGTGTGTGCCAGCCATGGTTGCTCATTCAGTACTGAGGCCCCTCACACCCGGGAACATTGCCCACTATTTTAATTAAAATGTCATCTATTTACAAGAGCCCTGAGGAAGCTGATGTGAACCTGTGTAGCCACGGACTTTTAAATCTTGCGTGGTACTAAAACACATCAATAGCTGTGGTGCACAATTCCGTGACAGTTACTCACCACAGTTATTGATGTGTTGCACAGTTTAAGGGTTAACAACCAGGTACCTACTTTGATGTTGGGTTAAACAGGGGCTACAGTAGAGGATTTGCACCAAGTAAACCCTCCCCTGCCAGGATATGAACCCAGGACAAAGCTCTCGCGAAACGCCAGGCGAGTGACTCACTACTAAGCCACAGGGACTATAATAACTATTAAAATCTACAATAACTATTAAAAGATATACAATAATAATTAAAAATATTAATGTAACGACATTAAAATACTGTACATAAACATTATTACATGTACATAATCTACACCAGTATGAGAGTTATACCACTTACTAGTTCACAAGGAGAAGTAAAAAGAGCTTTCAGTACACAGTCCACAGGTCGATACACACTGGCACATACACCGTTCATCACCTCTTCTATGGCTGCAAGAGAATCCTGGGAAAGAAAAACACAGTAAAGGAAGTAGTTTCCCAGTCAACAACAATCCAGAGCATTAAAATATAATAATAATAGGAAATATCCAGTTCTTGAATGCCACACAAATTATTAGAAATGTACAAATTAAACCCAAATACAGTGGTATCTCGGGTTACGAACGTCCCTGTTTACGAACTTTTCGGGTTAGGAGCCCAATTTGTTCGGAAAATTTTAATCGGTATACGAACTTTGCATCGGGATACGAGTTTGTTGATACGCATATGGCCGAACAAGCACATGGTGGCACGGCAATCACGCCTCAGTTTACCAGTGCTTCGTGCCCAATGACTATCCACGCCTGAATTCTTCACAAGAATTTAGTTTTTTGTCTGATTTTTGGCCATTTGAGCATAAAACCAGCATTGAATGTAATGAAATGCCATTTTCTGGGCGAGTCCCGGAGTCTCCCCTGGAGCTTACTAGCTTACTAGGCTGATATGCTAATGTTAGACTTTGGCATCAGTCATGTGTACGAAGTTCTTTTGAGCCTACCAGCAACCACGAGCCAGAACCTGGCCCCCCCTCTAGAGAGGCAAGGGGAGCAATGGTTTATAGAAACCCCCGTGTAATTGGAAACATTCTATGTCTGCCATCGACTGGGATTCTGCGCCACTGCAGAATCAGCAAACAGCAAGGGACAGAAGGGTGAAGACATTCTAAAGAGCCAGGGACCAGGCAGATTCCAGGGAGGAAGCAAGCACCACCTGCCGACATGCTAGCCAGAAGGTATAAAACAGCAACACCACATCCTGCAGGATCGGCGTAAACTGCTTCAACGGAGCAGACGATGAGTGAGCTGCCGAGCCCAAGGCACCGGACCCAGGAACTGCCCAAATCGCCTCCATATCCTCCTCAAGCCAGTCAGCAGACAGCTTCAGGAGGGAAAAGAAATGCAAGGCCAAAGCCACTATGAGCTATGCAAGTTCTCAGCAACAAGAGCAGCCGAAAGGGGCGGGAACCTGCACATGAAGCTGCATAACGCCAACATTCCGAGGAAGAGCAGAGGAAGACAAGCACTCATTGAGGTGCTCAAACTCACCCCCCAGGAAAACCTGGACCACCGTCAAGACCTCACGCCACTCAAGCGTGCGGGAACAACGGAAGGAATGCCACGCCTCCAAACCAAAAACAGGACAGTTCGCCAGTCAGGACAACTCCGGAACATCATAACGGATCCAGTAGAGAAACGAAGACCCAAACCTGAACAAAAACAGATCCATAATAGAGGCGTAGTCTGGGTCGCGCAGAAGTTAAGCCGCAAAGGCCTCCCGCACCACATGAGGCTGGATGTGAGAAGCCAAAAACCTCTGGAACGACAGGACCAAAGTACCCGAAGGGACACGAAACCAAACCCGGGAAGGGAGACACTAAATCCAATTTTTCTTCCCCCAGAGGGGGAAGAAAAATCCCACTCCTTGTAACAGCAAGCTCCGCTTAGAGAGAGCAGAAAAACCCAGGCGGGGTCCAACGGGGCCCAAGGCCCCCAAGTCAGCTCCGGGATCCTTCACATCAGGACCCGAGGCCGAGTCATCTCCCAAATTCACAGCCTCAAAAGAAAAGGAAGGCACAGCCATAAAAGCAAGAAGAAAGGGGGCCCCACTAGTCAGACCCAGATGCTTTGGCAGGGAGAACCGACTCGAATGCCTCCATCGCCACACTAGAAGGGGCAACCCCCCCGAGACTGCCCAAGTCTCAAAACCATCTAAACCCTGCCCTAACTCCAAAACCCTCAGATGTTTCGGGGCCGGAAGCAAGGGGGGGGGGGGGGCAGAACGAACCACAGCAAAGGAAGGACAAGGGGGGGCACGAACAGAACCAAGGCCAGGACCCTATAGGCAAAACGGGGCAGCCTCATGGCTTCCTGCACAGCAACCAACCTAGCGCGTTGCAACAACCTAAACCGAACATGCAACGCTTGCTCCGCCTGTACCCGAATAATATCATCCGTAGATTGGGTAAACTGATTCACCAGCAAGCAACAAAACTTGCAGAACTCTGGGTCGAAAGTGTAACCGAACCAACAGGCAGCTTGACTGAGGCAAAAACAGTGAGAGTCACCCTGAGACAAGGGGACAGAGCAACCCTCGAACTCGCACAAAGCGAGGGGGGACTCAGGGGCCACATCCATTTGACCCGCGTGCCCCCGTGGGGTTTCCCAGGGGTCCTGAGATGGAACTCATGCTCAGGGAAGCCCAGGCAGGGCACTGCTAACCGGCACCCAAGTCTACCAAACAAACTCACTAATAACTGAACCCTTGGACATGTACACTTACGGGGACCTAGCAGGGGGGTACGACCTGAATAGATAAGAGTACACGGTACACAGGAGGCAACAACTAAGGTAGACCCTTCCCCCATCAGGCAGGCAAACAAAAAGAAAAAGAAAACCCCACAAGAGGACACTGTACCCAAGCAGAACAGAGCCGGCCGTTATGATTGGTGAAAACAAGCTGTGCAGTACCCTGTGCTCCTTACCAGTGCAAACTTCCTCATACCCTAAGGAGAACAAGAGACAGAACACCCAAGCACACAAAGGGTGGCTGAAAACCGAGCAGTAAATGGCCAAGCAGAGGCAGAACCCATGGAACTTGCGGAAGGTGGTCCCAAGGGCAGTACTTACTGGACACCTAGGAAGGGAACCCTAGGCACATGCAGCTCGAGTACTGAAGAAATACTCCTGGCTCGCGCACCACCTAGAAAACAGTCACCACACACAAGGCACAGTCTTGAGCTAGAGCACACGACCTCTGACTAGCGCATCAGCCTCAGAACTGAGGTGTGGATTGCCGGAGCAGGGGTCTGGGGCTCCTCCTTCCCAATTCCAGGGAGGGGGGAAGCTGCGCAGACAGCGGTGCAGTGACGTGTGACGTCATGCTTGTTTGCTCGTTTCTGTTTGGGGAGTTCAATCCACTAGTTCAGGTTTTAGTAACAATTTTCACTAGAATAGGGGTTTGTTTTGGGACGCTTACCTTAATGGGCACCTGACCCGGTCGATGGCAGACATAGAATGCTTCCAACTACACAGGGATTACAATGGGCCATTGCTCCTCGTGCCTCTCTGAGGGTGCCAGGTTCTGACTCGTGGTCCCTGGTAGGCCCAAAGAACTCCATACAAATGACTGATGCCAAAATCTGACATTAGCAATATTAGCCTGGATAGCTCCGGGGAGCCAAAGGGGCTATAAAGAAAAGGCTTTCGACAAAGTTCCACATAAGAGGTTATTCTGGAATCTTAAACATATTGGAGGGGTGACAGGTAAGCTAACTTGGATGAAAATTTTTCCGAAAGAAAAATGAGGGCAGTAATCAGCGGCAATATATCAAACAGGTAAAGTGTCACAAGTGGAGTACCACAGGGTTCAGTTCTTGCACCGGTGATGTTCATTGTCTAAATAAATGATCTGCCTGATGGAAAACAGAATTATATCAACATGTTTGCTGATGATGCTGAGATAATAGGAAGGTTAAGAAACTTTGATGATTGTAATGCCCTTCAAGAAGACCTGGACAATGTAAGTATATGGAGCACCACTTGGCAAATGGAATTTAATGCGCATAAATGCCATGTTATGGAATGTAGAATAGGAAAACATAGACCCCACACAACCTTTAAATTATGTGGAAAATCTTTAAAGGATCTAGGGATGGTTCTAGATAGAAAACTATCACCTGCGGACCACATAAAGAACATTGTGCGAGGAACCTATGCCACGCTTTCTAACTTCAGAATTGCTTTTAAATACATGGATGGCAAAATCCTAAAGAAATTGTTCACAACTTTTGTTAGGCCAAAAATAGAATATGCAGCGGTTGTATGGTGCCCATATCTTAAGAAGCACATCAACAAACTGGAAAAGGTGCAAAGACACGCTACTAAGCGGCTCCCCAGAACTGAAGGGCAAGAGCTACGAAGAGAGGTTAGAAGCCTTAAAAATGCCAAACTAAAAGATAGAAGAAAAAGGTCACTACTTACAAGATAGTAACAGGAATCGATAACACTGATATGGAAGACTTTCCGAGACCTGGAACTTCGAGAACTAGAGGTCATAGATTTAAACTAACTAAACAAAGCAGCCGAAGAAATATAAGAAAATTACCTTACGCAAACAGAGTGGTATAAGGTTGGAACAAGTTAAGTGAGCAGGTGGTAGAGGCCAAAACGTCAGTACTTTCAAAGCATTATACAACAAAGAGTACAGGGAAGACGGGACACCACGAGCGTAACTTTCATCCTGTAACTACACTTAGGTAATTACACCAAGTATATTCATATATGGTCGCATTATGTGTTATCGGTCAGGCAACGTGTTAAGAAGGTGAATCATTTCACTAAGGTTAAGTCCGCCCGATTCATGGTGGTTGATCTGGATTTCTGATTTAGGATTCTGGGTTCTTCCTTTCCTTTCAGTTGAGGCGAGTCTGACTGCTTCATGCAGATTACACTCTGCCTCTCAAGATGATCAACCATATCAAGAAGAAAACCATATCTGATGACAGTGAGCCAATTTTCAATTAAAAATCATATACAGTACTTTACAGCCAAATTACAAATACCTAGTGCATTTTACCTGAGAATCCAGATTAACTTGCAGCTTGGACAAGAGTGGTAGCAATGTGTCAATCACTTGACGTGAAAGCTTTCTCCAACGCTCCCGGTTAGCTTCCATTGTGGCACTTAACACCAGGGAGATAAGGCGAAGAACCTGCCGATAAAGTTTTAAAATTTGGGTTTCCGTACCAAATTATTACATATTGTTCCAATAGCCAAACTGTTCCGATTTTTTAGGGTTCCTGTCTCACCAAGTTAAGATTTTTGAGATTTCACTGTACAGTACCTTGCAACATTATATGCACATTCTTTTTGTATTATATTTTGTGTGTGTGTGTTCCTAGTATATAATTAATACAGTACAGTATATGTTAAAAGAAAATAAGAAATATGTGAAAATTACCTGGTGATAGTGTGCAAGTCTTAAAAGCATGGAGCAAAGGACTTCTCGTTGAGTCTCAAGTTCTCGTTGGTCTGCCGTATTCGTTGTGCTCCGCACTAGGAAAAGATCCTCCACTAATGGTTGGAGTGCCAATATACCTGAAATGAGAATGAAGGAATCGAGAATGCTTTACAAAGGGCAAAAATTATTATTATATGGAAGTTTATGACGAGAAAGAATGTAATTATGAACCTAAAGATGAGACATTGTTCCATTTAACCCCTGCATTACGCACCTGTTTATAGTTGTCAACCGAGTGGTGCTAAAACAAAACAAAACAGTTTTGAAAAAATAATTTTTCTTTTGACATTGTTCATTAGCATCCAGAAAGCTCAAAAATGTAAGTATCTACCGCACACCATGCATTTATTCATTTTTACATCTCACATTTTCCATGTAATTAAATAAATGGTAATCACTCATTTGCTGTTATTAAAATTCCGATGGCTGCTAGTATGGCTGCCCTTCACATCCAAACACTGGATGGAGAAGTGCCAGACATGTTCCTCATCTTTTTACTAAGACCCTAGAACAAAAGTGAGGGACTCTGGATTTTTTTTTTTAAACATAGTTACTGGAGAAGCAAACAATTACTGGTTGAAGCAAATGTGAGTCTAACTGCAGTCAGTCAGGCCAATTATATTCAAATTATAATTTTAATTATATACATTATATATATATATATATATATATATATATATATATATTAGTATATTTTGGTAGCAGTCTTTCCTGTAGACATATATTATTAAATATGACCGAAAAAGTAAGATTAATAATTCTAACACGAATTTTCTCAATCTTTCGTACATTACGCTTCACTGTTGGAGGTAAATCAAAAATCACTTCTCCAAAATTCATTTTATTTCTAGTCTGACGCGACACGGGCGCGTTTCGTAAAACTTATTACATTTTCAAAGACTTCACAAATACACAACTGATTAGAACTTACGTATCTCTGATTTTATATCTACATTTGAGTGAGGTGGGAGGGGTGATGTGGCATTAACACAAGACAGAACAAGAGGGGATATTAATAGGGTATTAAAAGTATCAACACAAGACAGAACAGAAACAATGGGTATTGAATAGAAGTGTTTGTAGAAAGCCTATTGGTCCATATTTCTTGATGCTTCTATATTGGAGCGGAGTCTATATTCTACCCACCTCAAGACTCCGCTCCAATATAGAAGCATCAAGAAATATGGACCAATAGGCTTTCTACAAACACTTCTATTCAATACCCATTGTTTCTGTTCTGTCTTGTGTTGATACTTTTAATACCCTATTAATATCCCCTCTTGTTCTGTCTTGTGTTAATGCCACATCACCCCTCCCACCTCACTCAAATGTAGATATAAAATCAGAGATACGTAAGTTCTAATCAGTTGTGTATTTGTGAAGTCTTTGAAAATGTAATAAGTTTTACGAAACGCGCCCGTGTCGCGTCAGACTAGATTTAAAAATGAATTTTGGAGAAGTGATTTTTTATTTACCTCCAACAGTGAAGCGTAATGTACGAAAGATTGAGAAAATTCGTGTTAGAATTATTAATCTTAGTTTTTCGGTCATATTTAATAATATATATATATATATATATATATATATATATATATATATATATATATATATATATATATATATATATATATATATATATATATATATATATATATACACATATATATATACACTGTATATTATATGCAATTACTGATCATGAATCACTGATCATTTGTATGAGGAACGTTTCAGCTGTTTAAAGCCGTTGTCAACACCAGACTGGAGTTGGTAATCTCCAACACGAAGTAATCAATATATATCTATATCTATCTATATCTGTCTATCTATATCTATCTATATATCTATATCTATATCTATATCTATGTCTATGTCTATCTATGTGTATCTCTCTCTATGTCTATCTATATCTATGTCTATCTATATCTATCTATATCTATCTATATGTCTATTTTTATGTCTATATCTATGTCTACATCTATGTCTATATCTATGTATATCTATATCTATTTATGTCTCTCTCTCTCTCTGTCTGTCTGTGTCTGTCTCTCTCTCTCTGTCTGTGTCTGTGTCTGTCTGTCTGTCTGTGTCTGTCTGTGTCTGTCTGTCTGTCTGTGTCTGTCTGTGTCTGTCTGTCTGTCTGTGTCTGTCTGTGTCTGTCTGTCGCTCTCTCTGTCGCTCTCTCTGTCGCACTTTCTGTCGCTCTCTCCAAGAAATGGAATGAATTATGAAAGATATGAATTAGGCCTTCCTTAATCCAAAGGGAACAGTGACTGTTTCTTAATACTTTCATGTGGCGATGACGCAGTATGGCGTCAAAAAGTAATGTATCTGCTAAAATTTGGCTTTTTATCATATTTTTGGGGGACTGGTTTTAAAATGAGCGCCAACGTCTTCCCATTTTCCTTGATGGGCCATGTGGCACCCAGGCGGCATGACCCACGCACTAGGCCCACTGATTTCGTCCCACGCTAGTGACCGGTCCTGCCTCCCCTCGCAATCACCACAAACATTCATATTCGAACTTCCGTATTCGAACATTCGCATACGTACAAACGTATTTTCTGTGGCTATATTTTTTAGTGCGCCTTTAAAAACTATCTGCATTTACCCCAAGATGGATAGTGATCAAGCATAGAGCCATTCCAGGAAGAAACCAGTGAAAGAAACACTTCGGAGAGAGAAGCCAAGTAGTGTACACCAAAAGTACAGTAGGGTGAGACACACACCCTCAAACTTCCAGGCTGTATTTGATGATTTATCCGATATAGAAACTGCTGATAGTGACAGTGATTTAGATAGAGAATTCATTGAAACAGAAACAGCAGATAATGATGAATTTGAAAGTGAGGGGAGTGACAATTCTGATGTTCAAACTGTCACACGTGCACGGCAGGGTACTGGAACTCGTACCGCGTCTATCACCTGTACCCCACTAACATGTTCTGATGAAGCCTGGTCTACTGACAATAATCCACCCCATTGTAGACAGTTTTACAGGATTACCAGGCTTGACTTGTCCTGTACCTAGCACTCCTCTGGGATTGATATAATTATTTCTGCAATCCACAAACATCACTGTATTGGTAAGTATAAAAAGTTAGTTTTTTATACGTTTTATATTGTGGTTAAACTTTATCTTATTGTATTGGTAATGTTGTTCTTCAATTTGCCCTTATATGCATATATCCATGTAAAGCATTGTATTAGGAACAATTTGATACCAAAAATAAGCGCTGTAACACGAAAATTGATGTTAGCAACTGTAAAAAATACTAAACATTTGTCAGAAGTATATAGGAGTGTAGTGGGTGGGCGAATGGGCGCTCACTCACGGGTAACGCGTGGCCTGCTTTCATCTTGTCTGCAGATGGAGTGTGCTGCAGTTTTTGCATTATATGCATATATTCCTGTAGGGAATTCTGTTGCGAACACATTGATACCAAAATGAAAGACCTAGGACGAGAATTGAGGTGACCAAAGTGAAGAGTGTGTACACATTTTATTGCTCTTGCACGCTCCTGGGTAACTCGCTCCCACTTTCTCTGTTTGGTGTGGGGTAGTACGCCGGGCTTTTGGAGTTTATATGCATTTAGACCCATAGAGAATTCTATTGCGAACACATTGATATCAAATGGAAAAATCTAGGAAGAGAATTGAGATGACAAAGTTGAAAGGAGTATACACTTTTCAGTATCAGCATGCGCTCCCGAGGAATGCCAGACCCACCTTGGGGTGGTGTGGCGCTCGCTCGCCCAAAGGGCGAAAGTGATAATACCCTTTCATGTACAGTACACTACTGATTCTATACATATTGAATTCCTGGCTCTGGTATACAATTCCAGGCACAGTTATACGACAAAGAGTGCTGGGGAGATGGGACACCAAGAGCGTAGCTCTCATTCTGTAACTACACTTAGGTAATTACACTGTTTTAACAGATCCATGTAGAGATTTATTAAGAATCTTGCAGGAAATATAGAATTGATAGGGAAGATTTCCTGAGACCAGGAACTTCAAGAACAAGAGGTCATAGATTTAAACTAGCTACACTCAGATACCGAAGAAATATAAGAAAATTCACTTTCACAAACAGAGTGGTAGACGGTTGGAACATGTTAGGTGAGAAGCTGGTGGAGGCCAAGACCATAAGTAATTTCAAAGTGTTATATGACAAAGAGTGCTGGGAAGACGGGACACCACGAGCGTAGCTCTCATCCTGTAACTACACTTAGGTAATTACACACATATCCCAAACCCCCACACACACCCACCACCAACGTACACACACATACACCACATCCCAGACAGTCCCTCCCGAGCCTCCTCTCTCTCTCCAACACCCCTTGCCCTGAAACCAGCCACCTCAACACCTTCCATACCCCGTGCCTCCAGCCACTGCTATGGTATGACCCAATGCTTGATTGCATTATCTGGCAAAATCTTACCTGAATTCCTATTGAGATATAGTGAAGTTTTTATCCGGCCTCAAAAACTGCTGGATAACTCAAAGATTCGGAAAAGCAGGCTTCGGATAAGTGAGCTTATGCAGTACTGTATTTCAAAATATAAATGCAACAAACTGAAATCCATGCAAAGTACTAGAGCCATCTAAATATACATTGAAGATTTTCATAAAATAAATTCACAAAACTCTCAGAGAGAAATACTACTCACAGTGAGATAGAGGAGGCTGTCCACTAGCCATAAGACCATCACAAAGCTGAATGATCTTAGGAACTCCAATAATGCTCTTACTGTGGTGCCGCTCATATGATAGCAACACGAGAAATCGAAACATTGAGGGGATCAGTTCCTCGGCTTGCCTGAAAAGAAATACCAGGATTGTTTAGATCTCTTTTGACCAAAAAACTAGCATTGAATGTAATGAAATGCCATTTTCTGGGTGAGACCCCAGTGCTCCGGAGGCTCCCTGGAGCTATATGAGGCTGATGTGTGTATATTAGACCGTGGCAACAATCAATCAAAGGATTTCTAGGCCTACCGGGGACCAGAGCCAGAACCTGGCCCCACCTCACGAGAGGCATGAGGAGCAATGCCTAAAGACACCCCCCTTGTAATTGGAAGCAGTCTTTGTCTGCCATCTACCAGGTCAGGCACCCAGAAAGGTAGGAATGCCAAATAAAACTACTGATGATCAAATAATTTGCAAATTGAAAGCTGAACTAGCTACAGAACTCTCCCAATCAAAACATAGAAACAAGTATGACGTCACCACAAATGCCACGCATCCGTCTGTGCAACCCCCCCCCCTCCCTGGGAGGGGGACAGGGGGGAGGTCCCAGACTTCCATGCCGGCAACTGTCCACAGTTCAGAGTTGCCAACGGGACAGGCCATCAGCCAGGACATTGGACTCCCTCCCCCCCCCCCCGGGCGTGAACTGCCAGGAGAGCCTAACCCTGAGAACTCAGCAGACGAGTCACCCCGAAGTGACCATCCCCAAAGACAGAAGGACCACATTGAACCCCCTCAGTTCAGGCAACGAACCACCGGGAAGCAGTTCAAATGGAGCCAGATCGTCGATCCGCGGGTGACCCGAACCCTCCAAAGCGCAAACCACACCGCCGCAAAATCCCGCACCGTGCTGTGGACCCGATGGAAGGACGGACCCCACTGTCCCTGGCCGGCCTAGTGAGCACTGGTCACAAAGCCCCAGCCAAGAGACGACAGGCCCGTGAACACATTGAGCGAGGGCTCGGGAAGGCGCCAAGGCACAGAACCCCGAAAAACCTGAAGAGGAAGCCGGCGACACAGCAGCCAACACAAAGCCCCTGGGGGACGAACCCAGAGATCGCGAGAGAGGCGGAAGGGACGTCCCCGAAGGAACCAGAACAGCCAACGAAGCCAAACTCGACCCGATGGGTAGACTAACATCACAAAGTTCCGGCTCCTGCACAGACCCTCGAGCAACCGCCGGGTGACCCGAGAGCCCCCCAGAAACAAGCACAGCCGGGACTGCAGCCGAAGGAGAGACGCTGGAGGAAGAGACAAGGAAGCAGTCCAAGAGTGCACACCACAGAGAAATCTTCACTGCCTGATGTTATCATGGAAGGGGACTCCCCTTCCAAACAGTAACACCTCTTCTCCTCCTCCCTCCTCACCATCTTCCATACTCCTACAGCAGTCATCAGCAAGGGTAAGTAATAACTTGAACATACTTTTGAAGTGAAGATTTGGGTGAATTAGGTTTAAAATTTACTTTGAAGTGAAGTTTTTGAGGAGCCAGGAACGGATTAATTCATTTCCCATTATTTCTTATGGGAAAATTCGCTTCGGTTTTCAAATTTTCGGGTTACGAACCGTCTCCAGGAACAGATTAAATTCTTAAACCGAGGTATCCCTGTACTTCTATTCGGTGATGGTGGTAAAGTGGTGGACCGGTGAGTGTTGTCTGGTGGGTGTTGACCAGTGGATGGGTGGTGGGAGGAGACCAGCCGGAAGGAGGGTGTATGAATGGGCTGTGTTGCCACCTCGTGTCACACTCTTAATTTGTTTGTTCTTAATTTGTTTCGTTCACATGTTAGGAGTACATTGCTTACATTTTCCCACTAGTTATCTTACAGTGGAAGTGACTAGTTTCTATATCAAGGCACTAGTAACCATGGGTACATTACACTTGTTGGAAACACTTACTAGTAAGCAAGCACACACAGTGGGTACTCAGGGCGGGCCTACTAAGAATGGCCCTCATTTACACACAACGGACTTATTTTGTGTGTAATTTGTTCACTTTATATTAAGGTATATTATCTTAATTTTTACGATTGACACAATTGTTTATATAGAGAGTTTAGCACTGCGGACAACTATGATTTCTTGATGCTTCAATAAGGACGGAAGCGATTTTTTTGTTTTTAAATGTCTTGGCAACTTCAGACTTTGCCTTCGGACCCCTGGCACCACAAGGGCAGGCTGTGGACTTGTTTACTACACTTGAATTTCACTTGTTATTTCTTTAAAACACAAAAGTCGGATGGCATTCACTAAGGTACTCACCTAGTTGTGTTTGCGGGGGTTGAGCTCTGGCTCTTTGGTCCCGCCTCTCAACCGTCAATCAACAGGTGTACAGATTCCTGAGCCTACTGGGCTCTATCATATCTACACTTGAAACTGTGTATGGAGTCAGCCTCCACCACATCACTTCCTAATGCATTCCATTTGTCAACCACTCTGACACTAAAAAAGTTCTTTCTAATATCTCTGTGGCTCATTTGGGCACTCAGTTTCCACCTGTGTCCCCTTGTGCGTGTTCCCCTTGTGTTAAATAGACTGTCTTTATCTACCCTATCAATTCCCTTCAGAATCTTGAATGTGGTGATCATGTCTCCCCTAACTCTTCTGTCTTCCAGCGAAGTGAGATTTAATTCCCGTAGTCTCTCCTCGTAGCTCATACCTCTCAGCTCGGGTACTAGTCTGGTGGCAAACCTTTGAACCTTTTCCAGTTTAGTCTTATCCTTGACTAGAAGGTATATTGCTTAAGATGTTGAGTCGCACTTTATGAGAAATCTGACTGTTTTTAGTTCGTTTATCACTGGAATATCCCTAAATATATATTGTTTTTTGCGGAGCTCGTGCTCACATGGCCCTTCCCTCCCACACCCCAACTTCATCTATCACCATCACCAGATGTGATAGACTCAAGTCAAAAAGACCAAATGCAAAGACTCGAGGAGAAGGTCGAAACATTCTTGTAACTAACTGAGACCGATCTGCTGACAAAGGCGGAACCACAGGAAAACCTCCGGGTTCGGACACCGAGCAAGCAGCGCCTGAAACCAAGGCTGGGCAGGCCACCATAGGGCCAAGAGGACTACTCGTCCCTGGTAAGTTTCCAAGCGAGCCAGGACCTGGAGCAATAGCTGAACCGCGGGGAAGAGGTACAGGAATCCCCACCTCAACCAGTCCTGCCGAAAGGCATCGACCCCGACAGCCTTATGGTCAGGGAAGGACACAGCATATACCAGAAGACGCCTCGACCATGCCGACACGAAGAGGTCCACCTCCGGGGGCCCGCGAATATCTGGCAGAGCCAACAGAATGAGTCGGCGTCGACCGTCCATTCCGTAGATAGGGGAATGAACCTGACAGGCAGTCCGCCAGAATGCTGAACCCCCCTCCCCGGACGTGAATCCGACTTCGCAATCTCATCATCATCTATCTCATATCTTGTAACTATCCTAACCATCTTGTATCTTGTAACTAAGTTACCTAACCACAAAATCTTACATTTGTCAGCATTAAACTGCATCTGCCAATCTTTTGACTACTTCATAACCCTATATAGAGCATCTTAAAGTGATAGTCTTTTTCCGTGTTGATTTCCCTACCGATTTTTGTATTATCGGCAAATTTGCAAATATTGCTGTTCAAAACTGAATTTAAATCACTTATATATATTTTATGAATAACAGAGGTCCCAGGACAGAACCATGAGGCACTCCACTTACAACATTTACCCACTCTGACTTAACCCCATTTATACTAACTCTTTGTTTCCTTTGGTATAGCTATGCCCTAATCCAACTTAATATAGCACCCCCAATACTGTGAACCTCTATCTTTTTAATCAGTCTTTCATGTGGCACTGTATCAAAAGCTTTACTAGAGTCAAGGTACACAACATCACAAACCTTTCCACTATCAACTGCCTCAACTATGCTGAAATAAAATGATAGCAAATTTATTAACATGAATGACCATTTGTAAAACCATGTTGTGAATCCTTTATTAATTTATGTTTTTCAAGATGAAGACGAATGGTATTTGCAATTATCGATTCAAGTAACTTTCCCATAATAGACATTAAGCTAATTGGCTGATAGTTTGACGCAAGTGATCTATCTCCTTTCTCAAAAATTGGTACCACATTAGCAACCTTCCACAACTCTGGCACTCTGCCTGACTCTAATGATTTATTAACCCTTGCACTGCTCACCTATTTTCGGTAAAAACGTCTTGGTGCAATTGTCAAGGACATATTTTTGTTATTTTTACAAATGTTCAGGTAAATTTAATGTCAAAATGTTTGCAAAGTCAACTATTTCCATTTCAAAACACAAATAGTAATGAAAACATTAAAAAACATTAAAATATAGTCAAATTAAAAAACAAAAAGCACAACTCTCTGAGCGCCTAAAGGCGCTTTGCGCAGTGCAGTAGTTAAATATGATAGACAATACCTGCTTGATACCTGCTTGATGGGGTTCTGGGAGCTCTTCTACTCCCCAAGCCCGGCCCGAGGCCAGGCTCGACTTGTGAGAGTTTGGTCCACCAGGCTGTTGCTTGGAGCGGCCCGCAGGCCCACATACCCACCACAGACCGGCTGATCCGGAACTTCTCTTAGAAAACAGTCCAGTTTTCTCTTGAAGATGTCCACAGTTGTTCCAGCAATATTTCTTATAGTCGCTGGAGGACGTTGAACAACCGCGGACCTCTGATGTTTATATAGTGCTCTCTGATTGTGCCTATGGCACATCTGCTCTTCACTGGTTCAATCTTGCATTTTCTTCCATATCGTTCACTCCAGTACATTGTTATTTTACTGTGCAGATTTGGGACCTGGCCCTCCAGTATTTTCCATGTGTATATTATTTGGTATCTCTCTCGTCTCCTTTCTAGAGAGTACATTTGGAGAGCTTTGAGACGATCCCAATAATTTAGGTGTTTTATCTCGTCTATGCGTGCTGTATATGTTCTCTGTATTCCCTCTATTTCAGCAATCTCTCCTGCTCTGAAGGGGAAAGCGAGTACTGAGCAGTACTTGAGATGGGACAACACAAGTGACTTGAAGAGTACATCCATTGTGATGGGATCCCTGGATTTGAAAGTTCTCGTAATACATCCGATCATTTTTCTGGCTGACGTGATATTTGCTTGGTTATGCTCCCTAAACGTTAGATCGTCGGACATCATTATTCCCAAATCCTTTACATGCTGTTTTTCTACTATGGGAAGATTTGATTGTGTTTTGTACCCTGTATTATGTTTCAGATCCTCATTTTTGCCATACCTGAGTACCTGAAATTTATCACTGTTAAACATCATGTTATTTTCTGCTGCTCAATCGAAAACTTTGTTGACATCTGCTTGTAGTTTTTCAATGTCTTCAGCAGAGGTAATTTTCATGCTGATTTTTGTGTCATCTGCAAAGGACGACACGAAGCTGTGACGTGTATTTTTGACAATGGCTCGCAAAGCTCCTCTTTACATTCTTTAAGCACAATGGCAAACACTTCCCCTGGCCCTGGGAATTTGTTTGGCCTGAGTTTCACTATTTGTTTAATAACATCATCCCTAGTAACTGCTAAACTAGTCAACCTGTCCTCATCCCCACCCACATAGACTTGTTCAGCTGAAGGCATAATGTTAAGTTCCTCTTTAGTAAATACAGAGATAAAATATTTATTAAAAATACTACTCATCTCTTCGTCATTATCCATTATCTGACCTGTCTCAGTTTTTAATGGACCTATACTTTCCCTAATCTTTGTTCGATATAACTGAAAAATCCCTTTAGGATTTGTCTTTGCTTGCCCTGCTTTGCGAACTTCATAGTTTCTTTTTGCCCTCCATATGTCTTTTTTAATATTTCTAACCAGTTGTATGAATTCTTTGTTCTAAACTGACATTTTTTCTTCATTTTTCATCCTTTTGTACCACGTTCTCTTTCTACATGTAAGGTTCTTCAGATCCTTAGTTATCCATTTTGGGTCATTATTATTCGATCTATTCAATTTGTATGGTATACTACATTCCTGTGCATTGCTTAGAATATTTTTAAATAGGTTATATTTTGAATCCACATCGAAATCCGTTTTTTACATCACCCGTTGCTGGATTCACGTCTCACTCCAAGACCGGCCCACCCCTTGTGCCCAAAACTTTCCAATCTATTTCGCCAAAAAATTTCTTAGGCTAATAAAATCAGTTTTATTAAAACAATATGGAAGAAAATGCAGAATAGAGCCAGTGAAGATCAGGGGTACCATAAACACAATCAGAGAACAGTGTATGAATATCAGAGGTTCACAGTTGTTCAATATCCTCCCAGCGAGTATAAGAAATATTGCCGGAACAACTGTGGACATCTTCAAGAGAAAACTAGACAGTTTTCCTCAAGAAGTGCCAGACCAACCGGGCTGTGGTGGATATGTGCGCCTGCAGGCTGCTCCAAACAACAGCCTGTTGAACCAAGCTCTCACAAGTCAAGCCTGGCCTGAGGAGCAGAAGAACTCCCAGAACCCCATCAAGCAGGTAACCCAAATTCTGTACAGATGGAAGGAAAGTGAGAAAAACATCTGCCAACATATTTGTTATTCCCCTAATGTGAAATGCTGTTCTCAAGAGTGAAGAAGGGGAGTTAAGCCCTTAAAAGTATTGCATTTTAAAGCCAATCAAACCAACCTTGGCCCACATGAAGGTTCGTGACAGTCATAGTCCAAGCTGACATAATCAGTTAAGATTAAAAGATGGTACAGATGGCCTTTACTTGGTTGAACCAAAAAATGTCTGAACCTTCAAAGAACAGACAAGAATTATAAATTTTTGTGATGTGTAAATAACAAAACTCATTAAAACTGTACAAAGAACTTACTTGATTTGTCCTTCTTCAATGTATTCAAATTGTTTGATAACATAACCAATAAATATTTGATCAGAGTCCAAAAGACAGTAGTTAACACGAATCTGTACAAGGTGAATCAGCAGCTGCAGTACTGATCTCTGCATAACAACATCACTTGACACTGTATATAGCTGGGGAAAGTAAATATACAACCAATTAGAAACATGAACAATTAATTTTGAAACATTTTTCACCAGACTGATTTATCACTTACACATTAATGTCACAGAAATTATAACAATATTAATTGTAGGAACTTAGAAGTACTGTATATGCAGTGACTCAACCTACCTTTAAGGCTTTGATAACCAATGGCTCAAAAAGTCGTATATAAGAACTTAACGATAACTTATCGTTGCCACGTCCAAGGGTCTTAAAGATATTAGAATTCCCTTTTCGCTGACTCAGACTCAAACTAAAAATTAAATGAACATCAATTATAAATATGTATATAGTTTCGTAAAAATTAGTAAGCTGAAACATTGAAATATTTATATTGTTTCATCATAATGAACGTATGGATGATGACTGTTTTGCAGTGTGTGTATTCAAGTGACTCTGAGGTTAGATGGAGATGAAGATTAAGATGATGGATGGAGACATTGTGAGGATCAGTAGCTAATGAGGAGCAGTAGGGAATGTTTCAAGATGACATCGGCTTGTCGTGACGGAGTGCTTGTTTACCATATTTTTACATGACCAAGCATGGAAAGCATTTTAAACCTAGTTGTATGAAGTGATATGCTAAACTGCTGTGGAATGTTTGGCATGACAATGATGAACCTTTATGCTACTGCTAATCACTAGGGATAATGAATAAATAACACATTTTGAGTATATTTGACCTTTCTTTCTGTACATTGCTCTCCTATTTTGCTCCAAGTTTTTCTTCCCCCATTCTAACCTATAAAATAAAGAAACAAAGAAGTAACTATGTAAGGGTCATTGTATATTGACAAAGGTATCTCCAGTCTGTGTTTTGCATCTCTCTCAATACCATACAAACAAAATTATGAATATTCTTAACATACAGTAGGAGGAGTCCCTGGTATACAAACACCCACTAAGTGAACACTCGTACGTTTATGCTATGTAACGCATACCATTAGCTGGGTAAAACTGCAGTACCTCACTTAATGTGACAACAACAACAACAATAATAATAATAATAATAATAATAATAATAATAATAATAATAATAATAATAATAATAATAATAAATCAATTATTGTCTATAGGGAGTGAGACCTTGCTCTCAGCCCCATCTTCTAGTTCTTTATACCTTGTGCATTTAAAATTCTTGTGGATGGAGGTGTCCTACACTAATTTAGTGCTTTCCAGCAGTTGAACAGAAAAAGGGAACACATCCAGTGTTAACACCAAGAAAAAGATTTAATAAAACCAACGTTGAATGTAATGAAACGCCATTTTCTGGATGAGACCCGGAGGCTCCACGGAGCTTACGAGGCTGATATGCTAATGTCAGACTTTGGCATCAGTCATGTGTATGGAGTTCTGTGGGCCTACCGGGGACCACGAGGCAGAACCTGGCCCCTTCAGAGAGGCATGGGGAGCAATGGCCAATAGAAACCCCCGTGTGGTTGGAAGCATTCTATGTCTGCCATTGACTGGGTCAGGCACCCAGAGAGATAAGCATCCCAAAACAAACCCCTGTTCTGGTGAAAATATTGCTACCAAAAGCCGAATAAGTGGATAGAACTCCCCTAAAAGAAACGAGCAAACGAGCATGATGTCGCCGCGCCGCTGTCTGCGCAGCTCCGCCCTCCCCGGAAGAGGGAAGGGGAAGCCCCAGACCCTCTACGCCAGCTATCCACCCGTCAGTTCTGAGTCTGGATGTCAAAAATACGCGAAAAAAACGGCGACCGGAGGGAGGGATGCCCGGGAGCCTCCGGGTCTCACCCAGAAAATGGCCTTTCATTACATTCAACGCTGGTTTTCTGGGGGGGGGGAGCCCCTTCGGCTCCTCGGAGCTAACTACCCCCAGAGGAAAAACATAGGGACTTACCCAGGAGGCGGTCACTGCTCACTCCTGAATACCTGCTCACTCACGTAATCTGTTCACCAGGTAACGAGCAGCCAGGACCCTGTTCGACCTCCAAAAGCCCAGTGCCCGAATGTCAACCCAGGACACGTTGCCTAGGTCCTGGGGACCCAGACGGCAGCAAGACCACCCAGACGGCGGCAAGACCAGTGAACTTATGAACGTCATGGGAACGGGATATACCACAGGTTGGCTATCCTTAATAACTCTACGGATGACCTGGGAGACCCGCACCCGCGAACAGGGAAGAAGGGAAACCAGATCAACCCAAAGCGTGACCCCGGATACAGAAGCCATGGTTCAAGTAACGGCAGAGAGCTGCAACTAGGGGGTGCATCACAAAACATGATGCACCCCTGGCCTGACCAACCAAGCATCAACAACTCAGAGACCCCTCCGGAAATCAGCTGTTTCATTCTTCGCCAGAAAAGGAGGAGACGGCTGCAAATGAACAAAACCATCACGAAAACCAAAGGAGCAGAAATCCCTGAACCGGAGGAGAGTATGAAGCTTCCCAACCTGACCTTCAGAGGCCAATGCCAACAGAAAAAGAGTCTTGGAGAAACAATCCTGAACCGAAGGGGCCACAACAAACCGAGGAGAAGAAAGAAAAGAGAGCACTCTGTCCAAAGACCAGGACTATTCAGGCGGCGCATGAGCAGGCCGGAGGTGAAACAAAGCACAAGACAGCTTGCGAAACGGCGCAGAAGTAACATAAAAACCGAAAGTAAGCTGAAGCTGCTCCACCAGCGTCGCACGATATGAGGCGACAGTGTTAGGCATAAGGCGATGGTCCTGGAACAACCAAGAGAGAAAGGACACCACCACCCTAACAGAGAGCGAAGTACAACGACGAAGACGCAAAAGAAACGGAATGACCGCCAGGAAACTTCATACTGCCGCCGAGACGAAGCCCGCAAGTGGGACACTAACAAGGAAGCCACCTGATCACCATAGAGATGATGATAAACTCGAGTCAAAAATACCATACGTGAACACTCTAGGAGAAGATCGAATCAGCCATGTGACGTTCCAGTCTAATCTGCTGGAAGAGGCAGAGCTGTGGGAAAACCTCTGGGTTCAGACACCGAGCAAGCAGCGCCTGAAACCACGACTGGGCCAGCCAGCACAGGGCCAAAAGGACAACTCTTCCCTGGAAAGTCTCCAAGTGAGTCAGGACCTGGAGCAACAGCTGAACCAGAGGAAAAAGGTACAGAAACCCCCACCTCGACCGGTCCTGCCGAAAGGCATCGACCCCGATGGCCTTGCAATCGAGGAAGGGTGCCACATACGGGGGGGGGGGGGGTGCAGTGACCATGCCGATGCAAAGAGGTCCACCTCGGGGTGCCTGAACGTCTGGCAAAGCCAACGGAAGGAGTCGGCGTCAACCATCCATTCCGTGGAGAGGGGAACGAAACGAGACAGGCCGTCGGCCAAGACGGACACTCGCTGCACATGAACAGTCAGGAGAGCCAAACCTCGAGAACTCAGCAGACGAGTCACCCGAAGTTACCAGCGCTAAAGAGCCAAGGACCGCATCGAACCTCCTCGGTTCAGGCAATGAACCACCGGTGAGCAGTCCGAATGGAGCCGGATCATCGATCCGCAGGCGACCCGAACCCTCCGAAGAGCAAACCACACCGCCACGAACTCTTGCATTGTGCTGTGGGCTCGAGAGAAGGACGGACGCCACCACCCCTGGCCAGCCTGGTGAGCACTGATCACAAAGCCCCAGCTAAGAGACGACGCGTCCGTGAACACATTGAGCGAGGTGCTCGGGCAGGCGCCAAGGCCCTGAACCCCGAAAAACCCAAAGAGTGCTCCTCGTGCCTCTCTGAGGGGGCCAGGTTCTGGCTCGTGGTCCCTGGTAGATCTAGACTCTATGCACTTGACTGATGCCAAATGTCTAATACATTCTTATCAGCCCAAATAGCTCCAGGGAGCCGACGGGGATCCCCCCCCCCCAGAAAAACAGAAAAATCAGATATTGAAATAATTAGGTAATACAGTGGTACCTCGGGTTACGAACGTCCCTGTTTACGAACTTTTCAGGTTAAGAACATCCCTATTTATGAACTGTTCGGGTTACGAGCCCGATTTGTTCGGAAAATTTGAATCGGGATATAAACTTTGCATCAGATTACGAATTTGTTGATACGCGTACGGCCGACCTAACGCATGGTGGCATGGCATTCACGCCTCAGTTTCACAGTGCCTTGCACCCAGCGACTATTCTGCCTGAATTCTTCACAAGAATTTGCAGTTTTTTCTCGGATTTTTTGCCATTTGAGCATAAAAGTTGTTATTTATATATTTCGCCATGGGTCCCAAGAAAGCCAGTGGTAAGGTTCAAGGCAAGAAATCACATGTGAGAATGACAATAGAGGAAAAACAAGAGATCATTTGTAAGCATGAAAATGGTACTCATGTTGTTGAACTAACTAGGCAGTACAACAAATCTTCAGGGGAGGAAGAGGAGGCAGTAGAGAATGTCTCTTCCTCGTTAATTAAGAAAATGTGTGCAGTATGGGAAGGACTGCAAAGTTTTGCTGAAAAGAATCACCCAGATAAAGCTGTAGTAAGCCATTGCAGTGATCTTTTTAATGACAATGTGAAGCCTCACTACAGACAAGTGCTGCAAAGAAGGGGAAAAACAATTTTCAATGGAACGTTTCCTTGTGAGAAAAGTGAGAAAATCAAGCAGTGAGCCACAACCAGGACCTAATGGTATGCAGGCAAAACGTGCCCGAGTGTGCACTCCAGAGAAATCTTCACTGCCTGATGTTATAATGGAAGGGGATTCCCCTTCCAAACAGTAACACCTCTCCTCCTCCCCTCTACTCACAATCTTCCATACGCAAACATCAGTCATCAGCAAGGGTAAGTAATAACTTAAAACATACTTTTGTAGTGTAGATTTGGGTGAATAAGGTATAAAATTTACTTTGAAGTGAAGTTTTTGGGGAGTCAGGAATGGATTAATTCATTTCCCATTATTTTTTATGGGGAAATTAGCTTTGGTTTACGAATTTTTGGGTTACGAATCGTCTCCAGGAACGGATTAAATTTTTAAACCGAGGTACCCCTGTACAGTAATGCCACCTTTGTGACAACTCCCGCCTCACGGCGCGGGTGGAGGAAACCAGCACGGGACGCTTACTCTGTCAGCGCCTCAATTTTGCCAGACTTCCACGCTCTATTACGACCAAAATATGTCACCTATGATTTTTATTATTATTTTTCCTGTGATGAGGAACCGCATTTTAACAATCTTAGCAGAAAAACAAATTTTAATTTTTTTCTTGCGCCTTGCGGTGTTAAAGGCTATATTCACAAGTGCTGCTCAGGAGTTAAGGGTCTATCCTGTAAACTCCAAACAAGTAATCCTAAACACACTTGCACACTAACCTGATGGGGTCACTATCCTTCCTGGCAGCAGACATCGCAGTCAAGTCATTCTCCAGTTCTGTCAAAGGGATACTGAAACAGAGATGATGAAGTCCTGTATTATTAGGCTCCTCTGTTGTCCGCTTGCTTGTGGCACCAGCTGGATCCACAGACACGTGAGGTAAGGGGTCAGACACCTTTCGGTACAGCTGGTCAAAGAGGGCCATCACATTTGATCCAAACAAGCACTTCAGAAGCTGAAATATATTAAAAACATACATAGAATAAAACAATAATATTGCTGAAAATAAATAACCCAACTCACATGTGTATTACAGAAACGTGACATTTTGGCCCATCCTGGACTCTTATTTATCAAGGATGGCTGAAATGTCACAGTTCTTCTAATATGTGGGTTGTGTATTTATTGTAAACATACTGACAGTATGTTTAGTGGAGATAGATTTACTGACAGATAGATTTTCTGGAGATATGAAGTTAGGTAATACAGAGGGTAGATTCAATCAAGAGTATGTTTGTGTCTATGAGCAGACTGCACTGCTGGCCAGTGGTTTTAATTTTCCAATATATATAAATAAGCTCCCAGAGTTTATTTTTATTTTTCTATTACTTGTGCCTTTCTGTCCTTTCATATTCTTGTCTAACATATTTTTACTTGTCTAGAACTGTCAAGGCAGTTATCGTTATATTCACATTCTTCCTTCACTTTGGAAGCAAGTTGTGACTATTTCACTTTTTATGATTTCCAAGCTAGCACACAGAATTTGTGGGCAAATGTTTCTGGTACTCAGCAAGACTTTAAGGCATATGAACTGTCTGAGGAAGCGTCTACATGTGGGCTTCCCCTACCCCCCATCTACCCACTCCATGGATGGCAGCTACCCAGAGAAAACAATACATCAAACATCACTACATCAATATGTATATCAATACATCAATACATCACTGACAACAAGTGTTTGGTTTCCTACACCTAAGTAACACAAACTTACCTGTTGCCCACATTGCACTGTAAGTGTTGGAAGGAGAGATGTAACAACTTTCAAATACTGAAGCATTTCGTCTGCAAGTTTCCCAAATTCGACCATTGATGCCACTTCCAAGAGTCTCCCCAGGCTAATCAGGGCTACTCGAAGCAATCCACAAAGCTTCTCTGTTGTGTTCTCTTCCAATGACATCTGTGAGAGTTCATACATTATTAGTACTTGTTTCCCACTTTTATGAGATGGCAAGTCATCAGGCCAAAGAAAAGGTAAATACAGCGGCGGTGACAGTGTCGACAGTGATCATGATGATAATGATAAAGAGGATTATGATGTCCTCAGCACCATACTGATGGTGCTGATGACTAGGATGATGATGAGGCCGAGGATGCCGATGATGCTCAAGATTACACAAGTTTAATAGATATTCACATTTGCATAACAGTTAGACCATGGTTCATGGATAATTAAGGCATCTTAAAAAATAAAAGACTTTAAATTTCAGAATTAAAAACAAATTTTATTTATTACCTTATAATTTGTGTGAGCATTTTTTAGCACATCATACATTTTAATATATTCTGGCAAGTGTGAAAATGCTCCAATAGTTCCAGGTTTCAGTGGCTTCCTTTCTTTCTCCTCACCATCTGCAAAGACAAGTGAATTAAAACATAAAACAAATACTACACCTTAATTTCATTGCAAACATTATGTCATCCAATGACATGAAAGATGACAACACAGCATCATATTGTGATCAGTGGTTTACAGTATTGTAATGCTGGACAAAATTATATATATATATATTGCCAACAACCAAGGAAATGTTTCAAAGACTTGGTTACACATGGATTTCTTTCAAAAAGCTATGAAAGATAAAATTTATAATATGACAAAACAAGCCGAAAACAAGTAATGTGTGACAATAATGACAACCTAATTGTGTTCCTTCATAAACTCTTGCAAGATGCTTTCTTGATACTAACCATTTTTCTCTCCATTACTGGGTGAATGTGTCCGGTTCTTGTCACCAGCAGAATCACTTCGTGATCTTCTCTGTAAGATTGAAATATTTAAAAGACAATTAGATTAGCTAATTAAATGTGTACACAATTGGGCAGGGGGGGGGGGGGGGAATATAGAGTGGAGTCTTGATTATCTGAAAATGAATTATCCAAAAGGTTTGAGCTAAGAGAAAGAAAATTAGTTTGCATAACAGTCCTAAATACTCAATTCTCCACTTAAACGGGTGAAGAGTACCTGTAGAACATTTGGGATATTTAGAAAAAACCAGCGATGAATGTAATGAAACTTCATTTTCTGGGCGAGACCTGGAAGCTCCCCCGGAGCTATTCAGGCTGATATGTAATACAGTGGAACCTCGATTAAAGAATTTAATCCGTTCTGGCACCGAGCTCGTCACGTTAAATGTTCGTCTTTCAAAACAAATTTCCCCATTTAAAATATAGGAAATATAAATAATCAGTTCCACCACCAAAAGACATCAATATAATAATCAATTTTGTAAATAATGGAGCAGCCTGACATTCACTGAACGAACCTTTATGACATTTTTTTCTTTTTTCAAATTTGTTCAATTTTTTGGGCTTTTTATTTTTTTAAGAAATATGTTTCTTAAAAAAAAACACAAAAAAAACAACATTGAATGTAATGAAACGTCATTTTCTGGGTGAGCCCCAGAGGCTCCCTGGAGCTTATCGGGCTAATGTATGTTATATCAGCTGAAGTGGAATGCTGAGCTCGGGTGCACATTCTCTCAGAACTCATGGTGAAACTCCATCAGGGCCAACTGTTTTGTTCTTACTTAGTTCCAGGAGCATTTGTTTCACTTCGTCTCTAGACACCTCTATGTTCTCTGTGCTGTTCTCTGGGATTCTTAATGTGCCTGGTTCTCTGAAGATCTCATTTTGTACAAACACACTTTGGAACTTTTCGTTTAATGTTTCACACATTTCATTTTCATTTTCCGTGTATCTGTCCCCCATTTTCAACCTCTGAATATTATCCTTTACCTGCAGGTTACTTTTAATGAATTTATAGAAAAGGCCTGGATATGATTTACATTTGTCTGCTATACCATTCTCAAAGTTCCTCTCTGCCTCTCTCCTTACTGATGTGTAGTTGTTTCTTGCACCTTTGTATCGCTGGTATGTTTGGGGGTTTGGTCTCTTTCTATAATCATTCCATGCTTGTGTCTTTTGATCTCTGGCCTGCTTAATATCTGCTTGATGGGGTTCTGGGAGTTCTTCTACTCCTCAAGCCCGGCCCGAGGCCAGGCTCGACTTGTGAGAGTTTGGTCCACCAGGCTGTTGCTTGGAGCGGCCCGCAGGCCCACATACCCACCACAGCCCGGCTGATCCGGAATTTCTCTTAGAAAAAGAGTCCAGTTTTCTCTTGAAGATGTCCACGGTTGTTCCGGCAATATTTCTTATAGCCGCTGGGAGGACGTTGAACAACCGCGGACCTCTGATGTTCATACAGTGTTCTCTGATTGTGCCTATGGCACCTCTCCTCTTCACTGGTTCTATTCTGCATTTTCTTCCATGTCGTTCACTCCAGTACGTTGTTATTTTACTGTGCAGATTTGGGACCTGTCCCTCCAGCATTTTCCATGTATATATTATTTAGTATCTCTCTCGTTTCCTTTCTAGTGAGTACATTTGGAGAGCTTTGAGACGATCCCAATAATTTAGGTGCTTTATCTCGTCTATGCGTCCCGTATATGTTCTCTGTACTCCCTCTATTTCTGCAATCTCTCCTGCTCTGAAGGGGGAAGTAAGTACTGAGCAGTACTCAAGATGGGACAACACAAGTGATTTGAACAGTACAACCATTGTGATGGGATCCCTGGATTTGAAAGTTCTTGTAATCCATCCGATCATTTTTCTGGCTGACGCAGTACAGTATTTGCTTGGTTATGCTCCCTAAACGTTAGATTGTCGGACATCATTATTCCCAAATCCTCGACATGCTGTTTTTCTACTATGGGAAGATTCGATTGTGTTTTGTACCCTGTATTATGTTTCAGATCCTCATTTTTGCCGTACCTGAGTACCTGAAATTTATCACTGTTAAACATCATGTTATTTTCTGCTGCCCAATCGAAAACTTTGTTGACATCTGCTTGTAATTTTTCTGTCTTCAGCAGAGGTAATTTTCATGTTCATTTTTGTGTCATCTGCGAAGGATGACACGAAGCTGTGACGTGTATTTTTGTCTATATCTGATATGAGAATAAGGAGCAGTAGCGGTGCAAGGACTGTACCTTGAGGTACAGAGCTTTTAACTTCACTTGGACTCAATTTTATTTGATTGACTGTTACTCTTTGTGTTCTGTTCGACAGGAAATTGAGTATTCAGCGTCCTACTTTTCCAGTTATTCCCATTGACCTCATTTTGTGTGCTATCACCCCATGGTCACATTTGTCGAACGCCTTTGCAAAATCTGTGTATACAACATCTGCATTTTGCTTTTCTTCTAGAGCTTCTGTGATTTTGTCATAGTGGTTGAGTAACTGTGACAGACAGGATCTTCCTGCTCTAAATCCATGTTGTCCTGGGTTGTGCAACTCATTGTTTTCCATAAAACTAGAAATTTGATTCCTAATCACTCTTTCAAACACTTTTATTATGTGTGATGTTAGTGCAACTGGCCTATAATTTTTTGCCAAGTCCCCTTGTGCAAAGGAGCTATATCTGCAGATTTAAGTGCTGCTGGTATCTCCCCTGTATCCAGGCTCTTTCTCCATATTATGCTGAGTGCTCGCACTACTGGTACTTTACATTTCTTTATGAATATTGAATTCCATGAGTCAGGCCCAGGAGCTGAGTGCATAGGCATATTGTCAATTTCTCTTTCAAAGTCTTCCGAGTTTGTGGTAATATCCGTTATATTATCTGCAGCTTGAATGCCATTCATAAAGAAGCTGTCTGGGTCATCAACTTTCATGTTGTTTATTGGTGTGCTAAACATAGCCTCATACTGGCTTCTTAGAATTTCACTAATCTCTTTGTTGTTCTCTGTGTACGTACCTGCATTTGTAATTAATGGTCCAATACTGATCAAGGTTTTTGATTTTGATTTTGAGTAATGTGAAAAAATATTTTTAATTTTTCTTTATCTCTTGTATAGATTTCTGTTCCAATTCCATTTCCTTAGACTCTCATGATCGCTTCAACATTTGTTCTATTTCTTCGATCTCCCTGCTTAGGTTTATTTCCCTTGCTTATGATAGTTGTGTCTGCCGAAGCATTTCCGTTATTTTTTTCCTTCTCGTGTACAGTCGTCTGCGTTCTCTTTCTAGAGTGGTCCTCTTTCTGACCCTCCTCACAGGTACGTGCTTCAAGCAGACCTTGTATGCTTCAGCTGTCAGTTGAGCTATTCCCTGTGTGGGAGTTTTGTCGCTTAAGACCGTCTCCCATTGAATGGTTGCAAAGTTAACATTTATTTTTTCCCAGTCAATCCCCTTATTGTTGAAATTGAATTGATTGAATACTCCTTCTCGCTTGTTGGGTCTCTTAAGACCTACTACCGTTATTTATGCTAGTTCGCACTTCAATGAGCTTATGGTCTGAGTATGTAGTATCTGAGATTGTGATGTCTCTGATTAGTTCATCAATGTTTGTGAATAACAAGTCTAGTGTGATTTCGTTCCTAGTTGGTTCTGTAATCTGTTGATTGAGCGAGAATTTGTCACAGAATCTCAAAAGTTCTCTGACCTGTGGTTGGTTATTTCCCCAACCTGTCCTCTTAAAAAGAACGTCGCTTTTGGCCGTTTGCCCGTATGGCCGAATATGGCATAATTTGAAAATGAAAAAAAAATAATATAAATTTGGGATTTTTTTTTTCAACAACAGTAAGTTAAGGGTCCTCTGATAGGTTAGGTGGGCAGGAAATTCTCAAAGTTTCAAAATGGTATGAAAAACGATAATGGAAAGAATCTTTTCTAAGCTGGCCGAGTAAGCCGGACGACTCAAAAAGAAAACGGGACAGTACGTCACTTTTGTGAGTCGATTTCATTTCAAATTACGTCCAAATTTGGCCATATTGCGCATACGAGCCAAAAGTGACATTTTTTTCAAGAGAACGGGTTGATTTCCCGGGTCATTCCCTGCTATGATATTTGTGCTTGCCATTCTCCATCTTAGACTCGGTAAATTGAAATCTCCAAGGAAAATAATATCTGGAGCTGGGTTTGCTAGGTTATCAGTATGTTCTCTATTTTGTGCATCTGCTCTGTGAATTCCTCAACCGTTGTATCTGGCGGTTTATATATTAGAATAATAATTAGGTTTAGTTTCTCTACCTTAATTCCAAGTACAGTACCTCTACCACCTCATTAGTTGAGTTTAGTAGTTCTGTGCATACCAGGTCCTCTTTAATATATAGACCTACTCCTCCATTTGACCCAGTTTTTCTATCACATCTATATAAATTATAATTTGGAATCCAGATTTCACCACCCATGTAATCTTTTGTATGAGTTTCCGTGAATGCCCCAAATATTGAGTTTGACTCTAATAGGAGGCCATTTATGAACTTCACTTTATTTCTTGACTTTGGCTTTAAACCTTGAATGTTTGCAAATATGAATGATTGTCCATATTGTGTGTCACTTCTGAAAGGTTTTGGTAGTTCTCCCTCCTCTCTACCCTGACCCAGGGTGTGTTGTTGTGGCAATGGTTTGTCCAGTTTTGGAAGTGATACTGGGGAGTGTGGTGGTCTCTGTGTAGTTGGGGGGTGTAGTATGTGTGGGCTTGATGACGAACCGTAGTCCAGTCTTGGGCATTTCCCCCTCTCCATCCGTACTCCTGCCACGTTTCTGCCTGTCTGTTTCTCCCTCTGTTTCTGCCTGCCTCTAAAAAAATTTCAGGGCTATTATATTGGACTTCCTCTCTTATATAGTGCTGTGTGCCTCTGACGTGGAAATCAGGGCAATGAACATCATAGCATTTCCTCTCATTAACCGAGAGTGTGCATAGCTTAGGGTGAAAATATCTACACTCTGTACCAAAACGACATCTGCCTTTCCCTAACCAATTTCAGCATTTCCGTGGGTGCATGAATGTGCATTCCGTGCCTCTGGGCCCATATCTGCACTGTCCTTTTGCATAATACCTGCAAATATTTTCATCTGTGATTGTATTCTTCTTGTTTGTGCCCGTGCACGACTTGGCTACCTCTGTGTTTTTTGTTACCACTTTCTAGTTTCTGCATTCATTCTCGGTATTGCCCTTATCTTTCTCCTTGTTGCTTTCATCTTTCTCATTTGTGTTCTCATTCGTCTCATTTTGTCTCTCCATAATTCATATCACCAGTTTGCTGTACAATATTGCCATCATTTTTGTGTACCTCAACACCATATCCTTCTACATTGCTACTTTGGCTCTCTAAATTCTCAGTCTCTAGGTTGTGCTCAGAGTTCGTGGCTGTCTTTATATACTCTGCATATATTTCTGGCCCTCTCACAATTTCTGTTGAACCAGCCCTCTTTCCTAGGTCTGCATGTCTGTGTTGGTATGAATGTTTGTGTGCCTTCATCGTATATTTTTCAAATTTGGCATACATCTCATTTATTTCCTTGCCTAGCAACAAGTCTGTCCAATTATACCCATGAAAAAATTTTTAAGTTCCCCATAGTTCCCCATAGTTCTCTTGAAATCGAGTTTAACAACTGTTTCACTGTCACCATTCTCTACTAGATTATATCGCATAGCGTATTTAATGTCCAAGAGGATGTGATCACTTTCTCAAGGGAGGAAGGTACTGGATGTCAAATACCTCTTCTTCTATCCTGGTGAATACTAGATCCAGTACTGATGGAACATCCCCTTCCTTCATTCTTTTGGCCTGCTTGACGTGTTGATACATGAATGTCTCCAAGATGAGGTTTACAAATCTGCCTGTCCAAATGTCTTCTGTTCTTGCCTCGTAGGCCTCCCAGTCTATTGCCTTAAAGTTAAAGTCCCCCAGTACCAACAATCGGGATTTATCTTTGTCAGCTCTTACCATAATCTCTCTCATGACCATTATGAGGCCTTCCGCTTGTCATCCAGTTCTTCCTTTGTCCATGTGTTGCTTGCTGGTGGGCTGTAGGCATTTAAAATTATCAGCTTATCCTCTTGATTCCAGAGCTGCCATGCCATTATGTCAACATCTCGAGGGTTTTCAAATATTAATTCTCTTACCTTCAGGTGTTCTTTCACCAGCACAGCCACACCTCCTCCCTTCCTAGTTTTCATGTCACGTCTCCAAACTGAGTAGCCCCTTGGGAATACGACTGCATTTAAAATATTTTCTTCAAGTTTCGTCTTTGTTAATGCGACAACATCTGGGACTTTGAGCTGAATTATATTTATATGTTAGTGCAACTGGTCTATAATTCTTTGCCAATGCTTTGCTTCCTCCCTTGTGTAGAGGGGCTATGTCTGCTGCTATAAGTGCATCTGTTATCTCCCCCGTGTTCAAGCTCTTCCTCCACACTATACTGAGTGCCTGTGCTACTGACACCTTACATTTCTTTATAAATATTGAATTCCATGAATCTGGACCCGGAGCTGAATGCATGAGCATGTTTTAAATTTTTCTTTCAAAATCTGTCATGCTCGTGTTGATATCAGTTATATTTACAGGGATGGGGGGTTTCAATATCACGCACAAGAAGCTATCCGGATCTTCCACTTTCATTTAAATGTCATGCTCTTTAATGGAGTGCTAAACATGTCCTCATACTGCATTTTTAGGATATCTCTAATTTCTTTGTCATCCTCCGTGTATGAACCTTCACTTGTACGAATAGATCCAATACTGGCAGTGGTTTTTGCTTTTGATTTAGCATATGTGAAGAAATATGTTTTTTCTTTGTTACTTTAATTGCTTTCTGTTCTAGTTGCCTTTTGTCAATCTGATATGAGTGTTTCAGTGTCTGTTCGATTTCTTCAATTTCCCTTTTAATTATTCCTTCTTTGTAGGGTAAGTCCTGTCCTTTATTTTATTCCTTCTTTTATAGTGTTTTCTGCGTTGTCGTTCTACATTGGACCACTTTCTGGCTTTCCTCAAAGGAACATGTTTCAGACTTGATATGCTTCTGAGGTCAGTATTTTATATTCCTTCTGTAGGATTTTTATTACTTACAACAGTTTCCCATGGAATGTTTTAAGTTCCCTGTTTATTGTTTCCCAGTCTATTCTTTTATTATTAAAATTTAATTTACTGAATAATCCCTCTTGCTTGATCATTGTTTTTGGTCTACCTTGAGTATTGATGGTAGTTTGCACTTCAATAAGATTGTGATCTAAGTATGTGGTATCTGATATCGTAATTATTATGTCTTCATTATTTGTAAAGACCAGATCTAGAATATATTTGTTTCTTGTTGGCTCTGATGTCTGCTAGTTGATTGAAAATTTGTCACAGAATCTAAGCAGTCCTCTAATCTGTGGTTGGTTATGTCCCGATAGATTTCTTAGTATAATATTATTGTTTGCAATTCTCCATCTTAGATTAGGCAAGTTGAAGTCACCTAGGAAGACAATATCATATCAGGTTTGCCAAATTATCAAGGCTATTCTCAACTTTGTTTATCTGTTCTTCAAATTCCTCATCCACTGCATCAGGTGGTTTGTATATTAGAATAATAACTAAGTTTATGTTCTCTATTTTCACTCCCAGCACCTCTACCCTCATTTGTAGAGTTAAGGAGCTCGGAGCATACAAGGTCTTCCCTAATACGTATACATACCCACTCCTCCAAGTGACCTATTTACCCTATCACACCTGTATAGACTAAATTCTAATGGAAATAATTTAACATAATGTCATTACTTTAATGGGGGAAAGTGTTGTTTGTGGAGCTAGGGGAGCAAGTGTAGGTCTTGAACCCGGCAGGATGTCCTCCAGCACGTGGGTGTACACACACAGGATACGGAGGATGTGCTGCACCACACACTCTGCCACACCAGTTACCTGCCAAAAATTTAGAAATCTAAAGTTATAATATATAAGACAGATTATACCTACGTTGCCAAGTTTGGAGTAAATGCCACAGAAACAAAATGCAGCAATCATGAATGTAAAAAAACAGAGTTGAATGTAATGAAACGCCATTTTCTGGGCGAGTCCCGAAGGTTCCCCGGAGCTATCCAGGCTGAACTGACACGTATAACTTTCTGGCATCAAAGTGCTTGGAGTTCTTGCCTACCGGGGACCACGAGCCAGAACCTGGCCCCTTCAGAGAGACACAAGGACCAATGGCCTATAGAAATCTCCCTGTGGTTGGGAGCATTTTATGTCTGCCATCGACCAGGACAGGCACCCAGAAAGGAAGGTGCCCCAAAACAAACCTCTATTCTGGTGAAACTATTGCTACCGATAGCCGAACAAGTGGATAGAACTCTCCAAACAAAACTATCAAACTAGCATGTCATCCCATCGCCGCACGCCATCTGCGCAACCCTCCCCCCTCCCCGCGAGGGGGAAGGGGGAGCCACAGACCCTCCGTGCTGGCAATCCAACTGGAAGTTCTTAGGCTGGATGTCAAAATACGCAAAAAAACAACGCCTATTATGCCGAGGAGCCTCCCGGACTCACCCAGAAAATGGCGTTCCATTTTATTTTACAAAAATAAAGGACCCCTGCAGACAACCCGGGAGGCCTGAACCCCAGAAGAAGGAAGAAGGGAAGGAAGGGAAACCGGGCAAACCGAAACACGGCCCCAGGGGCCAAGATGCGCAGAGAACAGCAAAGAGCCGCAACGGAATCACAAATGAAGCACCCCTGGCCTAACCAACCAAGCAGAACCCCAAGGACCCCCTCCGGAAAACAGCAGACCCAAAAACATCCAAAAAGAAGGAGACTACAGCAAACGAGCAACCTACCACTAGAATCAAACGAAGCAGAAAAAACACGGGCGCCCGAGGAGAGCCGGAAATTTCCCGACCCAACCCGACCCCCCAGAGGTCAATGCCAACAGAAAAAGGAAAGGTAGAGAGTTAGAAACTCCCTACAATCCCAAGAAAACAAGCAAACATCACACTTTACTGCCGGGCCGATCGTCCGCGCAGCACTCCCCACCCTGAGAGGGGGAGGGGGGAGCCCCAGACCTCACCGCACTGGCTGCCTAGCATCAGTTCGGAGGCTAAGCTTCAACCAACGCAAAAAAAAAAACGGAAAACCCGATGTAAAATCAACACTCAAACGTTCCCAGAGGAACAGAAGACCGGCAGAAAACACCAGAAAAGCAAAGAAACGACAAGAGAAGAATAAAACCCCTGAAAAAGGTGAAAAAACTCACCCAAGACGCTCACTCGCACACCCAGGCGCATGAAAACAAACCGCAACACCGCCCTACTGGCCGCGCCGGGAAACCGGCAGAAGAAAATGGCCACTAGAACAGGGGGCTGTGACCGACGCAAAAGACACAAAAACACGCCAGCAAAAGTGGGAAGCAAGCAGACTGGATGGGCGAAAAACTCCGCCCAAAAGCAGAAAGCCAAGGCAGGAGCAAACAGCCCCAGAACTGCTAGCAGGCATCCTCCACAGCCCCGGGAACCTGCAACAGAGGCCCCGGGGCAGAGCCGTCCTCATAGCCCTCTGCTCTTAAAGAAAAGGAAGAGTACATGGGAAAGGCTGCAAGAAAGGGCCGCTGGTAAGACCCAGAAGCCTTGGCAAGAGGAACAAGCTCAAAAACCTCCGTCCCCAACCCGAACGGGGCAGCCCCCGAAACCGCCCGAGTCTCGGCCCCAACTAAACCCCGTCCCGACCCCGAAACCTGCAGATGGTCCGGAGCCAGGAACAGGGAGGGAAAGGGGCGAACAGCACCTAACCAAAACAGGGCAGCCCCAGGGCATCCGAGTGGGAAACCAACCTAGCGTGTTGCAGTAACCTAACCTAGCTTGCAACACTGATGCCGGCTGTACTCTGAACAGAAATAACATCAGGAGAGTACTGGAGAACAAGCAGAGAATATGTCTCGCAAGACTCCAGGTCATGGTGTCAGTGACCCAACAGGCAACATGACTGAGGTAAAAAGTGGCGACTGTCACCCGGAGACAAGGGCACAGCAACCAACGATTCCGTACAAGACGGGTTGGGACCGGGAAGATACATTCAATTGCCCACCGAGCCCCGACAGGGGTTTCCAGGGCCCGTAGGGGTAACAACTATGGGAAACCTGGGCAAGGTGTTGCTAACCGGTTAAACACCCAAAAATAACAAGGGGGTAGAGGACAACACTGAAAACCCCTGCGACACGTACAATCACGGGGGCCTAGCAGAGGGCCACCAAACACTACCAGTGGAACTATAGCCACACTAGGCAGACCCCCACCAGGAAAATGAAAATAAAAACAAAAGAAAAACCCTGAAAAAGTACACCGTCTCCAGAGGCAACAGGAACCAGTCACCGCTCAGGTGGCAGGTCGCGCAACACCTTGATGCCCTAACCAGCACAATACCAGTCCCTACCCAGGGCCAAACAAGGGCCTCAAGCCCCAGCTGGCCCCAAGGGCAAGGCAAATGCCGAGCAGCAAGAGCCTCTAGAGGAATGGTTCCCGAACGCCCCATGGAAGATAACCCTGTCATGCAGGGGCAATACTCACAGGGCACTTAGGGAAGGAAGCCCCTAAGCGCATGCAGGTACTGATGAACACCTGGCCACCGCACAACACAGCACACGGCAGTGAACACCACGAAAGGCAAACACCGTCTAGAAAACTAAGGCCAGAGAAGCGTTTATCCTGGTTGACATTAGCTTACGAACTGATGCTAGGCAGCCGGTGTTGTGAGGTCCGGAGCTTTCCCCCTCCCCCTCTCGGGGCGGGGAGGGCTGTGCGGACAATCGGCGTGGCAGTAAAGTGTGATGTTTGCTTGTTTCCTTGGAACTGAAGGGAATTTCTACCTCTCTGTTCGTTTTTTTGTTTTAGTTTTTTACCATGTGGGGTTTGTTTTGTTATGCCTACCTTTCTGGGTGCCTGACCCCGGTTGATGGCAGATAAGGAAAACCCCAACCACAAGGGGGTTTTCCAGGGCCATAGCTCCCTGAAACCTCTCTGAAGGGCCAGGTTCTGGCACTGGTCCCTGGTAGGTCTGAACTCCTTAACTAATGTCCCTGTCTAATATAACATACATTAGTTCGATATGCTCCAGGGAGCCATAGGGGCTCCCCACAGAAAAGGGGCGTTGACAAAGCCTTCGCCAGATGAGGTCTACTCTGCCCAAGCTGTCAGGCAGCAGTTGCCACAAATATATTATTACCTAATTATTTCAATGTCTCTTGATTGATTTTTTTTTTTTTTGCAATATTATTCAATAGTGTGAATTGTGATATATTTATATAATAAAATGTGTGAACCATCGCTGTACTCAAAATTATGGTGTGTATATTAGTGATTCAATTAATATGTTCATAAAACAATAAACAAATAGTTTTCCTGTTATTACACTATATACACAGGTAATATATAAGTACTATATCTGCATGTTTTGCTCACCATAACGAACCACTAAGTTGGTATGGTGAGTGCAGTCAATAAAAGGTGGCCATACACAGTCATAGGACAACGCCACCACCCTCCCTCCCACAGCATTACTCCTCCCTCCATGGAGCACAGCACTAAATATCACCCCAATCCTGCTATTATCAGAATTCTGGTCAGGTATATCATAGTCAAAGGTCTTCTGTAATACTATCATCGCTAAATAATAGCATGAACATATATATTTTGACATTTTTAGGCGATGCTGTGGTCACAAGCTGAACAGTAGTGCTGTGCGCTCATGCTGCGTGTGTCAGCCTTGGTGGCTCGCTCAATAATGACGCTCTCACACCCAGGAATGTTGGCCACAATTTTTTTTCTAGGTGGCGTCTGTCAACTATTGGTCATGGCTGCACTACAGCTGCCCCTATCCCACACGGGCGTTTAAATTAAAGCGCCAGACACTAAAACAGCTATTAATGTATTGAGTGGTTTCGGTTTTGTTACTTAAATCATCTATATATGTATTGCGCGGTTTAACCCTTACACTGCTCAGGGGTCATATGGACATTTACACCCCTGTGCGCAAGAAAAAAAAAAATTCAAAAAAATTTTTTCGTCTTCTAAACATGTTAATTTGTGTCCCCTGAGCACGGAAAAAATAAAAAAAAAATCGTAGGTGACATATTTTGGGCGCAATTGACCGAGGAAGTCTGGCAAAAAGTGGGCGTTGACAGAGCGGTCGTCAGACCCGGTCAGCGTCACCCGCGTTGACAGATTGGAGTTGCCACAAAGATATTATTACCTAATTGTTTCAATGTCTCCGATTGATTTTTTCTTAGTTTTTTTGCAGTAATATTATTCAATAGTGTGTATTGTAATATATTTATATAATAAAAGTGGTTAATAATCGCTATACTCAAAAGTATGATGTGCGTATTAGTGATTCAATTATTATGTTTATAAAACAATAAACAAATAGTTTTGCTGCTATTACACTCTATACACAGGTTATATATAAGTATTGGCATGTTTTGGTCACCATAACGAACCACTAAGTTGGTATTGAGAGTCGAAAAGCAACGAGGAGTTACCGCCACACACCAGCCAGCCACTCACTGCCACTCCCTCAACACACGCACTAAACTTTCTCCCCCAACAATACCAGTTGTGGTGTTATTACACTATATACAGACGTTATATATAAGTATGAGTATATTTTGTTCACCACAACTGTACAGCTAAGCTGATATAGTTAGTTCAGGCACTAAGAGTCGTCGCTATACACAGATGGCGGCTGGCGGCTCCCTCACTCTTTCAAGGTCACACGCACTAAACTTTCTCCCCCAACAATACCAGTTGTGGTGTTATTACACTATATACAGACGTTATATATAAATATCTACATGTTTTATGCACCGTAACTGTACACCTAAGCTTGTAGAGCGCCCAAAGAGCATAGTGGCCACCCTCTAAACAGCTAGAGAAATCGTGCAGACGACGTCACCTCCGTCACCCATATGGCTCCTCCCAGCATAATCCTTTTGCTGTTATTACACTAATACACACATTATATATAAGTATCTACATTTGTGTTCACCATAGAGAACCACTGACCTAGTATGGTGAACGCAAACAATAACAGGTGGCCACACAGTCAGTAAACGATGCTGTCTCCCTCCGTCTCTCAGCATCACTCCTCACACAGCGCTAATTATTACAACAATCCTGCTATTATCACAACCCTGGTTATTTATATCACAGTCATTGGTCATCTGTAATATTGTCATCGCTAAATAATAACAATTATATATTTATTTTGACATTTTTCGGCGATGCTGTGGGCACAAGCTGAACATCAATGCTGTTCGCTCATGCTGCGTGCGCCGGCCTTGGTTGCTCCAACAGTACTGTGCCTCTCACACCTGAGAATATTGCCCACGATTTTTTTTTAAAATGGCATCTGTTTACAAGAGCCCTGAGGAAGCTACTGTGAACCCCGTGTAGCCGCGGGCCATTTGAATCAGGCCTGGCACCCTATGGCGTATATATACGCCATGCGCACCATGGGACATGTTACTCAGGGCGTATATATACGCCATGCGCAGTTTAAGGGTTAAGGGTTAAACATTAATTTCTGGCCAGTGTCGGAAAATCCGACACCATTTAATAATAATATCATACAGACAGATAATATTGCTGTGTTGTATAAACAAGTTAACCCATAGAAAATGTAATTGTAGTGGAATTTCCGTCTATAGAAAACGGGATATCATTACCACATACTATTATAAATTCACCACCTATTATGGTGGGAATTATTCTTAAATACATTAGTCTTTGGACTTTACCATCATAAAAACATCTCATATAAATTAACTTAATTATCAGAATTAAAATAGAGTAAATGTGACCCTTCTATCACTTACTGACATCTGGACAATGTAAGCCAGGCGTCAGGGAGGAGGGAGTGGTCAGCCATTGTGATTGTAATTAGACCAGAGTAGTGGAGCAAATTCGGCTCCTATAAATTCTCTTGGACGAAGTGTTATGGAAGATCAGAGTAGTGATCTGCCATCATCAACACGCTGTCATCAATCTCAAGGGAAGTGTCTTTCCAAAACCCGTTTATCTTTCATTTATGGCCATTAATGTCAGTAGATATAGGGTGAGCCGTTTAGATCACAAATGATCGACTCAAACAAGGTAATTAAGCCCAGGTCTTCATGGTTCCTTGTAAAGTGTTTTCTCTGATATAGCTGTCATATATTAGGATTCTGGCTTTACAGCTAGCGCCCTTTTGACAGGTCAAGACGAGGAAGCATGCTTTGTGCATCAGTTACCAGGATGATGGAAGCTACCTCACACGAGGAAAATGTGGTGTCTACATCCTGGTTATACCTGGTGGACTAAGGCCTGCTGTACAATAAGATAAGGAACCTCTTCAATGTGTAGTTAATACTGTAGTTTGATTGGCTGCATATATATAAATTCAATAATATAAACCCCCCTAATGTGTAGAGGATCGATTTGTGAGATTATGAGATTATTGCAGAAATACAGTCCACTTATCATCATACAAATTGCTATCGAAGTATATAAATTAACGTAAATATAAATTCTATATAAATTCATATAAATTAAATAAATATAAATCTCACAGGTCGGTTCCCACAGCCAGAAACTCTTTGGTTTCTATAGGTTAAGTCAAAGGCACAGTTGGGACTTTTTGAACAGGAACTCTTGGTAGCAAGAATCTTTTCTTTTTGTCTTATCCTTTCACATAATGCCCCAACCAGGCACTAATTAACCCTACGACAGGTCAAAATTAGGGCGGATAAACAAAAAAATGAAGGATAGAACAAGCCCAAAAAGGCAAACTTCACTAAAACCCGATGCAAGTACACAGGAGGAACACCACCTACCCAACACTCCTCTAGGTACTACACCAGAGAAGGAAAGAGTCAGAACCAGAAACAAGGCAGCTCATAACCAAATGAAGGTGAGCCGAGAATTCCCAACCTTGCGAAGTAAGAGAAAATTAAATTACAAGAATGTGATAAATCTATGAATAAATATTGATACCATATGACTGAATGAACCCCCAACTGAGTGTGTATGTCCAAGAAGTTCAGGATAGCAGTTCAATTCCATACCATGGACTCAAAATTTATTTGAGCTTTAAATATTCATTCAGAGTCTGTTGTTTTGTTTAACCTTTGCTTTCCCATTCAACATCTTTCTATTTTCACCATTTAATCATTCAACTTCAAAATGGCTGTCTCCTGCAACATCCTACATGCAGTTATTAAAATACAAAATGCACGATAACAACTACAACATAATTTACCTGTTGGGATCCTAAAAATGACCACGGTGTCTTAACTCCCCCAATATCTTCTCTCCCTAGTCTTATTACTTCAACTGCAATACCTGGAGAGCACAAAACATCATTATTAAATAAATAAATAAATAAATAAATAAATAAATAAATTGTATTTATTTTTGTAAAAAATATTTTTGTAAAAATTGTATTTATATTTTATGACTGATTTTGATACCCATCTAATGAAATGAAATATAAATAAAAATATATATATATATATATATATATATATATATATATATATATATATATATATATATATATATATATATATATATATATATATATATATATATATATATATATATATGTCGTACCTAGTAGCCAGAACGCACTTCTCAGCCTACTATGCAAGGCCCGATTTGCCTAATAAGCCAAGTTTTCCTAAATTAATATATTTTCTCTAATTTTTTTCTTATGAAATGATAAAGCTACCCATTTCATTATGTATGAGGTCAATTTTTTTTTATTGGAGTTAAAATTAACGTAGATATATGACCGAACCTAACCAACCCTACCTAACCTAACCTAACCTATCTTTATAGGTTTGGTTAGGTTAGGTAGCTGAAAAAGTTAGGTTAGGTTAGGTAGGTTAGGTAGTCGAAAAACAATTAATTCATGAAAACTTGGCTTATTAGGCAAATTGGGCCATGCATAGTAGGCTGAGAAGTGCGTTCTGGCTACTAGGATATATATATATATATATATATATATATATATATATATATATATATATATATATATATATATATATATATATATATATATATATATATATATATATATATATATATTAGTATATTTTGGTAGCAGTCTTTCCTGTAGACATATATTATTAAATATGACCGAAAAAGTAAGATTAATAATTCTAACACGAATTTTCTCAATCTTTCGTACATTACGCTTCACTGTTGGAGGTAAATCAAAAATCACTTCTCCAAAATTCATTTTTATTTCTAGTCTGACGCGACACGGGTGCGTTTCGTAAAACTTATTACATTTTCAAAGACTTCACAAATACACAACTGATTAGAACGTATCTCTGATTTTATATCTACATTTGAGTGAGGTGGGAAGGGTGATGTGGCATTAACACAAGACAGAACAGGAGGGGATATTAATAGGGTATTAAAAGTATCAACACAAGACAGAACAGAAACAATGGGTATTGAATAGAAGTGTTTGTAGAAAGCCTATTGGTCCATATTTCTTGATGCTTCTATATTGGAGCGGAGTTTTGAGGTGGGTAGAATATAGTTGTGCAATAATTGGCTGTTGATTGCTGGTGTTGACTTCTTGATGTGTAGTGCCTCGCAAACGTCAAGCCGCCTGCTATCGCTGTATCTATCGATGATTTCTATTAATCATATTAAAAACCCTATTAATATCCCCTCCTGTTCTGTCTTGTGTTAATGCCACATCACCCTTCCCACCTCACTCAAATGTAGATATAAAATCAGAGATACGTTCTAATCAGTTGTGTATTTGTGAAGTCTTTGAAAATGTAATAAGTTTTACGAAACGCGCCTGTGTCGCGTCAGACTAGAAATAAAAATGAATTTTGGAGAAGTGATTTTTGATTTACCTCCAACAGTGAAGCGTAATGTACGAAAGATTGAGAAAATTCGTGTTAGAATTATTAATCTTACTTTTTCGGTCATATTTAATATATATATATATATATATATATATATATATATATATATATATATTTATTTATTTATTTCATTTCATTTCATTAGATGGGTATCAAAATCAGTCATAAAATATAAATACAATTTTTGGAAAAAAAAAAAAAAGTTGAATGTAATGAAACGCCATTTTCTGAATGAGTCCTAGAGGCTCCCTGGATCTATCCAGGCTGAATGGATATGTATAACTTTCTGGCATCAGTCAGAGTGCTTGGAGTTCTTGCCTACCAGGGACCACGAGCCAGAACTTGGCCCCCTCTAGAGAGGCACGAGGAGCAATGGCCTATAGAAACCCCCTTGTGGTTGAAAGCATTTTATGTCGTCATCGACCGGGACAGGCACCTTGAAAGGTAGGCACCCCAAAACAAATCCCTACTCTGGTGAAACTATTGCTAGTGAAAGCCGAACGAGTGGACAGAACTCCCCCAAACTAAAATTAGCAAACGAGTATGACATCATCATATTGCCATGCTGCTGTCTGCGCAACTCCCCTCTCCCCGAGAGGGGGAAGGGGGAGCCCCAGACCCTTGCTCCGGTGACCCAACCTTCAGTTCTTAAGCTGGACATCAAAAGACACGAAAAAACACCGGCGACCGGGAGGAGGGAGGGATGTCGGGGAGCCTCCGAGACTCGCCCAGAAAATGGCTTTTCATTACTGTACATTCAACGCTGGTTTTCTGGGTGGGAGCCCCGTCAGCTCCCCAGAGCTAATTACCAGAAGATAAGGAAAAAACAGGGACTTACCCAGGCGACGGTCCGTTCTCGCTCCTTAACGTGAATTCGAGACAACTGACTGCAACCGCCGACCCAATGCAACGCAGGCCTGACCAGGCCCAGAGACATTCGCCAGGTAAGGAGCTGCCAGGACACTGTTCGACCTCCAAAAACACCGGGCCAGAATGTCAATACAAGATATGTTGCCAAAGACGGCAGTCAAAGCAGCAAACTTACGAACGTTACGGGCATGGGGATAGACCGAAGGCTGGCTAGACTTAATAACCCTATGGACGACCTGAAAGACCTGAGCCCAGGAACAGGGAAGAGGGGAAACCGGGTCAACCCAAAGCTCATCCCTGGCCACCGAACCATGGCGAGCAAATAACGACGGAGAGCCGCATCACATGATGCATCCCCGGACCCCCGGATGCACATTGATGCACCATCAATGACCCAAGGGCCCCTTCGGAACGTAGCCGCCTCATTCTTCGCCAGAAAAGGAGACTGCTGTAACCGAACAAAACGACCACCAGGACCGAAAGAGCAGAAACCCCTGCGCCGGAAGAGAGCATGTAGCTTCCCGACCCCACCCCCAGAGGCCAATGCCAACAGGAAAAGTGCCTTGAAACAACAATCCTGAACCAAAGGAGCTACAACAAACCGAGGAGAAGAGAGAAACGAGAGCACCCGGTCCAAAGACCTGAACGGCTCAAGAGGCGCATGAGCAACGCACGAGACAGCTTGCAGAAGGGAGCAGAAGTAACATCAACACCGAAAGCAAACTGAAACAGCTCCGCCACCGCCACCGGATATGAGCCAACAGTATTCGGCATAAGATGATGGTCCTGGAACAACCAAGAAAGAAAGGACAAAACAACCCTATCAGAGACCGAAGAACACCTATGCAGTGATAGGAAAAACTGAAAGGACCGCCAGGAAATTCATACTGCCACTGAGACGAAGCACGCAGGTGGGAGACCAACAACGAAGCCACCTGCGCACCAAACAAGTGATGATTGACTCAAGTCAAAAACACCAGACGTGAAGACTCGAGGAGAAGACCAAACCAGCGTCGTACTGGGCTGGACCAATCTGTTGAAAGAGGCAGAGCCGCAGCAAGACCCTCAGGTTCGGACACCGAGCAAGTAGCGCCTGAAAGGCTGGGCTGGCCAGCAAGCAGCCAGAAGGACAACTCTTCCCCTGATAAATCTGCTTGATACTTGCTTGATGGAGTTCTGGAAATTCTCGTACTTCCCAAGCCCGGCCCGAGGCCAGGCTTGACTTGTGAGAGCTTGGTCCACTAGGCTGTTGCTTGGAGCGGCCCACAGGCCCACATACCTACCACAGCCCGGTTGGACCGGCACTTTTTTTTTTTTAGAAAACAATCTAGTTTTTCTCTTGAAGATGTCCACGGTTGTTCCGACAATATTTGTTATAGTCGCTGGGAGGACGTTGAACATCTGTGGACCTCTGATGTTTATAGTGTTCTCTGTATCTATGGCACCTATGCTCTTCACTGGTTCTATTCTGCATTTTCTTCCGTATCGTTCATTCCAGTACGTTGTTATTTTATTGTGTAGATTTGGGACGTGGCCCTCCAGTATTTTCCATGCATATATTATTTGTTATCTCTCTCGTCTCCTTTCTAGTGAGTACATTTGGAGAGCTTTGAGACGATCCCAATAATTTAGGTGCTTTATCGCATCTATACGTGCCGTATATGTTCTCTGTATTCCCTCTGTTTCAGCCATCTCTCCTGCTGTGAAGGGGAAAGTAAGTACCGAGCAGTACTCAAGACAGGACAGCTCAAGTGATTTGAAAAGTACAAGGGTACATCGGTTTAAGAGTTTAATCCGTTCCTGGAGACAGCTCGTAATCCGAAAACTCATAAACTGAAGCTAATTTCCCCTATAAGAAATAATGGGAAATGAATTAATCCGTTCCTGACTACCCAAAAACCTCACGTCAAACTAAATTTTATACCTAATTCATCTAAATCTACACTACATAAGTATGTTCAAGTTATTACTTACCCTTGCTGATGACTGCTGTTGGCGTATGGAAGATGGTGAGGAGGAGGGAGGAGGAGAGGTGTTACTGTTTGGAAGGAGAGTCCCCTTCCATTATAACATCAGGTAGTGAGGACTTCACTGGTGTGCACTCTCTGGCGCATTTTGCCTGCATACCACTAAGACTTGCTTGTCTTACTAAGAATCTGTCTAAAGACACTTGTTTTTCCCTACATTTTAACACTTGTCTGTAGTAAGACATCACATTGTCATTTAAAAGGTCAATGCAACGGCCTGCTACAGCTTTATCTGGGTGATTTTTTCAACAAAACTTTGTAGTTCTTCCCATACTTCACACATTTCTTAATGAAGAAGGGACATCCTCTACTGCCTCTATTCACAACTATTTTCTTAGGTTGAACCTTACCACTGGCTTTCTTGGGACCCATGGCGAAATATATAATAACAACTTTTAAGCTCAAATGGCCAAAAATCCAACAAAAAACTGTAAATCTTTGTGAAGAATTCAGGCAGGATAGTCACTGGGCGTGAGGCACTGGTAAACTGAGGTGTGATTGCTGTGCCACCATGCGCTAGTTGGCCTGTACGTGTATCAACACCCTCGTATTCTGAGGCAACTCTCATATTTCAATGTAAATTTTCCGAGCAAATCCTGCTCTTATTCCTGAATTCTTATTCCTTATTCGGCAAACAAGTCACTAGAAGCAACCAGCCCCAAAGAGCCAAGGATCGCATGGAACTTCGTCAGTTCAGACTATAAACCAATGGGGAATAGTCCGAGTGGAGCCTGATCGTCGATCTGCGAGCGATCTGAACCCTATGGAGCGACATCCACACCGATGCGAACTCCTGCACCTGCTGTGAGCCATACGGAAGGACAGACTACACTGACCCTGGCTGGCCTGGTGAGCACTGGGTTCGGTGGTGAGCACATCGAGCGAGGGTTCAGGTAGGCACGAAGGCACTGAACCCCGGAAAAACCCGAAGAGGAAGCCGGCAACGCAGCAACAGACACAAAGCCCCCGGAGGCTGAATCCAGCGGTCGCAAGAGTGACGTCCCCGAAGGAACCAGAACAGCCGACGAAGCCACACCCGACCCGGTGGGTAGACCATCAGAGCAAAGTTCAGGCTCTCGCACAAACTCTCAAGCACCTGCCGCGTGACCCAGGAGCCCCTCAGGAACAGACGCAAGCGGGAACGCAGGCAAAGCAGAGCTGCCGGAGGAAGAGACAAGGAAGCGGTACGACACAGCCAAGACCGAACCTGAGAGGGAACCAGATGGGACTTTCTCTAGTTCACAAAGAACCTCGAACCCGGCGAGCAGGGAAGGAACCAAATACCCGGCGAGCAGACACACGGACTGGCTGGGTGCCCAAACGCCCAAGTCGCCAAGGTAGGCCAGAACCTGAACACCTAACAGATGCAGCCGGGCCACCATGATCCGAGTAAGGCAAGTGAACACGCGAGGCTCCAGATTCAAGCCGAACGGAAGGACATGAAGCGGTAACCTTGACGCCCCACAACAAAACCGAGCCAGTCCCTGAACCTCGGATGGACCGAGACGTGCCAATATGCGTTCTTGAGGTCCAGAGACAGCATCCAAGCACCCGGCTCTAACAGAAGACGGACCTGGGACAGAGTAGTCATTCGAAAGGAGGGGCAAAACACCCAGGCATTCAGACAGGACAAGTCCAGAATGACATGCAGGTCTGCATAGTCCCGTTTTGTAACTGGAAACGGGCGAGAAACCCACCTGAGGAACGCGGTCATTTCGATCATACCCAAGCAAACCCACTCCAGAATGACCCGACAGAGCGCAGGGGAAGAGGCCTGCCCCCAGCTTCCACATTCTGCTCGAGCCAGTCGGAAGATAACTCCAGCAGGGAAAAGAAGCGCAAAACTGAAGCCAAATGCCCACAGGCATGCAAATCTTCAGCGACCAGAAACACCAAAAGGGAAGGAACCTGCACATAAAGCTACACCTGGCTGATATTGCGAGGAAGCACAGGGGCGAACAAGCATGCATTGAGGTGCTCAAACTCGCTCCCCAGGTAAACCTTAACAATCATAGTTAACTCCCGCCATTCAAGCGTGCGGGTCCGACAGAATGCATACCACGTCCCAAACGAAAAGAAAGGGCAGTCTACCAGCCAGGAAGACTCCAGTACCTCATAACGAACCCAGTAAGGAAAAGAGGAGCCAAACTCAAAAGAAGGATTCATTATCGAGGTAAAATACGGGTCTTGCTGGATTTAAGCTGCTGCACCTCCCAAGGTGGAATACGGGAAGCTGAAAGTAACAACCTTATCCTTGGTGGTCCTCCTCTAGGCCCTCGTGATTGAACAGCCCCGTGTTCAATCATGGGGCTGAGAGGAGGACCATCAAGAATACAAGTGGACCTATAGCCACACAAGACAGACCCCTGCCAGGCAAGAAAAAAAAAAGACAACATCTCCAGGTGAACAGAACCAGTCGCTATGCGTACATCAGATAGATGCACAGTACCTTAGCACCCCAGCCAGCGACGATATTACCTCTTATCCAAGGTCATACAGAGGCAGTAACAACCCCAGCTGACCCCAAGGGCAGGCAATCACCGATCAGCAAAAGAACCCTGCGAAGGTAATTCCAGAATGGCTTATGGAAGATAACCCTAAACTGAAAGGGCAGTACTTACAGGACACCTAGAGAAGGTGGCCTTAGGTGCTTGCAGCCCCAGTACTCTTGTATTACTGTACTCCTGGCTCACACACCACCACAAGGCACAGCACTACTGAAGGATTGGAGCCAGAGTCGATCCACCGCCACCCAACACAACAGCCTCAGATTTGAGGTTGGATAGCCAGGGCTAGGGGTCTGGGGCTCCCCCTTCCCCTTCCCATGGAGGTGGGAGTTGCGCAGACACCGGTGTGGTGGCTGTGAGACATCACGCTTGTTTGCTCGTTTTTGGATCGACTTTTGGTATGCAATTTTTCACCAGCTGAAGTTTGTTTTGGGATTCCTACCTTCTGGGTGCATGACCTGGTAGATGGCAGACAGCCTGCTTCCAATTACATGGGGGGGGGGGTGACAAGGCCATTGCTCTTTGTGAAACTCTGAGGGGGGCCAGGTTCTGGCTCATGGTCCCCAGTAGGCCTAGAACTCCATCGATTGACTGTTGCCATGGTCTAATGTGCACATCGGCCCGGTATAGCTCCGGGGAGTTGAAGAGGTTCTCCACAGAAATTCATATACATCAGTAAAATGATTTCTCCTCTATGACAGTTATAGCATTCGTTAATGGCATGAGTGCTTAATTACCTGCAAGAATATTTGAAGCTATCGTGAGAATATTCTGCTGTACGTTGAGGTCCCCTGCGACTGGAGATTCCCCAGCCAAGGAGAGGACGTGTGTGATCAGTCCAATATGCGTGTTATTCTCACTGAGAAAGAATTCTTTAGTAAGGTTATTGATTTAATTATAATTATGTAACTCACAAAAGTGTAGGAATTAAATATCTGATAGTTTTACTGGATTCCTTTTCAATTTTAAATGACAAATTATAAAGAGTTAGGATATTAACATGCTGCCTCCTGAGTGGCCCATCAGTTGCTTCCCGAGCTCAGAACACTTCTCACACAACTCCCGTGTTGACATTCAGCCCCACTGTGACTAGTAACTTTAGTGACATCGAAACAATGGAGAGCACAGCTCAATCACTCGGAGAAAGATTATTCACTATGATACCAAAGAACAGATCTAAACTCTCTATGACAAAAGAAGCACATAATGATACTGCTGACAAACTCCACATTGTAAATTAAAAATATGAATGAAAATATAAAAGGTAAGAGAAATCTTTACCTTGCTTGCACATGAGTGATGTGACAGCCCCATGCTGCTGGGTAGAGGGCAGGAGGATACTTCTCACTTAGTTGTGACAGAGCCTCAACACACCCAAGCTGTTGGTAACAGAAACTGAACTCAATCAAATCTCTCTGCATATAAGAGGCTTCATGTTGAATACATTACAGCAATGCAATACAATTTATCACCACATCTATATATGCAATTATAGGTATATGAATTATATTGAATGTGACTTTGCACAAGTTTTAATGGAACACATGGAACACGGATGAGATTGCTGCTTTCTGGCCAGGGATGCGCTTTGGGTTGATCCGGTCTCTCTTTTTCCCTGTTCCAGGGTTCGGGTCTTCCAGGTCATCCGCAAGGTTATTTGGTCTAGCCATCCTGCAGTTTATTCTCGTGCCCATGACGTTTGTAAGTTTACTGCTCTTGCTGCTGTTTTTGGTAATATGTTGGTTGACATTCGGGGGCAGGGTTCTTGGAGGTTGAACAGGGTCCTGGCTGCACGTTATTTAATGAACATTGCTGGGCCTAGTCAGGACTGTGTCACTTTGGGTCGGCGGTTCCAGTCAGTTGTTCCTGTTACGAATCCGTTATTCCAGTTATAAGAATAACGAACTCGTAACTTTCTATTATAAGTAAAAGTAGGTATTTAAGTAAATAAGATGTTAGGTGCTGCCTTATAATATACTATTAATACATTACTATATAAATGTTGTAGGAAGAAACATCCATATATATTCTTAGTGTAGTGTTGAATGGTTATATGGAACACATGCCGAGTGTGAAAGGTGGGTTTTAAGCGGTTTAAACGCGTGACCTGGAGGCTAGGAATAAGCAAGTACCAACCATACAAATGGGATGCTAGTTCAGGGAATTGTATTGGAAGTAATATTGAATTACTGGATCCTGAGAGATATTACCAGGAATCCAGATGGATTATTAAATACTTATAGGCAGATTAAGGCCAACTATGTTGAGCTTCCCAGTGTAAGTTTGAATAATGGAATTTAAAACAAATAATGTAGAGAGCTTAGCTTCTAACATGGCGGCTGCGGCCATGCTGTTACCCTTCAGGTTAATTGTAAAGTTTATGATTTACCTATTAGTTTCAGTGAGGAAAACCACTGTATGTAATTAGGAATTCATCTTGATAATCATTGTGAGAGTTGGTTTGTAGTTTCTAACATAGAGAATATGACTGATGCTTTATCATGCATCTGGCAACCTAGAGTGACCCAGGCCACCACAGTTCCTGTGTAAAGTCTTATGTGTTAAATTATATGTGCAAATAGACTATTGTTAATAGCTCCATTGTGTTAAATGATTGTTACCAAAATTACAAGCTTAGATCTGCTTAACAATTCTAGGCAAATGATTCAGAAGATGGACTAGTAGATTAATTATTAATTAGATCACGTCCGAATGCACTGCATGCTCGAACGTGGTACCTTGCCGATATAAGTATGACCGTTCCAGTGTGTGGAACTCGTATTGGTTTAATACTTAATTAATTCTTACCCGTGTCTGTTCCTTCAGAGCGAGCCACGTGGTGTACTAACTTGTCAGTTTGAGTAATTGTTTGAATTGTGTGTACAGCTTGGGAAATATACTGGGGAATTAGATGGTTCCACTTTCCTTATCCTCGTTCTATGCCACATATATGGAGGGGGAATTAATGGGATACTGTGCTATTTTCGAGCCTTATTAGACGAGCACGTGACAGTCTCTACTTCGAGTTGAGGTATGAGCAGCGACCGCCTCCCATGGTAAGTCCCTCTAGTTTTCATCTTTTGGTAGGTAGCTCCGGGGAGCCAGTGGGGCTCTCCCCAGAAAACCTGTGTTGAATGTAATGAAACACCATTTTCTGGGTGAGACCCGGAGGCTCCCCGGCAACCCTCCCCCGGGTCGGCAGTTTTTCGTGTGTTTTGATATCCAGTCTCAGAACTGGGGGGCGTGGAGCTGCGCAGACAGCAGAGTGGCGAGGTGTGACGTCATGCTCGTTTGCTTGTTTCTGTTTGGGGATTTCTATCCACTTGTTCGGCTGTTTGTAGCAATTTTCACCAGAATAGGGGTTTGTTTTGGGACACTTACCTTTCTGGGTGCCTGACTCGGTCGATGGCAGACACAGAATGCTTCCAACCTCACGTGAGTTTCTATAGGCCATTGCTCCTTGTGCCTCTGTGAGAGGGCCAGGTTCTGGCTCGTGGTCCCCGATAGGCCGACAGAACTCCATACACATAACTGATGCCAAAGTCTGACATTAGCATATCAGCCTGGATAGCTCCGGGGAGTCGACAGGCTCCCCCCAGAAAAAAAAACCTGCACCAATCCCGAAACCCTCAGACGTTTCTGAGGATTTCCGAGGTATTTTTGAGCAGGAAGCAGAGGGGGGGAGGACCAGACCGAACCACATCAGGGGAAGGACGAGGGGGTGCGGACTGAACCAAGGCCGAAGTGACCAACACCCCCAAGTCTGGGTCCCTATAAAATAAACGGGGCAGCCTCGGGGCTTTTGGGTCAGCAACCAACTTAGCGCATTGTACCAACCTAAACCTAACTTGCAACACCTGTGCCGCCCGTACCCGAATATTGTCATCAATAGACTGGGTAAACTGAGTCACCAGCAAGCAACAAAACTCGCAGGACTCTGGGTCGAAAGTATCACAGACCCAGCAGGTACATGACGGAGGCAAAAACAACGAGTCACCCTAAGACATGGGGACAGAGCAACCCTCAAACTTGTACAAAGCGAGGGAGACTCAGAGGTCACATACATAGGACCCACGCACCCCTGTAGGGATTCCCAGGATCCTGAGACAGAACACACGCTCAGGGAAGCCCAGGCAGGGTACTGCTAACCAGCGCCCAAGTCTACCAACAACTTTCTAAGTAACTGAACCCCGGGGACATGTACACTCACGGGGACCTAGCAGGGGGTGTTGAAAATTTTCAACATCCAAATACTAACCCCTATTGCGATAATATAAATTTATTGTACTAGGAATTCACATTTACTAACATTACTAAGAAGTAGCTTCATACAGCCAAATTCCTACTAATATCAGGGGCCAGTATTGCATCAGCTGCCCGGCTCCTTTGAGAATAAATTATATATTTACATAAATCGAATTAAACCCAGTTTAGCCTTGTAGAACTTATTAAGGAATACAGATTGGCAATTGATTTAGTTAAATTTAGCAAATTAAATGGCAGTTTATTGGAAAGTTCTATACAGCTACTATCAGCTGATCCGATAAACAAAGAAATAAACTAAAATTCATCTACAAATATAAGTATTTCATCTAACGTCATTTAGGTTAAATGATATACTTTACGTCACATTACTGTGACGTAAAATAACGTCAGCAATGTTTCCATCAATTAGGAAATTAGAATAAAATATTATGAATTATATACCAAGTTTCCACCATCAACCACTTTCCACCATCAACCACTAAGTGGCATGCAGGACACTCACTAGAGAGACTCTTGGCAGAGAAACTTGGCACACACACGTCATAATGGATTGGTGCCCTGAAGCTGATCCTTATTACCGTCTAAATTTAGGAGCATCCGTTCATTAGCGGACTTCAGTCTGATTCGACAGCTTCATCTTATTATGGATACCGTGTCCGGCAAGGCTGCGTACCCTGAAATATATTGTTTTGGCCAATATTCTATATTTATGTAGAGGTGCCTTGTCGTTACGCAGCATGAAAACCTAATAACTCCCGTAAGTGTAATTATTATGCCCAATCCACTTTAATTTCATGAGCAAACGTATAATTATACACTCTTAAGTAGAAATTACATGATGTTAATATTTTAGCATGCAGCTAGCTACAAACAAAGTGTACTTCATTCCGTGGAATCACGTGTCGCCTGAGATAACTGCGCACACGGGGGGCTATGCGCAGGAAATAAATTCTTTGGAAAAAATTCTTTTCTGTGGAGAGCCCCTTCGGCTCCCCAGAGCTGTACCGGGCTGATGTGTATATATTAGACCATGGCAACAGTCAATCGAAAGCGTTGTAGGCCTACAGGGCACCAGAGCCAGAACCTGGCCAGAACCAGAGCCCTGGCACGACCCTTCCGGAAAGGCCCCCCCGCAAGCCCCCCGGAGCAACAACTCAGACATAGGCCGACAACTAATCGAGGCCGCCTGCAGGTACTGCACCACAGCAGACTCAGCAAACAGCAACGGACAAAAAGGAGAAGACAAACGAAGAGCCAGGGCCCCAGGCGGATTCCAAGGAAGAAGCTAGCACCGCTTGACGACATACAGCTGCAGTGTGTGAGCGCGCGTTTGCGTGAAGAGGAGGGGAAGGAAGCCAATGAGCGATGCTCTGGGTCGATGATGATTTGCTTGTTACCTTGTTTTTCTTCTCAAGGTAAGAACTCCCCCAAGGGGTGTTCTTGGGCTCTCTTCAGTCCTGGGTTACACTTTTCTACCAGTTGGGGTCTGTTTTGGGCCGCCTACCTACCTGGGTGCCTATTCCCAGTCGATGGCAGTATGTTCAAAGGGTGGAGTTTTCATAGGCCATTGCTCCCCGTGCCTCCCCGAGGGAATCAGGTTCTGCCTCGTGGTTCCTGGTAGGCATAGAAGTCTGTATGACTGAAGCCCCAGACTATTATAGCTAATATCAGTCCAATAGCTCCAGGAAGCTGATGGGGCTCCCCTCAGAAAATTAGGGTAATTTGAAAAGAACAGCACAGTATTATTTTGCAAGTTTTGCTGAATTGTTTTCTAGAACTCTTCCTAAGCCTAGTTAAATGGAATAAATATTCCATGATGGTATAAACTCTACTTCATTTGCTGGAGATATAACCTAACACTTTTCAAGTGTTCATTATTTAGAGATATTAATGGAGGAGGGCAGATAACAATTTAAAGGACATTTCACTACCTTTTCAACAGTAAAATCTAATATACAAACCATTAAGAACTTGCTATTGGTACTCATGAGATGAGTTGTAAATGCACATATAAGGCGGGAGAGAGACTGAGAGACCTGTGAGGTCACAGGACCTTGGGCTGAACCATGGCTGCAAGAAATGAGATGCACATGTCAGGGTACATTATATCCTTACAATATTAACACAATATCCACTATATGACTAAACAAAACAAATTTGCATTTAAGTACCTCGTATTTGACTATTTTTTAATACCTTGCTCCTCCTAAGAACTCCCCTTCCCAGAATTTCCCAAAGACATCTAAGTGAGCAAAACCTGCTAGAGAGCAGAGTAATTAAGGAATGAAAAGTATCTGGGGCAATGAAATACTGGAATAAGAGAAGAAGAAACAGGAAAAGGTTTGGCCATCGAGTCCACCAACTCCATGGCCAAACCAAACAGTAATGCCAAACTTTAAGAATGTTTGAAAGATGGTCAGATAAAATAAAAAAAAAGACAATCTAATGCAATTGTGGTGTTAAGATCATATATGACTACAGATAATATGGAATAAAAACTGGAGTGCATTCTCTTGGATGCTCTCAGAGCCAGAGTCCACATGGCCTACTCAGGACTCTCATCATCCACAAAGCTCTTGTCAACCTTGTCCCCGGCTATCATAAGCACCCCTTGTATAAATTGTCAAGTTAATACCAAAAGAAGACAATAGGGAGTCTAACTGAAGCCACCACCATTTATTCAGCTCACTATTATATAAAAACATGAGCAGTCACCCTAACTCCCTGCAAGTGATAATCAGAAACTGATGGAATAGCAATTATTGCTATGTGAATCTATTAGGGGTGACCAGGTGGTGTCAGTGGTGCTTATTTGTCAGTGCTTACCTGTCACTGACTACAGGGCAATGAAATCTAACTTTATGAAATCTAACTTTATAACTTTTTAACAATCTTGGAAAACCCAAAATTCTAATTTTTATGCGACGCAAACTGATTGCCACACACTTGAGATATTCTTCGCAAGCAATACTCAACTATTATTCCTTGACAAAAATATCTCGAACTATACTAAAACAACTGTATTATAAATTAATGCAACATTGCATGATGATATCATATTTGTGTCAATTTTTTTGTTTACTTTTCAGCTGTAATGGTCAATTATATTGTGGAGATACAGTACATAAAAAATGTGCCTAGTCTCTAAGCTACCAACATAGGAGTGCAACACCCAAAACAAAAAAACAACATACATCTGTGAATATTTAAATATTGAAATTAATTACTTTCAATGCTGCTGAAGTGTCAGTTAAAATATAACTTTACTTTAAATGCTGTAAACCTCAAAAAAAATTATAATAATAAACTCATTTGTAAATGCTTCAAATATCTATTGACTTGATTCAAAGACTATACAAATGCAACACACAAAACTGAACATGTAATATAAATAAATAATGGTAGTGTTTAAATATTATTTAAGCACATTTACCTCCAATAACAAGAGATACAACAGATCGGCACAGGTTCTTACCATTCAGCTGGATTAACGTGCATCTCAGTAAAGAGCCGATGGAGTGGTGTAACTGGCAACGAGGGAAGGCCCCTGCAGGACCAGTGCTGTGGTGACTGTGAATAATTTCCAAAGTCCTCCTTATCACCTTTGAGGCAGCCACTATGCACAAGACTGGAAGCCACTTTATGAATCAAGTCTCCAGTGCTCATTATTTCAGGTACTAATCTGGGGTAAACATAATACATTTTGTATAATGAATATGGTATTTAAAAACAATAGCAGTTAAGCAAGATAATATGGTTTAATTTTCCATTGCCTTTGACAGGAAGCCTGTTAGGTTACTCAAGATTCCCCTGGACAAGGGTGAGGATGTTTGTGCAATCACCCAACAACTTTACACCAAGACCCAACAGCATTTAACTCATTAACAAACAGAGCTTTCAGTGGACCACAACCCCCAGTCAATTTAACACCCATAACATCATTATGTGCTCCCTTGGAAATAGGTAAGTGACTGCAATAGATATTGGTGGATGGCTAAATGGTAAGGCAAAATATAATCACAGGAGAATGTTATATAGTGAAGACGAGATCAGACGTAGGTGGAGAGAATACTTTTAAAATAATGCATAGAAGTGATGAAAAAAATAGGGTGTTGATTATTGAGATTCATCCACCTCTTGAGGAACATTTCATAGTTATTATACCTGGTACACCTATACATCTTGACCCTCTAGTACTTTGTCATACTTACTTTTGAAGATGTGAATGATGGTTGCTTCCATCATCTCACGTTCAAGATCATTCCACTTGTTTATTATTCTCACTGCATACAAGAATTTTCATAAATTTCTGTCTCATCTGTGTTTTCACTTTCAACCTGTTTCCTTTATTCTGGTGACCTTCATCTGGAGCACTTTGTCTTTTCCTCTCAGTACACTGTACATTGTGATTGAAGTGCCCACTACTCCTTACAAGACTTCTTCTTTCTATAGGGGTTCTCTTGATCCAGGCTAGCCCCTGAATTTTCATGTAAAATGCTGAGGCTGTGGAGGGTTACTGTAAGCATTGTTGTGCTTTCAGGGAGTCATCTCCTTTTGGTGGGGTGACACACCTGTGTGCCTCCATGCATATAAATCCTTCATTCCTTGCCAAGAATGAGACCTACACATTCTGGAGACCATTTGTCATCTAGTCCTGGTTTGAGAATCCAGGGAATACATCACTTATTGCGTACTTTTGCTCCATAGTGCCATTATCATGTGGATTCTGCTCATGTTCAATCTGATAAATTATTTACCAATCTATATCAAGGTCAGAATATCCCCAACTCATATGCAGTGGTGAAACAGAGTCAACCCAAAATTAATGCAGGTGCCATGACCTTCAAAAGTATACAACATTTAAAGCCTTTTTTTTCAGCAATGACTTGTGTTAAGGTTAAGGCCGAGGCCTTAACCTGTTTACAAGTCCTCTCAGATAGGTGCTTTTCATAATACACAAAAAATATTTTTTTCCACATTACAATTATTCAATCCAACATTTGTGAAATAAGTAAATGACCAAATATACTGCACCAACATTTCCTTCGTATTACTCAAGTGCCACTTTCATGACTCTTTTGATTAACTTACTTGACACAAGCTGAAGCAGCCGCTGAACGAACTCTGGGGTCCTGATCTGCCAGGAGTGGAATCAGAACGGCTGTCAACACACGATGAGAAAACCTGTCTGCAGGCCTGAGAGGAACAGAGCTGCCTGTAGTGCTGTAACTACTACTGCTTTCTACATGATCTGTATAACTCAGAGGTAATCCTGACAGAAGATCACACAGCTCAACCTGTAATATGAATAGTCTACATAAAAACCTAGAAAAGAACATGCAAAATGAAACCACATAACTTTGAATACATATATACAGAGAACAGTTAATTATAAAGTCATAATAATAATAATGCATAACCACCCCCAAAACTTACTTTGACCAACCAATAGGGGTTTGAGGCTGTATTTACTAAATGAGGCAAAACCGTGAGTATCACTGCTGCGTGAAAGGAATGGAGCAGCTCTCCCAGGCACAGTCCCAGGCCACCCACAGCACCTCGTGCTGTTACGCTCGACTCGTTCCCGAGTAACTGCAATGGTAAATGGAATTAATTTTTATACTTAAAAGTTAATTCATAAATATGGCAATCTAAACAATACAAGTTAATCCAGTATGTGTCATGTAGACAAATTACAACATAATAAAACTTAATCGACATGCTACCAAAAACATTTTGATTGAACACTTTTTTAAACAGGCTTTGAGTAATATGAAAAGTTCTTTGAGCATATTATTTATTCTGTTGCTCCCTAAAAATAAGTACTACTTTATCCTTCGACCAGAATGTGTACAGTTATGCAGTGGGTGAAATTATGAATTTTTTTTAAGTTAATAATGTACAGTAATTATGTGTAAACTAAGCCATAAATGTGTAGACATTTATTAATACGATTTTTGAACTTGAATGACATACTGTGTCAGTGTTGTAGGGACCCTTTTAAGCTATTTATGTATGGAAGTCATATAAGGTGCTTGGAAGGTACTGTAGAATTTCTTCCAGTAAAGAATGACCAGTAGACTAATTGCAGCTCATTCACTAAAATTAATGCCCTTTAGAACATGTCTCCTAGTCATCATCAACACTCTCTACATACAACCTTATGCTGAAACTGTATAGAGGTATAGGAGAACGGAAAAGAAATGGAGGAACAAGAGCAGCAGAATGTCATTCTTAGTAAAAAAAAATCATAAATCAAAGCCCCTTTTCCGAGCATTTGTATTCTGCCGCTCCCTATAATAAGACTATCAGGGAGGAAGCTAAACTGAAAGGGCACCAGACTGGTGATCAAGGACAATCGAAGCCAGCAAAATAATCCACAACATTGACCCAATTCACTGCCTCTGCAGGAATGACATGGGAAGAAAAAAGAGAAGCATTAGCAACAAAAGCAAGCAGCCAGACTCTCGGCCCAACATGACCCTTTCTGTAGGCAATGTGGGCCACATGGAAGCTCATCACCATACAATGGTCTAAACAGCAGCCAATAAGGCCAGAACAGAAGACAAGCCAAAGGAACCAAACTTAAGCTTGAGCTGGGCATTGAAGAATTCCACAACTGGAAAAAATGACTTGCAGCTATAAGATTGGCGAGGGTCATAAAACGTAATTTCCCCAAAGACAACAAGGATTATATGCAAAGGCATCCACAGAAGTGACCCAAAAGGCCTGGTACTTAGGTTAGCAACCTATACACAAGCTGCTTGCACTCTCTAGAGAAACAAAGAATTAGGGTTGACAAGATTGAAGTACGTACATAAATAAATGAAAAGGCATAACAAAGGGAATATATACAAGGTTTCAAATATGCACACAACAGAATACAAAATAAGTGATATGAAATGGATAAGTTTAGATTTAGGAAAGACCTGGGTAAATACTGGTTTGGGAACAGAGTTGTTAATATAAAGAACAAACTGATGGATAACATAGTAGATGCGCCAGCCTTGGTTGTCCACTCAGTACCGAGGTTCCCCATACCCGGGAATGTTGCTCACGATTTTTTTTTTAAATGCTGTCTGTTTACTAGAGGCCCGAGGAAGCTCCTGTGAACCCCGTGTAGCCGCGGGACTTTAAAATCTTACGTGGTACTCCCAACCACTCATAGATGCGGTGCGCCGTCCCGCAATAGTTACTCACTCCGGCTATATATGTATTATGCCCTTTAGGGGTTAACCAGTGTCTCCTTAACACCGTACGTGACCCCTGCCCCAATGTTTGTATAGTTGCGTGCACTATCAATGCCATATGTTATTCAAGCATAACTGTGCACACACTCGTCACGTTTTTGTGGAGCTTGCAGAACTTACTTTAGAAATCAAAAGAATGAAATGACTTAGAAATATACAGTACTGTTTATTATCATGTGCTCAAAATATAACAACGACTTTCATTGACTTTTTTTAACTGATTTCCAGTACATGGTATCATATATGTCTAGCCACACATAGCATAGCTATCAACATTTTCATAGCATCCCTCATTTCAATCCCTCATAGCATAGCTATCAACATTTTACCTATTAATCTCTTCCCCAAAACCATTTTAAACTAAAACAGGACCTAGAGATAACAATTACTCTAAAGACATAATTTAAGTAACTCGTGTACTAAAAATTAATGTTGACTGTACCTAAAGAATATTACCTTAGTGATTTTAAGTGCCTGCTGTTTACCCTTAATAGCTTTAAAATTTTTACATATTTATTAATATATAAGAGTAGCTAAAGTGATAATACTAACCTTGCAAAGCACTTCAAGAAGTGAAGATAAGGGTAACCCTGGTCTACCAAAATCATTATACTGTCCACAACCATGAACAAGACTAGCCCGTATGAACTGCCCAATAACAATGCCCACACTTGCACCAAGTTGGGGGTCGGAATGGCTGTGAAACCTCAAGGTATCATCAATGTGCTGCTGCAGCTCTGAAACAAAGGTTTAGGATACTATCAGGGTGCAAACCATGTGCACCTCTCATGCATAATTACATGGAAGTAGTTACATAATAACAGACATGATCGTGGTATCATATCTTCCCTATAATTGTGTTTATATGAAGGTCTGAAGCTTCTGGTAGTTTGAGCTCCCTCTTCCCTCTCATTTAACATTTAATTAATGTCATATGTCTAACACTTAGTTTTCAAAAGATAATTTTTTTTAATAAAAGAAATCAATAAATGGAATTTATCGATCTTTGTTTTCATAATTTGAACCCATGCCATTTTATTCTCGATATTGCAGGTTTCAAGACTAGCTCTTAACCTATTTCACCGATACATCTCATCATTTTTTATGTAGTGATTATATCTCCAATTTTTATTTTGTAAACCAGTCTCGCTACACTTTGTATCACTAATCTTTCATCATAGTTCTTATCTTTTAGGTCAGCAAGCAATTTAGAAGCATGTCTTTACACTTTTTAATTTTTATCTACAATATGGGTTTTTTGAGTCATTTGTGTTTGCAAGCCCTTTGTACCTGGCTTGCTTTGTAAATCTATTGGCTAGGTTCCTACACTTATGGTTAGATAACACCTCTTCAAATTTAGTGCTTGTTAAATAGTAAGAACCTTACAGGACAACTGAATAAGACCCCTAATACATTGCACAATTATATAAAGTGTCATCCACACTTCTGTAGAAATAAACATTGCATTCACCTGGGCTCTAGGAGACTCGACCCGTGGACCCCCACGCACGTGAGGCCCAAGCTATCAACTGGGCTATGAGTAGTCTTAATAAGAAAAGTTTCCTTATTTCCTGACATGGTTGTGGATCACTAATTCCACTGAGCTTCAATAGTAATCAGGAAACTTCACAAATTCCAGTTTGGTAGCAGGATGCTACTTCTGGAAACTTTCCTTATCAAGACTATTCATAGCTCGGTCGATAGAGCTTCGGCCTCATGCGTGTGGGTTCTGTGAGTCGAGTCTCCTAGAGCCCAGGTGGATGGAATACACAGTTATACCTTCATAACATCAAAGTCATTATCACATGGAACTGAATTTAGAACAAATATTTATAAAAACAAATCTTCAGCTATGTGGCAGGTAATTGATATATAAAAACCTTTATTCAAGTACATGTATAGTAGTTACAAGACTATAAATTAAACTATCAACTTAACTATATAAGTATGACCTAAGTAACCAAACTACCAGCCTGCTAATGATCTGCCAACTTACAAATATCTCCCAACTTTAAAATTTCACCATCAACTACAAACCACACTTAAACTATATTATGAAGGCAAACTCCTCAAGACCAACCCCATCTGCATGATGAACACAAACACTTCAAGTCCAAATTCCACAATCACATCACCTGCAATAACATAATCAAGAAACTCATATCCAGCCAATATTTACTTACCCAATTCCCCAGCTGCATCAACAAACATAGGTTCAGCCATCAACGAGGGCATCACCATCACAGCCAGCCCAACACAGTTAAGGGCCAACACCTTAACGCTGACCCGGACCGTGCGATCAGGAACTAATGACCCAACATGCCCAGATAGAAGGAACGAAGAAGTTAGATATCGTACAAGATACCGCACAGGAAGGTTTTCATCAAAGAAAGAGCCAATTGAGCCACTCGCCTGCAAAATAAATAGCAAATACTAGAACAGTAAATAACAGTACATGTAGATCAACAGCACACCTATTTTTAATTATTAACGTGCACTTTTACAGTCTTCTATTATTCCCAATTCATTGGTACTAAATACAAGTACAACACTGCATATTGCTGCTCTATCAAAAATACACATTATTACTTGTAATGACATGAATTATTTGTTCCAAATATAAGATAGGTGTGGGGGGGACCATCAGTACCTGAAGCTGTAAAAATGACTGCAACACAGTAAGACCATTCATATACCAACTTGCACTTAATACAGAAGAACTGTTAATTTATAAGACAAATTTTCATACTAAATTTCAATGCAATAAATTCAAGGGCATTCAGTCTGTTCATTTCATTTCATTTCATTTCCATTTCTACTTTCAACACTACCTAATCTTCTACATTTTTAACTTAAACTCATACACTTACTACAGTCATTGATTAAGCCTTTTATGTATAATTATCTTGATAACCCACTAATTGTGACTACAGAATGTATCCGAGAACTGCCACACACCTTATCTATGGAGAGTGGCCTATCTTCAAGGGATTTATTATGAGCATGAGATGATATGTGGTAAATGTGTTTCCTCTTATCACGCTCAACACAACGCTTCTCTCCATTTAAGTTGATTTCTCCTCTACCAAAAAGCACTGAGGTATCTGAAATGTACATTAACAAAATATTATATGAGAGTACATGGGTTAAATTGTAATACCACAGATAAATTTTTAAACTGAAAATAATCAAACTGCTGCTCAAAAGGGATCTCTGGGTTCATTACTGGATACTGGAATACTCTCAAGTCTGATTGCTATCCTTTGGCCAAAATATAGTCTTCACAAGCCACACCACTATCCTGCAAGTAGTTTGAGAACACAGTCCCACTCGCCATAAAGTGCTCCAAGAGAAGCAGTGTGAAAGAACAGATAACGGGACTTTACACACTACACCAAGGTTATCTGCTGGGAAGACTAAACTTCTGTCATTAGCACTGCAACAGATCCAGCCTGTACAGACTAGCCTAGGATAAAAATCAGGCTTCGATTGAATGAGAAAAGCTCCTTTCTGAGCAGGACACTTAGGAGCTTCTTAAGGCAAAATCCCTAATGTACATGCTGCTATGGCGGTACGTCTATTCACAGGTTGAGTGGCACCGTTCAATAAACTCGCCCCTCGTGACCAAATTAAAATTAAAATAAAGTCCCATTGGACAGACTCATATGAGTCTGGGGCAGGGGAAATAGCGTGCCAGTACAACAACAGTCTTTACCAACAACCCCCGTCAGACCATACTGAAGCTAGGTAGACAATCTGTGCAACGTGGGTTTACTGTAGTACAGTATAGAATGTGCATCTGAAGTGATAAAAGTCTACAGTACTAGGATGCTGACAGGGTTTTATTGTCATCAATCCAAGGCCATTTAATACACTAGGCAATTTATACTGTCCAATTTTCCACTATCATGTAGGAATATAAAATTAATTGAAGATCATACTAAATTTATTTTTCCATTCCTTTATATTGAATATTAAACGCAATTCCAGAAAAAATCCCAAAACAATGATAAGGTCTTGTATGCCTCAAAAGGAGACCTACTTTAAACACTTAAGTATAGTACAGCATACACACACATTCCCAAGAGGCAACTTTGTGAATGTGCCAAGTGTTACTGTATTATGTTAAGAGGATAAATCTACAATTTACCTGTAAGCTTTCCTATTTCAATGCTGGAATACAAATCACTGACATTCTTGTCAGGTTCATCTTCAGCAATGTCAGTTTGTTGTACTTCACCGAGTCCTCCTCCCTGGTCATCTTCTTCCTTCGTGCTTTCCTCAAAGTCTAATTTCTCATCAGGTGTATCCATATCCATACTAACTTTTCCACTGCCACCTTCCAGATCCAACAACAAGCTGTCTTCTTCAAACAGTGATGGAGCCACACTGATCTGACCTAAAACAACCAAAATTATTGATATACCATTTCACAGAACAAGACAAAAATTTGCATTATATTTTCAGTGATAAAAGAAGTTAAGACCAACCATTCATATTACTGTACTAAATGTAAGTGGAAATATGCCTGCTGAAACTAAAGACAGGAATGGCAGTGTGAAACAAGATGGGAGGAATTGCACAGAGGAGGAAGGATGCAGTGAACAATTTTAAAGGAAATGTTCATTGTGCGAGACGAATGTGAAACAAAGCTTTGAGTGTGTAAGTCTTTTGGTGAATGAAGACAAGCTGGTGTGAAATTCAAGTTTGAATAGTTAGAGACTGTACTGATAACATGTGCTCTATGAGAGTACAGAAGTAAGAGCAAAGAATACCTGGTCTTTGCCAATGAGAAAAAAACAGCATTGACTGTAATGAAATGCAATTTTCTGGGCGAGACCCGGAGGCTCCCAAGAGCTATTCGGGCTGGTATGAATGTATTAGACCCTGGCATCAGTCAACCAAAAGGTGTCCACCACGAACGCTCTGCAGTCGGGAAATGACGCCACATACATCAGGAGACGCCAAGACCACACCGACATGAAGAGGTCCACTTCCAGGAGCTCGTACTTCCGGCAGAGCGAACTGAAGGAGTCGGCATCGACAGTTCATTCCATGGACAGGGTAATGAATTGAGACAGGCCATCTGCCAGGATGTTGGACACTCCCCTGGATATGAACTACATGGAGAGCTGAACCCCGAGAAACCAGCAGACGAGTCACTCGAAGCGACCAGCCCCAAAGAGGCAAGGACCGAAGAGAACTCCTACGGTTCAGGCAGTAAACCACTGGAGAAACAGTCCGAATGGAGACGGATCATCAAACTCCAGGCGACTTAAACCCACTGAAGCGACAGCCAAACCGCCGCAAACTCCCGCACCGTGCTGTGAGCCTGACGTAAGGACGGATCCCAGTGCCCCTGGCCGGACCTGTGAGCACTGGTTACAAGGCACCGAGAGATGACATGTCCATCCACACATCAAGCAAGGGCTCGGATAGATGCCAAGGCACTGAACCCCGAAATACCCAAAGAGGAAGCCAGCTAGGCAGCAACCGCCGCAAGGGCTCCGGAGGCTAAACCCAGCGATTGTGAGAGAGGCAGAAGGGGCATCCCCGAAGGAACCAGAACAGATGCCAAAGCCAAACCCGACCCAACGAGTAAACCAGCACAGCAATGCTTCCGGAGGGAGAGATATTGACGTGGTCAGAGAGTCCCAAACAAGACCCAGCCAGGTCCGAATGTGGGACAGAACCAATTCTTTACCGCCAGTTCACCATGAACCCGAACTCAGTGAGCTGAAAAAGAAGTACATCCCCTGGCGAGCAGACAAGCAGACCGGCTGAGAGCCCACACTAGCCAGTCGTCGAGGTAGGCCAGAACCGAACCTCTAGCAGACGCAGACGGGTCACCACGACCCAGGTTCAACAGCGCAGCCAATGCCCTGGCTACCCCAGGCTCCATTTCCTCCTTAACCACTGAACTGCACAACGTGCCTGGTATTGTGAGACTGGTATTGTCATGGACATGCTTCTGTATTCTGGATACAGTACAGTACAGTACTGTACAGACGTCGACATACCAGCTCAAGATGAACACGGGTTCTCCGGCAGTGTCGTAAAAACCCTGAAGGAACCATTGTTAAACAAGGGGCATATACTGTTCACCGACAACTTTTACACCAGCCCCTTGTTGTCCAGATACCTCCTTGCCCACAACACCGGCGTATGGTGCACTGTGAAGGTCCATAGGAAGGAAATGCCAGTGTTTGGCATTGGTATAGCAGTGGGTGACTGCCAGCTGCTCAAGTGTGACAATATGCTTTCAGTGCGGTGGAGGGTCAGACGTGAGGTGAATATGCTGACTACGATTCACACCGGTGCCATGTTGGACAGTGGCAAAGTCCACTTTCAAACGCACTTCCCCATTTATAAACCAGACTGTGTCATAGACTACAACGTGAACATGCGCCTCGTTGATAGACGTGACATGATGCTTGGTGCAGTGGAGTGCGTGCGGAAGTCTGTGAAGTGGACGAAAAAGTTCTTTTTCCACCTAATAGATGTTGCAGTGCTTAACTGCTTCAATATGTACCTGGTAAAATCTGGCAGGAGACCGCCAATACGGACATTTAGTGTTGGTGTTGTGTCACAACTGCTAGTAAAGTATGGCAAGGAGGGCTCTGTTGCACAGCGCGGGGTGAAAGCAACAATGCCACACACAGCTCCAGACAGAGCCTACCGAACATCCTTAGATAGGACGCGAGAGGCAGAAAACCTCCAGAAAGAGGGAGCCGAGGAACCTAAGGGAACCTGGAACCGAACCCGGAAAAGAGCCATATTCGTACAGGGAAGAGGGGGTACGAAAACTCTGCTCCCTGCAACAATAAACCCCCGCAATGAGGGCACCAAGCCCAAGCAGGATCAAAGGGGAGTCCAGGACGCCCAGGGTGACTCCTCACCAGCTCCAGGAGCCTCCAAACTAGGCCCTGGAACACAGCTGTCCTCAATACCCTCCACTCATGGAGAAAAGACAGAGTCCAGGGTAAAGATGGCAAGGAAGTGGGGTTTGCTGGAAGGACCCAGAAGCCTTAACAGGAAGATCAGACTCGAATGCCTCTGTCTTGAATGGGCCAGCCCCTGGAGCCACCAGTCTCTCAACACCAACTAAACCCTGCCCCGACTCAAACCCTCAGACGTTTGGGAGCCGGTAGCAGGGGGAAAGGAGTAGGGCGAACCACACCCACCGGGGAAGGTGGGTGTGGTTTGCCTTCTGAAGGAAAGCTGAACCAAGGTCGAAGTGACCAATGCCCCCAGGTCCGGGTCCCTAAATCCAAAACGAGGCGGCTCTGGGGCATCCGAGCAGGCAACCAACCTAGTGTGTTGGAACAACTTATACCTAGAATGCAACGAGTATGCCACCTGACCCCTAAGAACTTCAAAAGAATGGGTAAATTGCAGTACGAACGAGCAGGGAGCACATATCACAAGACTCCAGGCCAACGGTGTCACCGACCCAACAGATCGGTGACAGAGGCAAAACAGGTGATCATCACCCCTGAGGCAAGGACAACGAACAACCTTCAAACTCGCACAAAGCAAGATGGGACTCGGAGGACGCATCCATCAATTAACCAAGCCCAGACGGAGTTTTCTAGGGCCCATAGGGAGTTTTACCTACAGGAAGCCCAGGCAACGGTGGAGTGGGCAGCTGGGGGGTTGAGCTGCGCGGACAAGCGACACGGCGGGCTGATGAAGTTTACTCGTTTCTTTTGGGAGGAGTTATGGCTCCCTGTTTGATCTTAGGTTGCAATTTCTACCAAGTGGAGATTGTTTTGGGATGCCTATCTTTCTGGGTGCCTAACTCCGATCGAAGGCAGACATGGAATACTCCCAAATACAAAAGGGTTTCTTTAGGCCATTGCTCCCTGTGTCTCTCTGAGGGGGCCAGGTTCTGGCTCGTGGTCACTGGGAGGCAGAACTCCACTGACTTAAGCCCCAGATGACTATAGCATATATCAGTCCGATAGCTCCAGGGAGCCAAGGGGGCTCCCCACAGAAATATTGTGAATGAAGCCATGTCATTTTTAATATCTAAAATCTTCTTTTCCTTTACTGCTAACATATTTCTTCCAAGCTGCACCTCACCACCAGTGAAAGAGAAAAATTTAAGATAATGATAATGTTGGTGATTTGAATAAAACAGAAAAAGCATGTACAAGTTATGAACTTGTCAATTTTCAAGATTTACCAGATCTCTGCATGAAAGAGAACATAAGATGATACTATACAAAAAATCAATGAAACAGTTGTCTCCTGCAGCAATGCTTCCCAGACCACTTTGGATCCCATATTCTACTGCAATATATGAGTTTAACTCCCTACTTCCCTACTACTTGTACAGCAAACAGGCATACTGTACCATGTTCAAATCCTAATACAGTATTCTGAGGGAGCATTTAAGATAGAGTCCAACTAATAGGTATTTACTCACTGGACACCCTAGATGACAGCAGACTGGTTCGGGGATCAGCCATGATCCTAGACCTTGTGATGCCTTCAGGAGTAGTGAGAGTAAGGAGAAGGGCCACAGGTGGATTCTGAAGTAATGTCTGCAAAACATTTATCAACACAGTAGAACAGCAGAAATACCCATCTAAATAAGAGGATTTTTACAGCATAATTTGGGAATAATACTAATAATCAATATTAAATATTTTGTTATATAAACTACTAACATGGATTCAAGGCACACTCTCAAAAATATTAACACTTAAAATGCAATCATCATCATACATTGATCTCCATAGTAATGCGTTTATCATATGCAGATTTTAATTATTATTGCCAAGTTTTATACAAATTATGTATATATAATTATACTACATCTACATTATATGGATGTAATGCAATTAACTTAAGACATGAAAAAACCATTGAATGTAAAGAAATGCCATTTTTTGGACAAGACTCGAAGGCTTCCCGGAGCTATCCAAGCTAATATGTAATATATTAGACTTTGGCATCAATCAGTGTGAATGGAGTTCATAGGCCTACCAGGACCACAAGCCAGAACCTGGTTCCCTCAGAGAGGCACCAGGAGCAATGGCCTATGGAATAGCATATGTGATTTGAAGCATTCTATGTCTGTCATCGACCAGGTCAGGCACCCAGAAAGGTAAGCATCCCAAAACAAACTCCTATTCTGGTTGAAACTACTACTGAAAGTCAAACGAGTGGACAGAACTCCCCTAAAAAAAATAAGCAAACAAGCATGACGTCACCACTTGCCACGCTGCTGTCTGCACAGCTCCCCCCTCCCCAGGATGGGGAAGAGGCAGGCCCAAACTCCTCGCACCAGCAACCCACACCTTCGTTCTGAGGCTGGATGTCAAAACACATGAAAAAAACGGCGAACAGAGGGAGGGAGGGAGGGGGAGAGATGCCAGGGAGCCTCCGGGTCTCACCCAGAAAATGGCGTTTCATTGCATTCAACGCTGGTTTTTCTGGGAGAGTCCCTTCGGCTCCCCGGACCTATCTACTCAAATTCAAGGCAACGAGACAAACCCGGGAGGCGAAAACCGTGTGCCCGAACCCGAAAGCAAGACAACTGGCAACCCTGAATGACTCTGCGGATGACCCGGGAGACCTGAACCCTGGAACAGGGACGAAGGGAACTCGGGTCAACCCAAAGCACGGCCATGGCCACAGACGCTGCGCCATGCAGGCAATGGCTGAGAGTCCCACACAAGACCCAGCCCAGACCAAACCTGAGAGGGAACCAGGTGGGAATTTCGCCAGGTCATCAGGAACCTGAAACCCTGGCGAGCAGACACGAGGACTAGCTGGGAGTCCAGACCAGCCAGACGTCAAGATAGGCCAGAACCCAAAGACCTAAGAGACGCAGATGGGCCACCACGGCCCGGGTAAGGCCTGTGAATACATGAGGTGCCAGATCCAGCCGTAATAGGAGACAACGAAAGTGGCAGCCAAGACGCTCACAACAAAACCGAGCCAATCCCTGAACCCCGGATGAATCAGGACACGCCAATATGCATTCCAGATGTCCAGAGACATCATCCAGGTGCACGGCTCTAACAGCACCTTAACTTGGGACAGAGAAGTCATCCGAAGAGAGGGGGCAAAACCCAGTGGTTCAGACGGAACAAGTCTAGTATGTTGACCAGACCACACACTAGAAATTGAAGAGACGACGACGTTTCGGTCCGTCCTGGACCATTCTCAAGTCGATTGTGATGAGGACAGGTAGGGACAGGCATTAAATAGGCAAGAGAGAGCTGAGGAGGAAAGTCAGGGGTAGGGGATAGCAGTAATGAGAACCGCAGCAGGCCTATTGGCCCATACGAGGCAGCTCCTATTATAACCACCGAAGGAGATAGTAATAGGAATAAGAAGAGGATAGCAAGGGAGCGTAGAAGACAAGGAACAGAAAAAGGGAGAAGAGAGAATGAAAGGGAAAGAGAAAGAAAGAAATGGAAGGGGGAAAGCTTATGTTAAGTCACGTTTGTTAGAAAGATTAGAGCATTTGAGTATATACTGTGAAAGGGAAGAGTCCACAGCAACAAAGCCAGGACTCAAGTTCATGTTGGGTACATTGTTAATAAGAGCTGATTCTACAAGACGGCGTCTGTGTAGAGTAGAGGCAGGAAAGATTATTTTGGAGGAAGACCAATCAATGGGATGATTAGAATCCCTCACATGGCAGAAGAGAGCATTGTTAGTGTCAGCAGACTTGACACTTTTCTTGTGTTCTTTAAGTCTGTCATTCAGTGTACGGCCAGTTTCGCCAAAGTATTGGAGAGGACAAGATGAACAGGAAATAGAGTAGAGACCAGCAGCATTAGAAGCAGGAGGAGCAGTGTGAACTAGATTGCTACGAAGTGTGTTAGTTTGTCGAAAGGCGAGTTTAATGTCAAGAGGACGAAAGGTATTGGTAAAAGTTTTGAGTTCAGATATGAAGGGAAGGCATAGTACAGTGCTACTAGTGTTGGAAGCAGGTTTAGGATGAAAGAAATTTCGTTTAGCTTGAGAGTGGCTTGTTTAGCTTTAGATTTCGTTTAGCCTTTATCTACAAATCATTCTCTCGCCTTGGTTATCCTTTGCATTTCATCAACTGTGCCCACTCTCAAGCTAAACGAAATTTCTTTCATCCTAAACCTGCTTCCAACACTAGTAGCACTGTACTATGCCTTCCCTTCATATCTGAACTCAAAACTTTTACCAATACCTTTCGTCCTCTTGACATTAAACTCGCCTTTCGACAAACTAACACACTTCGTAGCAATCTAGTTCACACTGCTCCTCCTGCTTCTAATGCTGCTGGTGTCTACTCTATTTCCTGTTCATCTTGTCCTCTCCAATACTTTGGCGAAACTGGCCATACACTGAATGACAGACTTAAAGAACACAAGAGAAGTGTTAAGTCTGCTGACACTAACAATGCTCTCTTCTGCCATGTGAGGGATTCTAATCATCCCATTGATTGGTCTTCCTCCAAAATAATCTTTCCTGCCTCTACTCTACACAGACGCCGTCTTGTAGAATCAGCTCTTATTAACAATGTACCCAACATGAACTTGAGTCCTGGCTTTGTTGCTGTGGACTCTTCCCTTTCACAGTATATACTCAAATGCTCTAATCTTTCTAACAAACGTGACTTAACATAAGCTTTCCCCCTTCCATTTCTTTCTTTCTCTTTCCCTTTCATTCTCTCTTCTCCCTTTTTCTGTTCCTTGTCTTCTACGCTCCCTTGCTATCCCCTTCTTATTCCTATTACTATCTCCTTCGGTGGTTATAATAGGAGCTGCCTCGTATGGGCCAATAGGCCTGCTGCGGTTCTCATTACTGCTATCCCCTACACCTGACTTTCCTCCTCAGCTCTCTCTTGCCTATTTAATGCCTGTCCCTACCTGTCCTCATCACAATCGACTTGAGAATGGTCCAGGACGGACCAAAACGTCGTCGTCTCTTCAATTTCTAGTGTGTGGTCTGGTCAACATACTTCAGCCACGTTATTGTGACTCATCGCCTGCAAGTCTAGTATGAACTGCAGGTCCACACAGTCCTGTTTAGGGACTAGGAACAGATGGAAAAACCCACCTGAGGGATGTCATCACTTCAACCATGCCCAAGAGTACCCACTCTGAGATGACCCGACAGTGCGGAGGAGAAGAGACCCGCCCCGCCAGCCCGAACCCTGCGAAGGAGGGGGCCACCCCTCCTTCGTAAGCCTTCGTAAGCCACGTACAGTAAGCCTCGCCTGGAGGGTAGAAAACCCAGGCCGGGTCCAACTGAGCCCAAAGCCCCCCCAAGTCAGCCCCTCTCCAGCCCAGGGAACCACCACATCAGGACCTGGGGGTCGAATTGTCCCCCAAAGCCCCAGCCTCAAAAGAAAAAGGCGGCGCAGCCGTGGAAGCCAGAAGGAAGGAGGCCCACTGGTCAGACCCAAAAACTTTGGCAGGGAGAACAGACTTGAATGCCTCCGTTGCCACCCTGGAAGGGTCATCCCCAGAGACCGGCCGAGTCTCAAGCCCATCCAAACCCTGTCCCGACCCTGAAACCCTCAGACGGTGCCGGGCTGGATGAAGGGGGGGGGGTATGGGGGGAAGGACCAGACCAAACAGAGGGGAAGGACCAGACTGAACAGAGGGGAAGGACCAGACCGAACAGAGGGGAAGGACGAGGGGGAGAGGACGAAACCAAGGCTGAAACGACCAACACCCCTAAGTTCGGGACCTAAGAGAAGATACGCCCCACACCACAAGGCAGAGAGCAGAGGGCGGGATCAGAGCAACAGCGACCAATACCATTCCATCAGCCGAAGAACTGAAGGTGCGCGTTGCTGGCATGATGGGTCTGGAGGCTCCCCCCTTACCCCCTCTTCCCCCTCCTTGGGAGAGGGGGAGCAGCACAGACGACGGCGCGGCAAGTGGTGACATCATGCTCGTTAGCTTGTTTTTCTTCGGAGAGTTCTGTCCATTCGCTTGACTTTCAGTAGTAGTTTCAACCAGGATAAGGTTTGTTTTGGGATGCTTACCTTTCTGGGTGCCTGATCCAGTTGATGGCAGACACAGAATGCTCCAAAACATATGTGCTATTTTATAGGCCATTGCTCCTCATGCCTCTCTAAGGGGGTCAGGAAAAAGCAATACTTATAGAAGCAAGAATGTTCCCACGAATGCTGAACATGTGTTTACTTGTGGCTGGCACGATGGTACAGCACTTGGTACAAAGGTTTGGATAATTAGAAAATTCCTTGATAATGGATTAACTCTTATTTGAATTAATTAACTTGAATTAATTTTCTCTACACAAAGTAGTTTTGAATACACTGCTTTATTCTTAACATCAGACAAGAAATTGGGCATTTTCTTAATTTACTGCAAGACAAAGCATTCATAAAAGAACAAGACACTAAGACACAGTAAACAATGTAAGAACATACCTGAAGTGTTTCTAAACTTGCAGTGACTATGTTGTGGTCTGAATGAGCACTAAAATGCAGACATAACTCATAAACCTGCAACAAGATAAGAGTATGAACCCACCAGGACACCACAGTTTATTACAGATATCTTGCACCAACCACTATACATCATATTCATCAACATCTCTCCCAAGGCACTTCCTTACCTTCTCAAGCTCTGCATCTATAAGCCATGAAAAGATTAAAATGACTATTTATCTATAAAATATCATACTATATATCCAATGGCTCTGGATATTTGTCTATATTAATAACTTATACATATTTCTTCTAAATTACCACATAAAATATAATCGCTACAAAAGTAATTCAAAGCCTTGGTTCACTCACTTGAAGGAAGACTAAGATTAAAATATTAAACAGATCCCAGCCTCCCTCCAATAATATATAAAATATTATATACAGTATACTATCAAATAATATATATAATGTACTGAACTAGAAATGTATCAATTGCAGGGGTCAAGAGGACTTGACAAAACTTTGTATATACAATAAACTAATATTGAATTAAAATGCAGAATAGCCTTATATTAGTGACTTCAAGGAGTAAATTTTACATGAATTAAGTTTACAGTTTTGGTCTCAGAGGAAATTATAAACAGCATTTCCCACATGGATGTTATAGAAATCATAGGCATTTTGATTAAATATAACTTGTAAATTATCAACAACTGATGCTTGTCTTAGCATTCCTCCAAATGAGTTAACGTGATTCAAAGAACAAACAAGCATCTCGTCCTGCTGGGATTTTCATGCTTTTATTTGCTTCTCAGCAGATGATATCATCCAATAAGCACATTAACCCTTAAACTGGGCATGGTGTATGTATACGCCATGAGTAACATGTCCAACCGAGAGCATGGGGTATATATACGCCATTGGATGCCAGGCACGATTCAAATGGCCCGCGGCTAAACGAAATTCACATCAGCTTTCTCAGGGCTCTTGTAAACAGATGCCATGTTTAAAAAAAATTGTGGCAATATTCTCCGGTGTGAAAGCCACAGTACTGTGCGAGCAAGCAAGGCTGGCGCACGCAGCATGAGCCAACAGCATTGCTGTTCAGCTTGTGACCACAGCATCGCCTAAAAATGTCCAAATTAATATGTAACTGCTATTATTTAGTGATGACAGTATTACAGATCATCCCTGACTGTGACAAAAATGACCAGGATTGTGATAACAGGATTGTTGTGATAATTAGCGCTGTGTGGGAGGAGTAATACTGAGGGGGGGAGGGAGACAGCGTCGTTTACTGACTGTGTGGCCACCTGTTAGTGTCTGCATTCACCACACCAGCTCAGTGGTTTTCTATGGTGAACACAAATGTAGATACTTATATATAATGTGTGAATTTGTGTAATAACAGCAAAAGAATTATGGTGGGAGGAGCCTTTTGGGTGACGGAGGCGACGTCGTCTGCATGACTTGTTTAGCTGTGCAGAGAGTGGCCACTACGCTCTTTGGGCACCTACAAGCTTAGGTGTACAGTTACGGTGCATACAACATGTAGATACTTATATATAATGTGTGTATATAGTGTAATAACACCCCAAACTATATTGTTGGGGGAGAAATTTTAGTGCACCTGACCTTGAATGAGTGAGGGAGGCAGCCGCCAGCTGACTGTGTGTTGTAGCGACGTCTCTTAGTGTCTGAACTAACTATATCAGCTTAGTTGTACAGTTGTGGTGAACAAAACATGTAGATAATTATATATATTGTGTGTATATAGTGTAATAACTGGGAAATTATTTGTTTATTGTTTTATGAACGTAATATTTGAATCACTAATATGAACACCATACTTTTGAGTACAGCGATGATTCACACATTTTATTATATAAATCTATTACACTACACACTATTGAATAATATTACTGCAAAAAACTAAGAGAAAATCAGACACATTGAAATAATTAGGTAATAATATCTTTATGGCAACTCCCATCTGTCAGCTCGGGTGACGCTGACCGGCTCCGACGACCGCTCTGTCAACGCCCACATTTTGTAGCCTCATTGTGTGTGGCAGCCACTCTTGTTTTGCTCACCATACTAGCTTAATGGTTTGCTATGGGGAACACACACACTGTATATACCCATGTACATGTGTGTGTATATAGTGTAATAATAGCAACAGGAGTATGTTCAGAGGAGCTATTTTGGTGAGGGAGGTGACGTCGTAATCGTAGCGTCGTCTGCTGTGTGATTTCTCATGCAGTGTATGGTGGCCACTGTACTGTTTGGACACAATACCGGCTTACCTGCATAGTTCTGGTAAATAAAACATGTAGACAGGTATATATAACATGTGTAAATAGTGTAATAAAAACAATATCAGTATGGTGGGAGGAGCAATGTTGGTGAGTAAGATGTTGGAGTGAGGGAGGGCTGGCTGGGTGTGGCTGCTCACACTCTCGGTGTTCTGAATATGTTGATGGTGAATGTATATAGTGTGTGACAGTGTATAGTGTGTACATATGTTGTAAATATATATAAATGAACATGAAACATTGGTGTGAATAACTGTATGATGGGAGGAGCAATGTCGGCGAATACAATCTTGGAGAAATGAGGGAGGGCTGGCTGGGTGTGGCAGCTCACACTCACAGTGTTCTGAATGTGCTGATGGTGAATGTATATAGTGTGTGACAGTTTATAGTGTGTAAATAGATTGTATATATACATAAATTAGGCTGACACATGGTAAATATGTGCAACATATGTGTACACAAGTGTCATGCACGTAACACTGTCTTCGGACAGTACGGATGCTTTACTGCCCTAATATAGTGTACATGTTCATTATACATAGAATTAGCACGTAAAAACAAATAAAATAGATTTGGAACTGTGCGCAAAAAATTAACAAAAATATATTTGCAGCAACTCGGTCGCCCCGCCCCGGGCGCCCTACTGGCCCAGGGAGCGTTCGTCACTGGCGAACGGGGAATGATGATGTCAAACGCCAACTTACGGACCCCATAGCAGCTAAAATAAGTACAATTTCGATTTTTTTTTGACATACCCATACTGAGGGAAGAGTTTTTGACACTTTAAAAAAACAAAAGGATTTTTTCCAGAGAATTTATTTCCTGCCCACTGGGGGGGGGGGGGTTGTCATATTTGGAAGCCGAGCAGTTAAGGAGTTAATTCTCAGCTCCAAATTTGTATTAAAAAGTCTGAAATTATTAGCTACCAACTATCTTCTCTCTGCTGTATGTATTATACCAGTCCTCAGCTTTTATAAACCATACAATATTATAATAAAGACATTGTCAAGTGCTTACCTGGAGCATCTGATCATAGGACACAGTATACTCTGCAGGGTGCAGGTGAGTGGTATGCTGGGAGTGCTGTACATCTGAGGGAATAACAGGAGCACAAAGTTTCCCTATATGAGGCACCAATGAGCGTAGGCACAGAAGGCAGCCAAGAATTTGGCTAGTTGATGTATCAGTTTGGACTGGTACTAGAATTTGCAGAATGGTGCTTAGCAGCCAGCCCAAGAACATGGGTGGCTTCCGAGAATGACAGCAGAGAACCGTAAGAGATGACACTGCTGATCGACGGACAGCCGAGGAGGTATGGCCAAGATTAGGAAGAAATGCCTTAAGAAGATTTTTAATTTCATTGTCATTAGTGAAATGACCAAGGGTTGGCATAATTTTTTCAAGGGCAGCAGCAAGTGTTTCTAAAAGGGGCTCTTCTGGCCTGCGAGCCATCCGTGTCACATAAGGTAAGAGGTTTTGAACATAGGCGCGACCTTTTTGAGGCCTGAAAGGAAAAATTAAAGTGATGCAATGTTTTACAGATTAACATACATGACCTAACACTCAAAATCACTAAATCTCCCATCCTTTCCTGTTTATATTCTCCTCCCTTATCTTTCTCAAAAAACTCAAATATCATATATATTGAACATAACTAATTTTGAGCCTCATTTCAGCAAAAACAAATTATGCAGCTGCCAAATAATTGTGTGCAGTCCTATATACGAGACGAGTACTTTACCTGACGTAATACACAAATTTCTGCCATCTACGAACCTGATGTGGTGACACAGAGCAGCAAATCTAGATAGAGCAGCTCTCAAGCTACGCACTGACCCGTTCTTCTTTATTTCCTTGTACAATTCAACTTGGATTTTACCCAACTGAGTTTCAGACAGGCTCTGAAAATATAGAATATTTTGTTCAATCAGATAAAGGCAGAAGCAAAAGGCAATCTTTTCTTAAACAAAAATGGTCAAATGTAATGAACACCCCTTTCTGGATGAACTCTAGTGGCTTTCTAAATTTATCTCACTGAGGTCGTTTCCTGAAGCTATATGATGAGATGGCTTCCAGAAGCTATCTCGCCGAGATGATTTCCTGAAGCTATCTCGCTGATATGGTTTCATGAAGCTATCTCGCTGAGATGATTTCCTGAAGCTATCTCGCTAAGATGGTTCCCAACTACTAGGTCACAAAAAAGACTAGTCCTAAGCACATGCAGCTCCAGCACCCTGTGACCCAAGTCCACACAACATGAACTGGATAGAAAACATGCATGTGAAGCTAACTAAAATATGGAACAATGAAGGTGAAAGAAAGACTCAATACATGTGTAAATGTAATATCAAATCAAATTTGCATATAAAACCCTACATCCATTATCAAGGTGCTGTTAAACAATGTTCAACTGAGCATTGTTCAACAGCACCTTGATAAATGATGTAGGTTTCATCCAATATTTTTATTAAATATTACATTTACACATGTATTCAATCTTTCTTTTACCTTCATTCAAACACTACAGAAGTGTAGCAAGTTTCTCCATATAGAAAAATACCAAGCAAATGCTATGGCTTCATGAAGTATAAGGACAAATGACAAAGTACAAGGATGGTCGGCACTGAGGTTAGAAGCAGCGAGACCTTTGTGACTGGCTGAGGAACCAGGGGCCAGATTCATGAAGCAGTTACACAAGCACTTACGAACCTGAACACCTTTTCTCAATCTTTGGCGGCGTTGTTTACAATTATTAAACAGTTCATGAGCTCCGAAGCACCAGGGGGTTGTTTAGAACAATAACAACAGTTGATTGGGAAGTTTTCATGCTTGTAAACTGTTTAATAAATGTAACCAAAGCCATGAAAAATTGATGAAAGATGTACACATTCGTAAGTACTTGCATAACTGCTTCGTGAATCTGGGCCCAGGAACCCTACAGTGGACAGGACAACCAGAGGTTGCAGAACTGACTTAGAAGGCTGGGGAAGACCTGGAGCTCTGCCACCCCCCCCCCCTCAATCCCCCTGACTGAAGGGGGAGGAATAATGCTTGTACTAATGCGCTCGCACAGTTTTCAAGATTCAATTGTTTGTCTACATTGCTTGGGGCATTTGTTTGGCAGTTTCAAGGTATCAATCCTTTTGAACCCAGCAATGGTCTGTATTAGTTCACTGACTTTCAGGATGCTTTCTTGTGGGGTGGAGGTTCTAGCTCTGGTCCCCAGTAGGCCAAAAAGAACTTTGTGGCTGATGTTACCCAGTAATTGAGAGCCATCTCAGCGAGATATTTTCAGGAAGCCATATGGGGCTTTCCCCAGAAAACACCTGGAAGACACTGACAGTAGTCTGGTGCAAACATCTTACTGCAATAATGTTTATTTGAATATATCTCATGCACCAAAACAAAAATACATGTTCCTGGTTGTATGCTTAAATACAAAATATATGCAGTAATTGGTTATGTGTGACTTATTTTACTAACCACTGTTATGAATTTATCCCACTATCACATAAAGAGCAGTAACAATGTCCCAAGGGTAAACAAATGTTTGGAAAACTGTGTACCGAGTTAAATGTAAAAACACAGAACTATAGCTCATTTAGTTTTTATTATCAGTAGAATCTCAATAATAAGGTCAAATTATAACTCAGTCCCACCCAAATTGTCAAGATTTCTGGATTATCAAGGTATCAATAGAAAATACTGATACAGTGCAGATCTCATACGTGACTTACTCTGATAACTCTATTCAGTGACTCGTTGGCATTCATCCTGACATCTGGATCGGAATCAGCTGTAAGAAGCAGCAGGGTCTCTATGCCAACTGACAACAGTCTCTGCATTTCTGTGGGTTTTGCCCCCACTAGGGCATCAGCTATGACCGAACATGTGGCAGCTTTCTCCTTGCTGCTCAGTACTTGATCTTTTCTGCTAGCAAGAAAATTAAAATGAAAGTAATTAGATTATTGTAAATACTGTACTGTACTAAATAAAGTTATAATATAAAAATAAGAAAAATAAGCTGTACACCACTATAAAATATTCTACAGAGCTCTAATACTGTAACTACAGTATTAATAATCTAACAATTAGAGACTAATAACACTTAACAGTTGTAAAGAACTAGCTTTATTTCAAGAGTTAAATACAATATTTGTACATAATCATATGTATTCAAGAAAGGGGGCCATTTGTCAGAATTTAAACTACAATAACCAGTACGTACTTGAAGATAGTAGTCTGGTTGTATATTACAGCAGGAGCAAAGTTCTAAATATGATAACCAGGCTGGGAAGGTGAAGAATAAATGTTTTGGTAAAACTAAATAAACTTCAGGGAAGAGATGCTCAAAAACTACCTGTGAACCTGGGACATGATAGTGGTCTAGAACATGGGACAAGGGAGGAACTCTTAATAACAGTGATGCTATGATGGGGACATTGCAATCACAACACCAACCAACAAGTCATGAATGAAGTTGCTAAGCAGAGGAATAGACAGTAGGAGTAGAACCTCAAATGACCATAGGAAAACAACCAAAACCACAGCAAGACAACCCTGAAACATTCAGACAATCTGAGACCCAGTCAGCTGGTAGGCACTCGGATGACAATCCACTACACATTTCATCAAACATACCAGTGGAGCATAACCCCAGTTACCAAAAATGGCAGCACAGTGGTGACACAGGTGAATCCACAATGTGGAAGTGTATTAGAGAACAGTGAGCATAAAGAAATTAAGTTTAACTTTGCATGCAAAGAGAAAATATTGTTAGAGTACCAGATTTTTTATTTTCATAAAGCTGATTTAGTGGAATGAGTAATTACTTTGAAAAATTTGGCAAGCCTGAACACAGTCATGTGGCTGTTCAAGGGAAGCAATATGATTCCAATAGGTGCCCTAACACTATTAAAATGAAGATGAATATTAAAACACATTTATACCATTTTAATTATATCACAGAGACAAACCCTGATGACATACCTGGACTAGTCATGTGCAACACATACAAAAATATCTTGTATAAATCCATTATGATAGCAAACACAGAAAACACTGAAAATTCCAATCAAATGTTCTATTCACGCGAGACCAAATCCCAGAGTAACCAATGGCTGTAACCAGTGTTAATGGCTTTGCAATAATGTAAAAAATGCCAATCAAATGTAACCTCACAAACCCACTGTACCTTTTTGTAATTACAAATTATTATTATTATTACAGTATTATTATAATAATTATTATTAATTGCATAAATAAGAGAATGCCCTTCAATGGTACTGTTCCACATTTGGCAACTCTAAAGACTTGCCTAATTGATTTATTGTTTTAATTAGAAGAGGGAGATTAGTGGGCAGGGAGGGGGGGGGGGGAACTGAGGGATGGATTTAAGATACAAATTTAATACTGCATTTTTTACTCCTTGTTCAACTTTCATGATGAGCGAATGTCAGGACACCTGCTCTGCCTGGGGAACTGTCAGCTAACAGAATACTGTATTGCCCCTTTGGGTCACAATACTGCCAGCTGACATTCCTCTTCAATTGCCTACTCTCTGCTGCCTGGTGCATTTATTGTCTGGGGACACAGGGACAATGGTAGATTTCTTCTCCAGTTTTCTGGTTGGTTGTTTCGAACAGGAGAATGATGCTATGCACCGACTTGGCATAGAAGTGCTGGAAGTTGGCAGGTTTTGGTGGACTCCTGGTGTGCCTGAAGGGTGTGGTTGGTGTATCGCTTATGCTCAGCTAGAGGTCACCAAACACTTGTCCTATGGTGTGTTTATCTGCTGTAAGGCACAGCAGTTCTTTTGCCAACAGGGGACATATAACCTATGGGCTTAGTTTTCCCCAGACACACAGGAACGACTGGGTACATATGATCCTGTGCTGTAGCTCCTTAACAACAATACTGTGTTTATAAATCCTTTCAGATTCAGATCCTGAATACCCAGCTGTAACACAACCTCAAAATAGGGTGCACCCCCCAAAACCACTTGCAAAGAGACCTTCATATGGTACACTTCAATAAGTACTTTAGTACTCCTTAATACTTTATTTCAAAACATTACAAAATTTACTGTTTTATATTTGGTGCACATTTAGAACAACAGTAACTTACCTGAGCAATCCCTGGCTCTGCTGTGACAGCGAGGATGCTAATGCAGCCATTGTTCTCGAGTGTTCTGGCGGACGCTGTTCACTAGCCTGAGCCCCGGCAGTTGTCATCGAAGGATTCCCTCCATTTGTACTATTGCCTCCCTGAGACAGTTTTACTGCCTCAAAGGCACGAATCAATTTCTCTAGGGCTGCCATGGTTTTCCGTAAATCCTGCAAAGGTTAAATTGTTGGTATTATGACATGTCTGGATAAACTAAAGACAAACTTTTCAAGTACAGGTTACAGTAAATGTTATTAAATGTCTAAATATTTTTGTTCCTAGTTAGGTAGTACTGTATAGTGTATTTATACACTATAGGCTTATGTTGCGGTCCCAGTCAAGGTTGAATTCCTGACCTCCCCCCCACTCCAGGATTCAACCCCAAAACAAGCTGATGAACTCCTGGGTACCTACTTACTGCTAGGTGAACAGGTGCACTAGGTGATAGGAAATACACCCAACCATTTGTGTTCCACCCAGGATTCGAACCAGGAATTTTCGATTCTGAGTTGAGAATGAACCCAACTGTACTACTGGGACCTATTATTTATTTAATATATATATATGTATAATACATATATATATATATGTTTCATTGAATATGACCGCATATTCTGTATTTATTATTTTCTGGTTTAGGGCTTCTATCCCTCTAACTATTTTCTTAGCATCAGGGCTTAATTGGAATAGGAGTTCTCCAAAACTCATTTTCGTACTTTTAAGGTGAAGAAAAGAAGTGATTTACTATAGAGTGTATTACACTTATTTGTATAATTTGCACGACGTTTCGAACCTCCATGGTTCATTCTCAAGTGAACAGATCTTACAATACTAGTTGATTTTATACCCGCATTAGGTCAGGTGATAATACAATGAAGGTGAAAAACATGGGGGGATACATAAGGGATAAACATAGGGGCTGCAGAAGGCTTATTGGCCCATACGAAGCATCTCCTATCTAAACACAAAGATTAATCCAGTGTAATTGGCCTGTTATGTTGGACATTGTTTTCTGTGTTGGCATCGATATGTTCTTGTCTTGTCCTTACTCTCATGGTGGGTAGAGTAAATAGTTCCGTGATTTGGGTGTTCATGGTAGGTCGCTCTATTCTTATGTGAATTGCAATTCACATAAGAATAGAGCGACCTACCATGAACACCCAAATCACGGAACTATTTACTCTACCCACCATGAGAGTAAGGACAAGACAAGAACATATCGATGCCAACACAGAAAACAATGTCCAACATAACAGGCCAATTACACTGGATTAATCTTTGTGTTTAGATAGGAGATGCTTCGTATGGGCCAATAAGCCTTCTGCAGCCCCTATGTTTATCCCTTATGTATCCCCCCATGTTTTTCACCTTCATTGTATTATCACCTGACCTAATGCGGGTATAAAATCAACTAGTATTGTAAGATCTGTTCACTTGAGAATGAACCATGGAGGTTCGAAACGTCGTGCAAATTATACAAATAAGTGTAATACACTCTATAGTAAATCACTTCTTTTCTTCACCTTAAAAGTACGAAAATGAGTTTTGGAGAACTCCTATTCCAATTAAGCCCTGATGCTAAGAAAATAGTTAGAGGGATAGAAGCCCTAAACCAGAAAATAATAAATACAGAATATGCGGTCATATTCAATGAAACATGTTTGAAAGAAAACCTGCTGCCAGTATACACCAATATATATATATATATATATATATATATATATATATATATATATATATATATATATATATATATATATATATATATATATATATATATATATATATATATATATATATATATATATATATATATATATATATATATATATATATATATATATATATATATATATATATATATATATATATATATATATATATATATATATATATATATATATATATATATATATATATATATATATATATATATATATATATATATATATATATATATATATATATATATATATATATATATATATATATATATATATATATATATATATATATATATATATATATATATATATATATATATATATATATATATATATATATATATATATATATATATATATATATATATATATATATATATATATATATATATATATATATATATATATATATATATATATATATATATATATATATATATATATATATATATATATATATATATATATATATATTAACCATGCCATGGTGCAGTACAGTATATATTATATATACTTATATATACTGACATGGTTAACCATGCCATGGTGCAGTTCAGTATATATTATATATACTTATATATACTGACATGGTTAACCATGCCATGGTGCAGTACAGTATATATTATATATACTTATATATACTGACATGGTTAACCATGCCATGGTGCAGTACAGTATATATTATATATACTTATATATACTGACATGGTTAACCATCAACTGTGCCACGACATAGTTAACCATGTCGTGGCACAGTTGACTAAGGCTCACTTGGGAATATCCTGTGCATAGGTTCGATCCCTTATCACGGCCCCTTGTTGATTTGTACCACCGATAATATTCTCTATATACAGTAGTCCCAAAGAGCAAATGCATCCTTCCCTTCCTATCCTTGACAGAGAACATCCTATCTATATAGTCCTCCCATCAGGATGGTCTTACCTTACTAGTCAATTTCCTTAGCTGATCTAACTTGGTCATAACCCACCACCTCCTCAGTGTACTGTACAACCACAGGATGTACTGCGCAACCACTGATTGTGTACTGCACAATCTTCATATTACTAGATTTTACAGTCTACTATTCTCACAGATTTTCATAGTACAAGACTGGTGTCATCACACCTTGGGTTACCTCGTTTTGTGGTAGCCACTCCCTCAATAACTTACATCTTGTGTGTGACCAGGTCTACCTAAGCAGTCAAGACACACTGGCATGACTTAACCACATCCACTGCCACACTTTTTTTTTTTTGAGATATATACAAGAGTTGTTACATTCTTGTACAGCCACTAGTACGCGTAGCGTTTCAAGCAGGTCCCTGGAATACGATCCCCACTGCGAAGAATAGTTTTTACAACCTGAGTACTCATTTTACTGTTGAGTTAAACAGGGGCTACAATTAAGGATTTGCGCCCAGTAAATCCTCCCCGGCCAGGATACGAACCCATGACAAAGCGCTCGCGGAACGCCAAGTGAGTGTCTTACCACTGCACCACGGAGACTGGTAGAAGTCTTGATGAACACTAACACCTGTGGTAAGTCTTGATGAACACTAACACCTGTGGTAAGGTTTTATTTACACAATCACCTGTGGTCAGGTATATATTTATGATTGATAACACCTGTAATAAACCTTTACATGCACGTCATCAGAAACAAGTCCTGCTTATCAATAACACGTGCAGCAAGTCCTTAGTGGTGCTAACACCTGCCAGAGTTGTACAACATCCGTAATACGTGTTGAGCAGCCCCTCGAGTACACCACCAGGAGAGTAAACACGCCAGGGGCTGCCTTCCCCTGCACCAGTGCCTGTCTGCCCCCTGCCCGCCGCCGCCCCCACCACCGCCAGTACCTAGGACACTGATCCCTGGAGGCAGTAGTAACGGGTGAGGGCGGTACTCATCAAGACCCTGCTGCTGGAGGAGGTGCAGGAGGTGCTGCAGCAGGAGGAGAGATCAGCCGCCACACTTTGTTGTGGTTCTCCCCCGACACTTGTCAATATGGGCGACTACATCTTCCGCCCACAACTTCAACCCTTTCTCACCACCCCTCTATTTACCCTAAATTACTCTCTTTTCACTGATTATATTACTATTAAAAATATAAATATATATGTAAGATATTTTTAAACTAATTTTAATTGACTGTAAATTTATTTTTAATATGTTGCTGCAGATGCAAACTCTGAGGATGTTCTTATCGGAATAATGATCACGACTGTCACATGATAGAGAAGAATGGGAAATTGATGTCAATATCCATTATTTAACCACAAATCAACCGTATTGTGAATATGTAAAGCCTGTAAAATAAGAGATACAATTATTCTGAGTGTATTTCATGGTCCGGTATTGCCTGCAGACTGAGAAATATCGGAATAATGGTACAAATGTAAGGCCGTTTTCTTTGGTTGTATATTGATTGGGAGTCAGTCCCAAGATGGCAAGTCAGGTGATCGGGCTGGTGGCGCTGTGCTCCCTCTTCCTCACAGGTCTGTGGCTCTCCTCTACCTTCACCACCCTTGTTAAAGCTAGTATGTGTGCCTGGGTAACGTGTGTGTTGCCTCATGACGGAGATTGGTTGTGTAGAAGCTTTGGAAATAGGGAGGCCTACCCTAGCCCGGCAGCCCTAGTAGGCCTCCCATCACCACTCGTGTCTACCTCACCTAATTTAGTGACCAAAAGATCATATAACTGAAGCACGCACGTAACTAACAGTTGAATAAATGAAAGAGTGCAATATACTTAGTGCAGCCTTTCAGCTACACATCTTGGGGCCCCTCTTGAAACAAAAAAATATTTATAAATTTCAGTTTGCAAAAGTACACTATAGATAGTACTTTTTTATTGAGTTTTAATTTTAAAAAGTTAAGATATGTGAGAATTCAGTAGATTTGAAGGAAATGCAGATTTTTTAAAATATATATATAAATACTGTATATATATGAAAAATTGTACGTACAGGGGTACCTCGGTTTAAGAGTTTAATCCGTTCCTGGAGACAGCTCGTATTCTGAAAACTCGTAATACGAAGCTAATTTCCCATAAAAAATAATGGGAAATGAATTAATCCATTCCTGACTACCCAAAAACCTCACTTCAAACTAAATTTTATACCTAATTCATCTAAATATACCTACAAAAGTATGTTCAAGTTATTACTTACCCTTGCTGATGACTGCTGTTGGTGTATGGAAGATGGTGAGGAGGGGGAGGAGAGGTGTTACTGTTTGGAAGGGGAGTCCCCTTCCATTATAACATCAGGCAGTGAGGACCTCTCTGGGGTGCACTCTCTGGCGCGTTTTGCCTGAGTACCACTAGGTCCTGGTTGTGGCTCACTGCTCGATTTTCTCACAACAAATCTGTCCATGGAAGATTGTTTTTCCCTTCTTCGCAAGCTGTCTCTGTAGTAAGGCATCACATTGTCATTGAAAAGATTAAGGCAATGGCCTACTACAGCTTTCTCTGGGTGAGTCGTTTCAATAAAAGTTTGCATTTCTTCCCATATCTCACACCACTTCTTAATGGTTTTGGAAGGGACATTCTGTACTGCCTCATCCTCTTCCACTGGAGAAACATCCTCAGCTGTGTCTTCTTGCTGTTATTTTTGAAGGGCTTGGAGTTCTTCGGTGGTCAGTTCTTCCTTGTGTTCTTCCACCAACTCCTCCACATCAGCACCATCTAATTCCAAGCCCATTTGCCGGCCCAGAGTAACAATTTCCTCAACAATAGGCGCATCATTTACAGGCTCAAACCCCTCAAAGTCTAGTTCTGTCACATTCAGTCCACAATTTTCTCCAGCCAGAGATCAGGGTGCTTTGAGTCACTTCTTGCCAGGCTTTGTCAATGAGTTTTAAAGCACTACAAATGTTAAAATGGTGTTTCCAGAACTCTTTGAGGGTGAGGTTTGTGGCTTCAGTCACTTCAAAACATTTCTGGAAAAGTGCCCTTTCATAAAGTTTCTTAAAATTTGCTATGATTTTCTGGTCCATAATCTGAATTATAGGAGTGGTGTTAGGAGGAAGGAACTTTACTGTGAGAAATTTACTGTATCTGCATAACAATTCATCTTCCAAGCCTGGAGGATGAGCAGGAGCATTGTCGAGGAGAAGCAGGGCCTTGAGTGGCTAATGCTTCTCCTGTAGATATTTTTCTATGCCAGGGCACACCACTTTATTCACCCACTCCGAAAAAAAAATCCTAGTCACCCATGCCGGTCGGCCGAGCGAACAGCACGCTGTACTTGTGATCCTGTGGTCCTGGGTTCGATCCCAGGCGCCGGCGAGAAACAATGGGCAGAGTTAATTTCAACCTATGCCTCTGTTACCTAGCAGTAAAATAGGTACCCGGGTGTTAGTCAGCTGTCACGGGCTGCTTCCTGGGGATGGAGGCCTGATCTAGGACCATGGTATCAGTCAACAATATATATTTTACCAAGTAATTTGTGAGATAGTCAGGACATTGTTGACTTCAAGCCACTGACTTCATTATGGAGCTTTACCTGAGGGCCACTAATACTAGTCTACGACTGGTAGAATCCCCATATTACCAGTAGTGTCCGACCCAAGACGATACAGTGGAACACCTTCTTCTTCACTGCCCTCGATTTCATAGCGCTCGCGTCATACTACAGAGTGCCGTTCATAGGCTGAATGTGCCCCACCTCACGCTTCCCGTTCTCCTTGACGGGGTGGTGCGAGAGACGAAGACGTCCGTCATGACATCTTCGCCACACTTTCCGTTTCATCTGTCATGTCCATGGCCTTGAAGAGACTGTAAAATATGTGGCCTGAGGAGATTGTAGGGTATATAGCCTGAAGAGACTATAGGGACCCCATCTCTACGCTATTTCCCCATATCGGGCAGCCGGGGCGCATCCGATCCCACGATCGTCGTCGCCCCTAAATCAACACAACAACAACTAATACTAGTGGCCTTGACGAGGACAGGAAGCCAATGGCTTGTCAAATGTGCCCCCATTTGCCTTGATGATCTTTTCCAGCTGTATTTTAAAACCCAACAGTTTTGGCGTTTACAGCTTCGGTGGGTAGGCAGTTCCATAGGTTTACAATCCTATGAACTTAACAATATGCCTTCAGCCAAACAAGTCTATGTAGGTGGGGATGAGGACAGGTTGACTAGTTTAGCAGTTACCAGGGAGGATGTTATTAAACAAATAGTAAAACTCCAGCCAAACAAATCCCCAGGGCCAGATGAAGTGTTTGCCAGGGTGCTTAAAGAATGCAAAGAGGCACTTTGCGAGCCACTATCTACCATATTTAATAAATCAATAGAGTCGGGCAAAGTGCCAGAGTCATGGAAGGTTGCTAATGTGGTACCAATTTTTAAAAAAGATTGATAGATCACTTGTGTCTATCGGCCAACTAGCCTAACGTCTGTTGTGGGAAAGTTACTTGAATCGATAATTGCAAATACATTTTTTCTTCATCTTGAAAAACATAAATTAGTAAATGATTCACTACATGGTTTTACAAATGCCGTTCATGTTTAACAAATTTGTCATCATTTTATTGCAGTAGAGTTGAGGCAGTTGATAGTGGTAAGGATTGTGATGTTGTGTACCTTGACTTTAGCAAAGCTTTTGATACAGTGCCACAAGAAAGACTAATTAAAAAGATAGAGGTTCATGGTATTGGGGTTGCGATATTAAGTTGGATTAGGGCATGGCTATATCAAATGAAATAGTATAAATGGGGTTAAATCTGAGTGGGAAAATGTAAGTGGAGTGCCTCAAGGCTCTGTCCTGGAACCTCTGTTGTCTATAATATATATACAGTAAATGATTTAGATTCGGGTTTGAGTAGCAACATTTGCAAATTTGCCGATGATACAAAAATCGGTAGGGAAATAAACACAGAGGACTCGCTATCACTTCAAGTCATTCTAAATAGGGTTTTGAAATGGTCAAAAGATTGGCAGATGCAGTTTAATGCTGATAAGTGTAAAGTTTTGAAGCTAGGTAACGTGGTGGAGGTGGGGTCCTTCGATTGTTTCAAACGTGGGTTGGACATGCTTATGAGTGGGATTGGGTGGTTATAAATAGGAGCTGCCTCGTATGGGTCAATAAGCCTTCTGCAGTTACCTTGTTCTTATGTTCTTATATAGGTAATGATGATAGTTACAAGATACGAGCTAGATGGTGTTGAGATTGCGAAGTCGGATTGCAAAAAGGATCTGGGAGTTATGATTAGTAAGAATTTAAAACCAAAAGATCAATGCATGAATGTTTGTAATAAGGCAAATAGGACACTGGGATTTATTAATCGAAGCGTTAGTAACAAGACACCTGGTGTTGTTCTTCAGCTATATCTTGCTCTGGTTAGGCCCCATTTAGATTATGCAGTTCAGTTTTGGTCGCCATACTATAGAATGGATATAAATTCACTTGAACATGTCCAGCGTATGATGACAAAGTTAATTCCCCAAATTAGAAACCTGTCATATATAGAGATTAACAAAGCTTAAATTGCATTCATTGGAAAGGCGAAGAGTTAGCGATGACATGATAGAGGTTTACAAGTGGATGAATGGACATAACAAAGGGGATATTAATAGGGTATTAAAAGTATCAACACAAGACAACACGAAACAATGGGTATAAATTGGATTAGTTCAGATTTAGGAAAGACTTTGGTAAATACTGGTTCAGTAACAGGGTTGTTGATTTTAAACAGAGGTCCCAAGGCAGAGCCTTGAGGCACTCCACTTACAACATTTTCCCACTCTGACTTAACCCCATTTATACTAACTCTGTTTCCTTTGGTATAGCCATGCCCTAATCCAACTTAATATAGCACCCCCAATACCATGAGCCTCTTATCTTTTTAATCAGTCTTTCATGTGGCACTGTATCAAAAACTTTGCTAAAGTCAAGGTACACAACATCGCAATCCTTACCATTACGATGTATACGTCTGTATTGATGTATACAACAAAAAAGGTTGACCCCAAAATGAACCCCTGTGGCACCCCACTTAGCACATTTCCCCAGGCAGTCGGGGAAATGTTTGGTGACTTTAACAAACCTTTAACAAATCTTGCCTTAATGCAAGGCTGTGTCTTCTAACAGGATTCCTAGTATCATAGATGATACGATGTATCATCTGTCATTTATGGGCCCCTGGACAGGATCATTGAGGTGCCATGATTCCTGACTGGCCTGACTCAAATTCCACTTACTCTTCCAGTAGGAGTGGATATAGTGTAGCAATATTCTACAGTACTACAAAAAAAAAAAAAATGCCTGGCAGCAAGAGAAAGCTGGTAGAGTAATGTGAGTGTCTGGTATATATCAGACATATAGGTATTGATGATTTAGGTGGTAGCAGTGTTGGTGGAAACTTTTGTCAATGGAGAAAGGATGTCTACGGTGGTGTTGCAGTATTTTGTCAGTGGCATTGGTCTGCCTACCCTAATGTTTGATGGTAAAGAACTTTGCTGTGAGGGAGACCATAGATGCTGCACGGAGACACAGCCCTACAGACCAAGCAATCATCAAAGAAGGCTGTCTACAGGCCAGGTTGTGAAAGAAGAAAGAAATCTTGAAATCGTCAACTGGTAAAAAACTTGGAGGGAACCCTTGGTAAGTTGACTGCAGGGACGGGGGGGGGGGAGGGGTTGATGGATTGCATCATCCCAGACAAACACATGACTGACAGTATAGGGATCCTGAGGTACATATGTGGGGCATGGTGGTGTTGGGTGGACTCCTGCCATGACTACAATGATCTGCTGCTGTAAATCCGCCGTCTGTCTTCATCACCGAAAGGATGATGATGAGGACCAAAGGTAGGTTGTCAAGCCAGGTGTCGGGAATAACTGGTCCCGAATGGCAGCTATCAAGTGGCAATGAAAACATTCCTCCATGTTATTGGATTCTGAATTGTAGGGTGTGAGTGATGCCAAGGAACTGCATGAGGTCCTTCCACCAATGAAACTTGATCTTGTGTTCTTGATCAGTGACAATGATGGTGGTAACACCAAACTGGGTGATCCAGGCAGAGAGGACTGCATGCACCACCGAGTCACCTGTGATGTCCATCAGCATAATTTGTGGTCCTGGGTGGATTTTTCATTATCCAGTGACTCAAGTAGCTTATAGACCTGTGTTCTTTAGGGCGCTTAACACATTGTTGAATTGGTGGCTTACACTTTTCCAGCCCAAGTGTCAGTTCAAGCCTGGCCTCGGGCAGGGCTCGGGGAGTAGAACTCCTCTCCAGGTAAGTTCAGCCAGTTAAATGTGTAGTTAATCAGTATGCTTCTAATAGCAATAGAATATTGTGTACTCTTAAAGGACCTTTTCACTTGTAAATTATATTGTATGGCTAAAATTTGTTGTAGTGTGCTATTCTACTGTTTTAATGGCTATTATCTTTTCTCCATAGTTTACTGTGGGGAAATAAATGTGGCATACTCTCCTCCAACGGTGAGGTTTGGATCAGCAAGTGTCTTGAGGGCCACTGATCTTGATGATGTTTTGGCTGCCTCCCTTGGATATACTGCTGCCCAGGTAACTTCTACATGTTTACACCTATATTGTACTCTACATTATAAAATTGCTAAATTGGTTGCAAATTCTATTGTTAATAAAAACAAGTAAGAGCTGCTTACAAAATTTGTTAATGATAATACTTTTAATTTATTCAACCTGGTATACCTCATTACAACCCATACAGAGCTCTGAAAAACATATGAACATCACTGTAGACATATCAAGAAATTATGATGGAATTTTATACAAAGACAATGACTGCATTCACCTAGTAACATTCATGACGATAACCACATTCACATAGTAACGTAACCATGAAACGATTGCAGGGTTTTTTCATGGGGTCAAGGTAAACTACATTACATCTACAGAGAGCTATTATATCCTTATTTGCATCATACTTGTAAAGCCTAGACAATAATTGTTTAAATTGTTAAATGACAATAACCGCATTACCCAGTGAATCAACATATGACGATAACTGCTGTCTGAGGGTTAAGATGCTTGAGTCACCAGTGTCAGTCTCACTAGGAATTATGACTAGGAATAATTCATAATTCCTCGTCAGTCTCACTAGGAATTTTGAAATGTATGCGTGCAAGCACAAGTCTTTGAAATTCCTATTTATATAATGCTTCACAACAGTCACTTAGAATGAGGGACTGTTATACCTGATGGAATGTTTGACCTTAATCCAAGTCTGGTGGACCATTGCCAGGTCTAATTGGATTTATTGTTGCTCTTCAGTTTTCTGGTCGAGGGATCCACTTTGGGTTGTAGGTATGCTTGGGTATGGGTGTTTGAGTGTCAAATGATTATTTAAGAATATACATCTCAGGTTTTTATTTTCTAAGTCACGTTCAGTGGTTTTGTCTTCAGCTATGGAGTCTGTTGTTCACTTTTTGAAGTTAGAGTATTTTATATTACTCGCGTGTGTCCCACTGGAACCTTGCTTAATTCAGCATTAAATTGTCTTTACGTAGACTGATTTAGTTTTATGATTTAATTCTGTAGTCGATTTCCCTTCTCACCCTTTCTGTACTATTATGTTATGGTTCACTTTCCTATTACTGTATCTGAAGTCATCCCAATCCTTTCTATATGACAAAGAATGAAACTAGCTCTTTCAAATAATAACCTGTATTATTATTATTATTATTATTATTATTATTATTATAGGCTGGAGTCTGTTGTTTGGTTCTGAGCATTTTTGCTCCAACTGTTATAGTGTATTCTTGGTGGCTTCTAAACATTCTCAGTGCTAAACTGCTTTTGAACTCAAAATCCTTGCTTCTTTGTTCCAAAGCAGTCTGTTCTGGAGCCCATGACTTGCTAAAGCTTCCTAATTCAAAGCAGTTTTCTCTGTTACATTCAAAAATTTAATCCCACATTTTCCTGGTATCTAAGTACAATTTTGCAACTTGTGAAAGTTGCTGGATTTAGGATGTTGCTGTGCTGCTTTTGTCACCTTCTCACTTTTCTATATTGGACTAAGATGTCTCATAAAAGACCTGCATTTTGCACCAAATTTTTCTGTCTTGGCATTTTGAATTCACCTTGGTTATTGCTGGTAGGGTTGTGGTGGCATTTAGAAGTGATTAACATTTTGTCATAGGTATGTCCCTACACCCTTTTATTGGTGTTATCTGAGTTTCCATGGGAGACTACCTTCTGAGAGTGGCAAAATGTTCAAACTTGGAATAAAAAATAAGAGGCTTGAGTTTAGGAAATATCCCCTTTCTGGCATAGGTCTGCCTGGGCCTCATTGGTGCTAACATCTAGAGATGGTTGGTCACATATGTTTTGATTAGTTGGTACAGTATGATACAATTCCTGATGGCAGTAGGGCTCTGAAACACTTGTGCATGTGAACAAACATTTTTTCACAATAAAATGGTTTTGCATGGATGTTGTAGTCCCTGTGATATCAGTGCTATTTAAATCTTGTATTACTATCCAATGCTTCCTTAAAGGTACTGCTGGTCTTTAAAAAGAGTGACAATAGTGAGCTCAGAAAGATACTTTTTGCAAGTTCAAAACACTTTTATCATTCCAGTCATCACCATGGAAGGGCTTAACCATCACTTCGCCATTTGCTGCTCCAAATGCGGCAGTATTGTTAGAGATACACAGTGGTGGCGCAAGTATCAGGCAGGAAGGTTCAACATATGGATTAAAAGAGGATACATCTATTGATGAAGTCTTCCATAGACTCAAGAGTGTCTATGGCTCTAGAGCTCAGAGACACACCCTTTTCAAACATCTTACTGTTATTGACAAGTGAGTTTGTTAATATTTATCATGTACAAAATTCTAAATGTAATTTAAGATACAATACTTTCATTACATTGTGTATAAATATCAGTACAGTGACGCCTCAGCTTACGAATGCCCCTATTTACGAACTTTTCGCATTACGAGCCCAATTTCTTAGTAAAATTTTAATCGGATTATGAGCATTGCCTTGAGTAACGTAGTTTGTTGATACGCTTATGGGCGATCTAGCGCGTTGTTCCTGGTGGCATGGTCGCCCGTACTTCAGTTTACCAATGCCTCCCACTTAGCGATGATCACACTTGAATTCTTTGTAAAGAATTTCATAGTTTTTCGGCTTTTTGGGGTTTTGAACATAAAAGTAATTATTACAGTATATATTATGCCATGGGCTCCAAGAAAGTCAGTGGTAAGGTTCAACCTAAGAAAACACATGTGAGGATAACCATAAAGCAAAAACAAGAGATCATTCGTAAACATGAAAATGGTACATGGGTTGTTGAACTAGCTAGTCAGTACAACAAATCTCTGTCAACGATATGTACTGTAATAGCTAAGAAAAAGGACATTATGAGTGCTAAAGTGGCAAAAGGCGTATCAACAATCACAAAACAAAGAACACAAACACTTGAGGATGTTGAAAAGTTATTAATTTGGATACACAACAAGGAGTTAGCAAGTGATAGCATTTAAGAGGCCATCATTTGTGAAAATCAAGGCTATTGCATGAAGACCTTTTAAAGAAAACCCATGGAACAAGTGAAGCAGATACAGTACATAAGAGTTTAAGGCAAGCAGGGGGATTGGTTTGAGAAATTTAGAAAAAGTGACGACATTCACAGTGTTGTGAGTTGGTGGACACCAACTTAAACAGCGAAGAACTGACTACCGAAGACCTCCTAGCCTTTCATAAGGAGCAGCTGAGGAAATTTCTTCAGGGTAGGAGGAGGTAATACAGAATGTCCCTTCTACAACAATTAAGGAGTGGTGTAGACTATGGGAAGAAATACAAACTTTTGTTGAAGCGACTCACCCAGAGCAAGCTGTAGTAAGAGTGTGGAACAGATTAATTCAATTTACATAATTTCTTATGAGAAAATTAGTTTCGGGTTGTGGATTTTTGGCTTACGAACCGTCTATGGGAACGGATTAAATTCGTAAACGGAGGGGGCCACTGTATTGTAACTTCAAACAGTTTTGAGCGTTATGCCTAAACATTATTGTTAAATATTTAGATAGGTTATTAAGTAATCATTGATGGTTTGCTATGTATTGAGAATAATTTTCTTGACACTCCACAGCTTGGAGGATGAACGTGTTAGTCACTCTATTCCTGCATCAAAAATATTGAACATCACTCAGGAACCCGATGCAACTTTCCTTCGGGAGATGGCTGCCCTCTATATTACCGCTCAAACTGTAAGTAAATTACACAAGGGTAGGATCTTGTTATGAAATCTCTTTATTTAAGGAGAGAAGATTGAAATTATGCTAAAAGAAATTTTTACCTTTTATATTCCAAAATCTCTCTTTCAGATACAATGATTAAATTAGACAAAGTAATACAGTACTGAAATCAGAATTGTGTTTAATAAGTGCAGTGTTTTACTGTATTTGACTTAGATGAATTAGTATACATGTAATCCAGCCAGTTACTGAAATATGATTCAGCACTTATTAACGTTATTTTTGTTAGAGTACAGAACTTGACCAGAATTAACCTAAGGGCCATTCACTATCTAGTGACCTCAATGAGGACAGGAAGCTGGAGGTTTGTCAAAAGTCCCCACATTTGTCCTGCTGATTTTATTGAGCTGGAATTTGAACTACAACCGTGTTTTGGCATTTATGACTTCCGCATGTACAGTATACAGTTACGTGGGTTTATAACCCCATGGATGAAAAAGCACTTCCTGTTTTCTGTCGTACATTGTGGCTTGCTGAGCTTGGAGCCATTGCTCCTTGTTTGTGTTACATCTGACCTTTTAAAGAAAGGATGAAGACCTTTTAACATCGTCCAAATCATTCGGTATTTTAAAAGTTTCCCTGGGTTTATAATGAAACCGTACGATACACAACTCAACTGATGACATTCAAGCTTTTCTCAAAATAAATTTCCTTTGCTTCTCAAAATTATTTACCCTCTCTGAAACCTGTGCTATGAAAGGGTTCAGATCTATTCTGTTTAATGTATGGTGTAGATGGTATGATTAGGGATATCATACCCAATTCCCCAACAGTTTGCTACCATACATTATGTAGCACTAAAGTAGAGACCAAATTTGCTTACTTTATATAGGAAATTTTTAATGAGGAGCTATATGCAGTACTTAGAACTGAAAACTTATTAGTCTTTTATTCGCTGTCAAAATTCTTGCATATCTAATTGAAATATTTCCATCAGGCAGAGGCAATAACAACTACACCACATGGAGGCCAGGATGTAATTTTTCTGGAAGTGAACTCCCTAGCACAGCTGGTAAAGACTTACGGGCTCGGCTCTCCACAGGTATTTTATGTGAAACACTTCATTTATTGATTTAATTATATCCTACAGAGTGTACATTTGCAATATTTTTCTTTGATTTATTGCATGCCAATATTTTGATTCATTTATGAATGGTCTGACAAATCTCATCTTGTTACAGTCCATGCATTCAGTCAATTTCTTGCATGTACAGTACAATGTAAAATAAAATCATTCTACTTTATACAAAGGAGATTTCTTTAAAAACAGAACAAACTAGAAGTGCTGAATTTATTTTTGGCAGGAATGTTTGATTTTCCAGGTTTATGCAATGCAAAAATAAAAAAAAAAGGAGTGGGATAGAGTGAATGTTTTAAGAACAAGCACAAAAATAAAGGAGAGGAGTAAGGAAGAAGTTTAAGAAATAAAGAATGGTTCTGTGTGGGGAAACTCACAACCTCTTGTAGTGTCGCTGAAGATGCTCGTGTTCAACATTCAAGTATGAATGAATAAGCTTGGTGATTCTGATTATGTACGCTTCATGTGATTTTGTGATTGAGAAGACAGCTTTTTTTTAGAGTAATTTATAGAATGAGACCGATATATTTCCAAGAAGTTATAATTGTAATAGGTGATCTGAATGGTAAAGTTGGAAGAGGCCTTAGAATACTGTAGCACTGTAATTTTTGAAATGTTGCCCCAGGAATAAATTATAATGGCTTTATATTAAAAGATTTGTATAATTAAAGAGTTTGGTATAACTAATAGATATTTTTTTAATGAGAATACAGTACACTAATATACTTGGTAAAGGGCAAATGATGGCATTGTAGAAATAAGTAATTGATTGTGCACTTGTAGAGAAACATGCCAAAGTATATGAAATTTGCTTTCCCCATGTCAAAGACAGGAAGCCTTTTAGGCTTACTAGGGTATCCCACGGCCAACAAGCTACCTTTCACACGAAACAAGTCATGCCAGTTGCCTGATTTCCATGTACTTATTTATGCCTAGGTGAACACATTCATCAGGTTTAAAGAAATGTACCCAAATGTTCTACATGAGAATTGAATTTGGAACTATTGGGTTGAGCTGATTGTTCTGGTGTGGTAGTACCATACAGTCCAATGTTAAACGATTAAATGGTAAAAGGAGTGATCATACTTCGCATGGATCCATAAAGTGAAAGAATAAAAGACGAGAAATTCAGTGAAGGAAATGGCCACCGAGTACAAAAAGTTGATAGTGATCTTGGAGGAGACTCTACGAGCAAATTAACAGTAGTGAAATGTGAATTTGTAAAATTATTGCGACCTTCAAACTATTTATAATCCTGATTTATTCCTTTTGAATTCCATATAGCCATATGAACCTGCCTTTGCATGGAATGACTGATTGCACCGTATAGTCTACATAGTAACATACCTGTATAACCGAGTTGCCACATTCACATGCCATTTGTTTATTCATTGTGCTATGTAATGTGAATATACATGCAATGAAGTGGCTGAAAATTAGACACCCAACCCAGAAATCTTAAAAGAATTGACACCATTATGGTCTATCCATTGACCAAAACATGGTCAATTTTTTTATTTTCATATTTGTAGGTTGGGTGTTTAATTTTAATATAATTTGTGGGTGAATGTAGTTCTTCAATATTTATAATCTTTTACTACTGTACTCCTCAATGTTTTCTTTTGGTTAATGCCTCCACTCCTGAAAATTTGAAAAATGGGGGTAAAGATGAATTAATGATTCTTTAGCTTAGATGCGAACTCTAGTAAAATTAAGTCCTGAACTATGGATCCTATCATTCAGCAAGAATATCTCATGCCAAATGTTTTCTCAATATTTTATATTTTCTCTCCTGTGTTTAACTGTTTCTTATTTTGCCACATGTTCTACTGAATAGTTTCTCTAATTTACGGTGTCTTCATTGCTTCTTTAAATGACAGGTGACTGAAGCAACTGACATTCTGCGGGGTGAGCTGGTGAAAGTTACCGACTTGGTGCGTCACATTTATGATGACCGCGTACTAGTCGTCACAGCCACAGTTGAGCAGCAAGACAAGCTTGCTCGCAAAACTAGGTCCATCCTTCAGGCTAGCGAGGTACTGTATTTTTTGTTTGCCATATTCTTCCCAATGGGCCAATTCATATTCTTAGTTTGAAATGCAAGATTTGTTGTTTCTTTATAATACTTTTCAAATTCCAAAGACAGCAGCTGATGCAAGAAAGGCTATTTGAAGCTTATAGTGAAACCAGGATGCTGTTTCATTGTGATGTAATTTTGAAACAAGAAATCATTGTTACTGTACTGTTTCCCACCTTCCTGCGAAATGGGGGCAGTCACTAGAAGATGGAATTTTTTTGTGACAAGTTTGGTACACCATAACACATGACCACCCCCCTTCATGCCTTTCACACTCCCGTCGCCCCAGAAAACTAGTATACCACACTAACAGAATTCCCCTGGTGGTAGTGATTTTTTTTTTTTTGACATGTAAAATATTTCATATATGAATACACCAATAAATTTTGTTATTGTGCCATTTATTAACTTTTCTCAACACTTGTTACCCCCTCCCTCTCCGGCCCGTTGTTGCCGTGAGGTGGCTTGGTGGGCGGCTGCTGGAGTGTGATGCTCCTTGGGACAGTCCTCTGTCCTTTTGTAGCCTTATGCTCTTATAGCCTTATGGACAGAAACCTCGCGTAGAGCAAAAGGGCAAATGCTGGCTTGATCCTGATTTTCAGTACGAATACGAAATGCAAAAGCAAGGCCTATCGATTCTTTTGACTTTAGGAGTTTAAGCAAGAGGTGTCAGAAATGTTTTTATTCCCATCCTTGTTTCCTTTTTTCTCTTCACCCTCCCCTCTCCTTTCCTAGGTGGCGGTTTGCCGAGGCTAACTGGCCCCTCTTTACCCTCCATGCTACGCTACTATCTCCGACCTCTCCATTCTGCCTCTCCCTCGTGCCCTCCTCCTTTTTTATGACACCGTCTTCGACGCTGCCCTCCGCTCTATTCCTCGTTCTTCCTCGGGAAATGCGGAAGTACGCTCCCTGGTGGAATGTGGACTGCGCTCGGGCTGTCCGCTGAAAGCATGCAGCCTGGAAGAGACACCGTCGCTGGCAGACGACTGAATCTTTAATTTTGTTTCGGGAGGCAAGTGCGGTGGCTCGTAGGACCATCCGTACGGCTAAACGTGCATGTTGGATGTCTTATGTCTCCACCATCACGTCCGAAACTACTCTACCACTGATCTGGAAGCGTATCCGCAAGATAGCGGGTAAGTTCGTTCCGATGTCTCACCAGTCCTTCACCTCTGTGGTACTCTTGTAGCGGACCCGTTGCAAGTCGCGACCGAATTGGGTTCCCATTTTTCGTCTGTTAGCTCTGGTTCTCATCTCCCTCAATCCTTCCTTCTTCGTAAATCTCTTCTTGAATCTCGTCCTTTGGATTTCTGTATCCATCTTCGCCTTCCCTATAACGATCCCTTCTCTCTCTCTCTGAGCTTCAGTCTGCCCTGGCCCTCTACGGTTCTAAGGCGGCAGGCTCCGATGGCATTCACTATAAGATGCTTCGACATTTCCTTCCGTGCTCGTCTCGGTATTTACTGAGTCTGTTTAATCGAGACTGGGAGTCGTCGTCAGTCCTGAAGACTGGCTCGATGCTGTTGTCCTCCCTGTTCGGAAACCAGGGTCTCTTGGGTCATACCCCAAGGACTTCCGCCCTATTGCCCTCACGAGTTGTCTGCAAACTCTTTGAATGTATGGTTAACGTTCGTCTGATGTGGTTCTTAGAACACCATCACCACCTTTTGCCCTTCTCAATTTGGTTTTTGCAAGTGCCGCAGCACAACAGATGTCCTGGTGAACTTGGAGGTCTATATTCGTACTGCTTTTGCTGCGAAGACCTCCGTTGTTGCCGTCCTTTTTGACCTGGAAAAGGCTTACGATACTACCTGGCGGTATCATATTCTGTCCCAACTTCATTCTTTTGGCCTTCGTGGGAATCTCCCTCTCTTCCTCCAGAGTTTCCTCTCTCGTTGTTCCTTTCGAGTGAGACTTGGTACCACTCTCTCTCTCTCTCTCTGCCCCTTTTAGGCATTATGAGGGTGTGCCCCAAGGTAGTGTTCTGAGCACTAGTCTTTTTCTTGTTGCCCTCAATGGTCTTCTTTCCTCCCTTCTGGCTTCTTCGCCTCTCCTTCAACGGCAGCTTCAACTTGTGATTGATGCCGTGTCGTCCTGGGCCACCGATCATGGCTTCAGGTTCTCTCAGTCTAAAACTTGTGCTATGACTTTTACTCGGGAAGCGTGTCATTCACCTTCCCTCTTTGTCACTATATGGTCATCCCCTTGTAAACAAGGATTCTGCTAAGCTTCTTGGGTTAATCTTTGACTCTCGTTTATCTTGGTCGGCCCATGTCTCTTGCCTCCGCGCTGAATGTTCTAAGGCCCTTTCCCTCCTTAAGGTTTTATTCATACTTCTTGGGGGCGGATAGGCGTACGTGCCTCTCTTTACATTCCTCACTCGTCGTGTCTAAACTCGATTATGGTTGCGCTGCTTACTCGTCTCGTCTTACTCGTCTTACTCGTTGCGCTGCTTACTCGTCTCGTCTTACTCGTCCGCCTAAGAGTAGCTTCTCCTACTCTTCGCCGTCTTGATGCTTTGCACCATGCTGGGTTGCGCCTCAGCTCTGGTGCCTTTTAGTTCGACTCCCTCCCTCAGCTTGTATGTTGACACTGGTTTCCTATCTCTCCAGGACCGCTGTGATCGCTACTGTCTTTGCTATCTGGCTCGGTCCTTGCAACATTCTTCCTCTCGCCTCTGTGGTGCCTTGACTTTTACCCCTCCTGTAGTTCTGTTCTCTTCACCACCTCCCTCTTTCTGTCCGGTTATCTCGCTTACAGAACTCTTTCCATTCATCTTTCTCATATTTCTCCTTTTATTGTTCCTTCCTTGCCCCCATGGAGGGTCCCCCTTCTGAAGTTTTGTACATCCTTGACCCATGTTACTAAAGCTTTTACTCCTCCTACAGTTCTGAAGCGCCTTTTTCTTGAGCATTTTCTTCACACTCCCGCTCCGTTTCCATCTTCACCGATGGGTCTAAGTCTGCGGACGGTGTGGGCTACTCCGTTGTTTTTCCTGACTGCACTTGTGTGTGTTGCCTCCCTTCGGAGACTAGCATCTTCACAGCGGAACTTTATGCTATTCTTTATGCTCTCCGTCTCCTGCTTTCTCGTTGTCAATCCTCCTTCGTGATTGTAGTTAACTCGTAGTGCCCTCGTGTCCTTTAATCCTGTCCATCTGGTAGTCGTCGAGATTCAACATTGGCTGTTTCTTATCTCTAGTAAATTTAAATCCGTAGAGTTTTGCTGGGTTCCCAGCCATATTGGTGTTTCTTTAAATGAGTGTGCGGATGCTGCCGCTAGAGAGGCTATCCGCTCTTGTCCCGTTTCCCGTAAAGGTATTCCTTTTCCCGACTTTTTTCCACTTATTCTTCCATCCTTGCCCATTGGCAGGGTTGTTGGTCTTCTGTTGTTGGTAACAAACTGCGTACTCTTAAGCGTTGTGTGTCCCCGTGGCCTTCCTCCTGCCACCGTAACCGGCAGTGGGAAACGGTCCTAGCGAGGTTGCGTCTTGGCCATACTGGGTTAACTCAGACACTTAATGGAGCGCCGCCCAACTCCTTATTGTCCAAATTGCATTGTCCCTCTTACCGTCGGGCATATCCTTGTTGAATGCCCTGACTTCCAGGACAAGCGTGTGTCTTGCTTTCCGACCGTTCCTCGCGGTCACTTGTCCCTCGATAGAATTTTTGGTGAATCGGATATTTTGATATTGTTTGCCTTATGCATTTCTGTTCTCATATTGGCATCCTTGGTGATATTTAGCGCCCTCTGATTATTCTGCGTGTTTGATGGTGCTACATAGCCTTCCTGGTTTGGTGCCTTCTTTTGATAATTATTTACTCGACACTTGTTAAAAATATTTAATGTAAAACTGCATATATATAAAAGATTTATACAGTATTCAAAGCAACATTTTCTCTTCTTTCTGGTGTTGGCAAGCAGTAAAACAAGTATTTTTCTTGGGTCTTAAGTCTTATACTGGTAATGCATGCACTCAAGATACCTGGGAGTTTATTAAGATGGACAGAGTTTTTAAATAAAACTCAGTGAAACTAGTAAGGACTCGCCAAGTTTGACATAAAGATTTAACTGTACTGTACCTTTTCTGGCTTTTTTATGATCAGATATCTCTTGTCTCAAGTCGCAACCCACTCACTAAACTTTATCATTAATAATTACATAAACTTAGTGTGTGTGGTTTTCAAATTTACTGCATCCTTAATTTGCTTAAAATAGCAATAATGCAATTCGTATTTATTTAAATGAAGTATTTTTATTTTAAAATAATGTATACAATAATTTAATTTATGCCAAAAATTACTCTATAGCATTTCAGTGGGCTTTTATAAAAATTATATAAAAAATCAGTATGCTTATTTCATGTACAGTATTTATATGTATGTCACTTTGGTGTGTGTGTCAAATATTGATAGACTTTTACAGCCTAATATTAATTAGAATTTTGGCTCTTAAGTATTTTAAGTACGTTCAGTTTTGTTGTTTATATATTCTGTATAATTTTCAGGATCCAAACCTGAACCTTGCTACTCAATACTCGTCTGACTACCCAGCCATCTTCAACATCATTCTGTGGCTGAGTATTGTTTTATCTATCTCTGTGCTCGCCATTTCTGTAGCAATGGCAACTATGGATCCAGGACGTGATTCCATCATCTATCGTATGACAAATCCTCGCATGAAAAAGGACAATTAATCATGTAAAGTGCTGATGTAAACTTGGCCACATTTAGTTTTAGGTAACTTTTAATTGGAAATAAATAACAAAATATCTTTCTAATGTAGTTTATCTTAAAGGTAAAAAAAATAGGAAGAAAATTTTGTATAGGCCATCTTTAATTGGTGCAGAATTTATTACTATAGTAATACTATAGCCATATTAAATTTTTCCAGCATTGTTACACTCAAGTGCTGTATTCAATATCTTGAAAGATAGCTTAATATGTTGTTTGAATAAGTTACCGCAATGCAGTAATTACTCTGATGGGTAATGTTAACCATTTATGATGTAGGATTAGCATATTTATGTTGGTCATTCAGCGTCCAGAACACAAACTTAATCACTGCTGATGGATATTTAGTATAATTACTTTTTTGTTAGCTAAGATAATTGATGTTATATGTATGCCAAAATGAAAAAATAATAATTATTTATTAAAACTATTGCAAGTTTGATTTGTTTATTTTTTAGTCTTTGAGGATGCATAATTTTTAGAGTATTTCATCACTTAATGCAGGTTAGTTATTAGTAGTGTACCTACAAATTTATTGTCCGTATTAAGAACTTTGTATGTTAATATTTATTACATTCCATGGGAACTTTGTAGATATTTATGACAAAAATTCTATAGGCACATTTATCATAACATTTTTAAGAGTTACTCTGTATATTATTATCTGTATATATTATGCAAAGGGGTGGTATAAAATACTGATGTAGTGTGTGTGTTTCTTTTCATCCCCCACGAGGAAAGAAAATGATGAGCAATAAACAATAATATAAAAATGCATGACTAACTTTTGAAAGTCTAATGGTTATTACAGCCTTCAATGATGGTTTATCTTTGACAAGGTCAGTGTTTGATCCTCGATGGTCCAAAGTTGATGGGCACCGTTCCTTCATTCCATCCTTATGTCCCTGGTGCTATTTAGTTGTACTGGCTTAGCACGTTCTCCTGATACTTACCCTACCTTCTATCAATAAGAGCTACTGCCTTTTACCACCACTAATTTTGTCAAGAGATCTGTTGCATCCCATTCATGAGTACAGTAATAATAAATTCAGTGAAGTATGTAACATGAACGGTTAACCGAGTACAGTATAGTATATTGAAATTGAAATAAGTTTATCGAGGTAAAATACACACAAAGGGATGAGGTAGCTCAAGCTATTCTCACCCCGTTCAGTACATCATGTTAATACATACATAGACACACATCACAAACAATAAACATATTACCAAACATTCTGAGAGAGAAACATCTACATTAACTAGTATAGTATAGGATTATATATGGTAAGGGATAATTTGAGCTTGTGAATACAATACTTGGCAACAAAATTAAGTGCAGTTTTCATAAGAAATTTAATGGCAAAACAAGAGTGCATTAATTCTTAAGAAGTCAGAAAGTTTATTAGGCGGGCCACATTATTGTGGCCTGCCTAATATTATTATTGTATTATAATTATTATTACTGTATTATTGTATTATAATAATAATTATTATTGTATTATAATAATAATAATTATTATTGTATTATAATATAAATAATAATATTTTAATTAATATTATTATTACTGTATTGGCAAATGGAATTTAATGTTAATAAATGCCATGTTACGGAATGTGGAATAGGAGAACATAAACCCCACACAACCTATAACTTATGTGAGAAATCTTTAAAGAATTCTGATAAAGAAAGAGATCTAGGGGTGGTTCTAGATAGAAAACTATCACCTGACGACCACATAAAGAACATTGTGCGAGGAGCCTATGCCACGCTTTCTAACTTCAGAATTGCTTTTAAATACATGGATGGCGAAATAATAAAGAAATTGTTTACGACTTCTGTTAGGCCAAAGCTAGAATACGCAGCGGTTGTGTGGTGCCCATATCTTAAGAAGCACATCAACAAACTGGAAAAGGTGCAAAGACATGCTACTAAGTGGCTCCCAGAACTGAAAGGCAAGAGCTATGAGTAGACATTAAATATGCCAAAACTAGAAGACAAGAAAAAGAGGTGATATGATCACTACATACAAAATAGTAACATGAATTGATAAAATCGATGGGGAAGATTTCCTGAGACCTGGAACTTTAAGAACAAGAGGTCATATAGGGATTCGCTGCCGGCGCCATAGCCAGCTGGCCGCACACGGATTTGTTCCCGGAAAAACTCACGATTCTGAGCACCCATCAGCTCAATTTATCGCGGTTTTGTGAGGAAGAATACATCAGTACTCCAAGACCCAGACAATATCTTGTTTTGAAGAAAACAATTCCGATTTCGTCTACAATTGACGGAGAAACAACGTTGTTGATTACCTGCTGTCCAGCTGACTGGTATTCTGCACAACCCAGTACGCAGGCGACCCAAACTCTCGTACCGTCCTACCCTGAAGGGCGAGGCGATATCCCACGGGCATTGCCACAAGGGAGCACCTTAGAAGGTGTACTGAGCCTGACAGGGAAAGGTAGACCAAACAGCTCATTTAGTGTTAGGTATCCCTGATTCCACCTGGGGGAATCATTCTACGACCTCCGTTGGAGGGGAATGAATTTCTCCAGGCCTAGGAGTGTCTCGGGCATTAGGTAGGGCAGTGATTCGGTCCTCACTATGTCGAGAGTCATGGGGATGGCTAAGAGTAAGAGGAAATGGAGGCAGCTTTCAGACGAGGAGGGACGGTGAACCGATGTGCAGCAGGCACCGAAGAAAATTGCTATCGAGGCTTCACCACTTGCTTCTACCAGCAAGACAGCAGACGTAATGGACCTAGAGAAAACGGCATCAGTCTCACACCAGCCAGTGCCAGACAATGCTTCTCTGTCCACAACACAGCCACAGGACGAAGGTATGAGACAGGAGAGGACACCACCGGTCTCACACCAGACATCGCCAGACTGCACATCTTCCAAAATTCAAGATAATGCAGACAGACCACTTTCCTACGGCATATGGAGTAGTAACGGCAATAGAAAAACAACAACCAGAGCTCAAACTTTCCATTACAGTCAACCTGAAAGGAGAAATAATAATGACACCACAAGACCAACAGACTGCAAATTACTTGGAAAAAGTAAGTCCTGCAAGGGAAACCTGTATGCTTGGAAAAGCTGGACCCTTCAGAAAGACGCACACGAGTCGTGTTTTTGGGATACCCAATCAACTCTCCCCTGGATCCAGTACTAGAACACAAGCAAATCCTGAATGCGGAACGATGCCACACAAAAGTAGACAAGGCAGCAACACGTCAGGTTCTGGTGACCGTCATGGGACATGTGCCAGAAACATTCAGTCATGGAAATTGGGGAACATACCGACAGAGACCATACGTCCCGGAACCCCTGCGCTGCTTCAGGTGTCAGAAATACGGCCACCATCAATCACGCTGCACCGAACAGGAGAGATGCGGAGTGTGCAGCCTGAGACATCCAACCAAAGACTGTATAGCCAAGCACAAGGCAAACCAGACCACAACAGCCAAATGTCCAAATTGTGGAGGCTGTGAGATTTTTTCTACGCCTACCTCCCTTAGGAGGTGGACTACAAGTTTAAAGGCTGCTCACGGCAGTTAAGCATGAGTCCAATAGAAAAAGGAAAAGCGGGAGCAAACCGCCAGGCCTCCACCACTAGGGGTGAAAACCAGTCCACAATAGGCCGCTGGCTCCTCCTAGTTAAACAGGACGTTAAAACTAATAAAGGGTAACTGACGGGTTCTCACAATCAAATATTTATATTTGATGTGGAGCTATGAATTGGAATTCGAATTCCCAAGAACAGCTGTCATATCAAGATCACATCAACATTTAATCGTAATATGCAGAAACATGTGTGGAAAAATATGATTGAAGGGTTGACAACAAAGACCGTTTTCTATAACATAATTTATTAATAACAAGAGACTAACTACTACATTACCGAGTTTATGTTACGTTAATGTCCATCCAGTGGCACAATAACAAACAGCTAAATAGCAACCCTTGCTGTGCGGCTGCATACTGAACTAACCTGAACACAGGTGTGCCCACTGATGACGCAATATTGCAAATCAAAAAGAAAATATCACAGATTAAGTTACACCACAGCAAGTGGTTATGTTATTGTCCATCCAGTGGCAATTGCAACACAGCTATTCAACAGCCCCTCGAGAAATGACAGCAGGCTCCATCCTGCTGACACTTCGGGCTGACAAGTGAACTAACTGAACAATGATGCCCACTGAAGACACAAGCATGCAATCAATAGTGTCACGGCTTCCCTGACAGCTTACTCTAATCACAAGCTTAAGGGTCCTCCTTCCAAACAGGAGTGACCTGCGTAACTAGGCAGGTAGTCCAACAGTGACTCCCCCTATCACAACCCAGTGTGAACTCTTTGCAACTCCCTACAAGTTGCACTGTAAACAGTAAACAAAGTCAGGCAAGGCGGGATTCTGGGACACAGCTCCACAAATCCCTAAATTACTCTACTCTCGTCACCAGACGACAACCAAAAGAAATTGCCTTAATCAATTACTACATTGATTATGTGATTAATTACGTTAATTGACTGATCACAGCAGTCAGCAACAAAGTACTACGTTAATCACAAACAATTGTCTCACACTACACAACAACATGATGGTACTCTACATTAATCATCAACACTTGTTTCTCTCAATACAAGTCATCTTGTTAACAATAACTCAAACTCTTATATTACATCACACTTGACTCCTAGCAAGTATTCAGTGAGTAATTCTCAATTAAGGTCAAATGGACCACTAATTACATCCCCATTGAGTTACGTTAATTAAGCCTACCCTAACTTGGTAGCTTCTCAACAGTCTGTGTCAAAAAAATTACTAGCGAGTGTTAATTACCCTAATTAAGGGTGTGGCACCACAAGCAAGGTGTGGCACCACAGGCAGGGTGTGGCACCACAGGCAAGGTGTGGCACCACAGGCAAGGTGTGGCACCACAGGCAGGGTGTGGCACCACAGGCAAGGTGTGGCACCACAGGTAGGGTGTGGCACCACAGGCAAGGTGTGGCACCACAGGCAGGGTGTGGCACCACAGGTAGGGTGTGGCACCACAGGCAAGGTGTGGCACCACAGGCAGGGTGTGGCACCACAGGCAGGGGCTGAACACGAACACAACCTTACAGTTCCACAAGAGACATTTATCACTCTTCTCATACACTTATCTCTCTTCTGGTCTGTTCAACAGCTGCTACATTCATCCCTTGATCAAGGAGTGTGGGCTGCACTCAGCCTATAAATCCCCCCCCCCCCCCTCCCACCCCTTAACTGGCAGCTATTCAAATCAAATCAAATCAAATGTTTATTTAGGTAAGGTACATACATACAAGAGATTTTACAAAGAGTGATGGATTTATAGATAGGGCTAGTACATACAATGCCTAAAGCCACTATTACGCAAAGTGGCTTAGGCATTTTTGTCAATGTTAAGGGTAAGTGTGTTGGCAGTTAGCCAAAGATGGACTTTAATTAGCTCAGTATTTACTTTAATTAGCTCAGTATTTACTGTGGCATTTAGAGCAAGGGGGTCAGGACTGGAGTAAATGAAGGTTGTGTCGTCAGCAAATAGAATTGGTTTGAGGTGTTGGGAGGCATTTGGCAGGTCATTAATGTAGATGAGAAAGAGGAGAAGGCCAAGTATGCTGCCCTGAGGAACACCAATGTTGATGGGTAGGGTGGGAGAAATTGAATTATTCACA